CCAGTTGAAAGTCCGGAGTGGCTGAATATTATTCTAGCCTTTCAACTCCCTGTGCGAGCAACCTTCTCTGTGTTTGCTCTTCATCAGGATGGGTCGGTCGGCTTGAAAAAGGAAAGAATATTATACGAGAGGACTTTCCTTCCATCTGTTCCCTTGTCAATATCAAAGCACGTGATACGCCCCTAACACGATTATTTGTTCTTTGAATCCTGGAGAAGTTCGGACATTTTTTATCTAGATTGAAAATCATCTTGTATTTTATAAAAATTTATAATTTGGTTCTTAGTCTGTTGTTCTTTCTTCAGTCATTGGCATTGTAATTAAATCAAAAAAATATTTGAAGTAATCATAATCATTTACTTTTTCTTAAATTTAGATTCAATGTTTTCCACTTTTTCGGTGTCTTTCAATTTATTCTAATATTAAACTTCTTATATTTTAATTGTTGATTATTTGTCAAATTGCTACAGAATTGTTTATATTCAACTATTTTAAACAATTTATTTGAGAACAAGATATCGTTGGAAAAAAACGGCACCATCACTAGCAATAATTTTGCAATTTATTTTGAAATTCAAATTAAATTTCATAGAAAAAATCTCCACATCATTGGTGTGGCTATTCTATTTTCCTTTCTATTTTTCGCTCGACTCTGATTTCTAAAATTTTAGTCCTTTGACTGACTTCTGCGGTTTCGTGAGTCAAAAGAAAAGCGTTGTGACTCCAACAAAGCACGATGAATAAAAGAACAGCGGCGGCTCTAATTAGAGCCTGTATATGTGTGAGTATGTCCGTCCGCTCGCACACACATACGAGATCGTGTGCTCAAAATTTTAGAGCGGAAACAAAAAATTTCTCCAGAGACGCGCGCGCAGCAATTCATCAGCTCGTTTGTGCAGCTTTTTCCGCGCCTAACTTTTCGCCCGTGCGCCACTTTTGCGCCAGAGAGCAAGCACACATTTTTATATTTCAAAAGCGGTGGAATTTCGGCCAAACCGCGCGCCAATCCGATGTTGGTTTTAATTACGGCGAAATTGAAATCCAATACACGCTCCCGCCGGCAAATTTGTATCGCAATCATACGTGACGCGCTGATTGGAACAGCCGAAAGTCAATATTGGTTCGTACAATAAATTCGTCAACACAAAAACAAGAAAATTTCCAGATTTATTCGACGATGGCGCAACAGCCTGAACAGCCCTTATGATCCAGCCTTGTTTGTTTGCCCCTCTTTTTCTCCACAACAAACAAATCCTCAGATCAAATTTTCCTCAGAGTTATTTTTCTCCATCAGTCATTCGATATAATATCGAGTTTCATGCCTACGCAGAGATGATGAAAAAGCGGACGTGCTCTCTGATAATGACGTGGAAATAATGGCCGGGTCAATCCATCGCCCCACCTGCAGATGAATTTCGTCGCCTGCGTGACGCCGTCGCAACGCAAACACCACCTTTCTTTACGTCCGTCGGATTTACTGCCAATTAATCCGGCCGCCGTAAAGTGAGACTGGCCTTTTTATATGCGCGGTAATAATTTTTTCGCTCGTTTCTCCGTGCTAACGACCGGCCTTTCATTAAAAGCAAGCGTTGTTTTCGCACCAAATTGCAAATAAGTGCCGATGGTTGTTAGCGAGACAAAAGTCTTGGGGGCGCCAGAAGATCCTTACATATTGCGAAATAATCCTCTTTTATGGGGTCGTGCGCTCGTTCAAGCCCAATTCAATTTCATCGGATTCGGCGATAAATTATTCCGAGAGCGAAAGCGCCATCAAAATGTTGAGCCTTCCTACTAAGGGTGGGTCCAAATTTTGCAGGATTGGTATTTCAATTTGATTCCAAGAAATGTTTGGGCATTCGGAATTTAATTTTATTTTCTATTTCAATTATTTAGAGGAAATTCCTGCTGTCAAGGAAGGAATGACTAAATAATTATTATCAAAATTGCTCCCTCAATCCTAAGTTGTTTTTTTTAATAATTTAATTAATGTCTTGTTTTTTAAATCTAGAGAGCTTTTGTCAGAATGCGTTTCTCTTAAAAATTATTATTGGAAAAATATTCGTAAAATTCCTCCTCTGATAAATAATGCTACAAAAAAAACACACAGATAACACACCTTAAACCCAGGTCAAATAAAAAACAGATTTTTAATTATAAATTAACGTTAAAAGTTTTAAATTTTGTATTATTCGTTTAATTTTTTTTAACCTACATATTAAACATATTATAAATTTAAAATAGCCTCAGACTTATTTTTAAAAATTCTGTGTTCGCCTCGAATGGAAACATTCGCCTGAATTTGGCACCCCTCGGAATGCTCTTCAAGTCGATATCGCGAGCGAGCCCCTCTTGAATGGCGCATCAGGAATGCCTACCGGGAGAAACATCTCGTTTGATAAGAGTCAATAAAGTTTTGAGATCTCGGCTGAACTCAAACACGCGCCGAGAGGATTGGATGCAAATAATTCCTCCTTCGTCTTGCGCCCCCAATATAAAAAAAAAACTGGAGGCAAATCAATCTAGAGACGGGTGGTCGGTCGGTCGGCTAACTTTATTTTCCGCTGATAATCACGATTCGGGGAGAAGCTCTTTCTTCTCGCTCTTTCTCCCGCCGCGCGTAATTGAAAAAGCAACCCACGGTGAATTATCGCTTCGGTGTGATGGCGTGACGGCATGGGGCTGATCCACCCTCACTTTGCAGGTGAAAGAAGGGTGCGGTCCGAACGGGCTAGGTGTGGCCCTTTCATTATTTTACACGCGAGCCTAATTTATTTCGGAAAACATCTTCACGCTGGCAAAAAGGTGTGTGTGTGTGCGACGGGGTGCAGGCAGGGTGGATAGAATTACGCAAACGCCCTTGACGTGTCATTGTCTCTCAGTCAGAAATGTATCAGGTGACGACTTGTTATACGTCGGCGTCTCCACCGCAAAACCATGCCTCGTCACACAGAGCGCGCGGCAGCCGAAATTATGTTTGCACAAACGAGCGACTAATTAAAAATACTCAAACAAGCACTCGCGAGCGACGTCGAGTGTTTGCCTTTGGATCATCCTCTAAAAAGCAGGGTTGACCCTCGAGAGTGTTTCCATACGAGCAAATCTGCGCGGCTCTCAGTGAATGGACTCTTTTCTTTTTGTGAAGTGTATAAGGAGAGCTTAATTCAAATAATTCAATCTTCTACAGAACAAAATTGAAGAAAAGAAAATATAAACTAACAAAGTAAAATTAAAGGAATTTAATTAGCTTCTTAATTATTTTTAAAACGTAAATAAACAAATTAATTAAAAACATCAAGCAAAATGAAATTTTTTTTAAGGAGGTGACTTTTGAATGAAAGTCTTATTTATAAAAAATGTCCCTCTTATGATTTTAAAACAAAAAGAATTAATGAAATAATCATACACATAATTTTTTACTTTAAATATATTTGTTACTATTTATTTATTATTACTTTTTGATATTAACATTTTATTTCACTTTTAAGGTCAAAATTGTTGGACATTTTTCACCAGTCTAAGTATAGCAGTAAATTTAATCCATTTATTTCGTGTAAAGTTTTACACTCATCGTTCAAAACATTTATGTGGTAAAAACGTCACCTTCTCATACCAATTTCTGTGAAGTTGTGAACCACCTGATAATCGTCTACTGGTTTTCCCATGACTAGCGGTTCTCGTCTTTCTTCCCGCTTGTGCTTATTAGCGCACAGCACATAATTGTTTTTTCGCGCAACAAGGAGGCATTTTGCGTGGTAATTCGAGGAGAAGAAGTGGCACCGCTATTTTGTGGGAAAAAGTGCAAATCCTCCAGTCAGCGACCCAATTAAGCCGCAAAGAGAGCAGTGAGATATGGATTTTTTCTCTCGTACACGCTGCGGGCGACAAGAAATAATTGAACATGCGACCTTTAATGCACCATTCATTCCGCACATACACACGAGTCGCATTATTATCAGCTTGCATTCCAGCAATTGCACTGCACTCGGCTCTCCCACAGTCATTATTGTTTTTCTGCAGAGCGCTTCCCCCCTCGGCAGGGCCTTGCCAAAGGTCGCTCACCTCGCGCGACTGCTGCTGCTGCAAATAGGCGTCATAATTGCGCAAATTAAATATTCATAACATACCGAGCCGCAACGATTATACTAATCATGTTCCAAGACGATGATGAGTGCACATTTCCGTTTACATGCAAGTGTTAATGTCCACAGAGGGTTATTCAAAGGGCAACTCGCCAGCCAGCGTAAGTGGAGCGAGCAGCTTGTTTGATTCCGCTTGCAGCACATAATCCTCTGAAATTATCATTATTTTGAGAAAATAAACAAATATGTGCAAATAATTATCAAACAAATAGGTATTTTAGCCATTGAAACGTTTAAAAATTCTGAAATTGTTAAAAAATCATAATACCGTCCAGATGAGATTCTGATAGACCTTTTGTAACGATTCAAATGCTTTTAACATAATTGCTTTTGAACTCAGATATAAATTTCAAAGTTCCCTTCGTAACTTCATTATTCCCACAGTTTTTGTTCAAATATGTTCAAAGTTCAAATCTTGACAAAAAAAATTATCTAGATCTTCATTACATGATAGCACTTTTTAAAATTTTTCTTTTCCAAATCCTTGTTAAATTACTTTCTAATTTTCAATTATGATAATTCCAAACAAAATTTGAACCTAACATTGCAAACAGAAAATGAATACTTTATTAACGGTGACAAATGATGAGAGGAAATTCAATTCAAGACTGTAGCCTGTAATTATCTCAGGCCAAAGGAACCCCCAGTGCTATCTTTCGAGCATGAATAGCCCTCGTAATTTGCTCCGACTCTCGCAGCGCAAACATGCATCTTTCTTTTTCTTAACCCGCCGCTGGCTTCCGTGCGCCCGCCGCGATGATTGTTTCCGCGTCACTCGTTTTTTTTCTTTTTGCTCATTCTAATTATACACGTAAGGACTTTTTGCACCACCGAGACTCAATTTTTCTTTCTCTGTTCCAGGCTGTGTTCCGTAATCAACCTCAGACTGCGTCCCAACAGTTGCAGCTGCTGCAACAGCAACAGTACCTCGCCTCCCAACAACAGCAACCGCAAATAGGTTGGTTTCCTTTGCTCCGCTCTTTCCCACAATCGCAAATTAATTTCCGTCGATTCCGCCAATTAATCTGGTTGCGTCGGTTGTTGCGAAAGCTTTTTCAGCCGCGAATTTATTTGCGCGCTCAAATATTTGCTCTCAAGAAACGACAGAACGTGCGCGGCTTCCTTCTCTGCGACAAGTTGCTGCTGTTTGCGCCAACTTGCTCGTTTCCTTTCTCCTGACGAAAAGGAAAACCTTGGAAATTTGCTCGGGTTTTAATTAAAACGCTAACTTAATTTCTAACTTCAACTCAAAACTGTTTATGTTTCCTTGTCGTTTTAATTGAATTTGAGGGAAGCCGTCGAATAATTAAATTCAACTCAAGATAATTTTGATGATTAATTATTTCCTAATTTGTTTGCAATTAGTAAATTATGGTTTATATTGAGAAGTTTTGTTCAAATAATAAGAAAAAAAGTATTTAAGAAGTTCATAATGACAAGATAACATTCATTTTAGCTGCCAAATCATTTAAATTCACGATCCATCAATAACTTATTTTATAATTAACTGCTGGATTTTAGTTTTTTTCCGGGGGGGGGGGGGTTCAAAGTTTTGACGTTTAAATTTATATTAACAAAAATTGACAAAACTAAAATTAGATTATTTAATGAATTGCTTTTCCAAAAATGTTCAAATTTAACAATTTTCATCATTTTCCTTTTTTATTAAAATTTTTAATTGTGGTTTTGATTTTGTTTAGCCGGACTTGCGCCACCCACTGCCTTCAACGGCGCCGCGTACTTGATCAACCCCCAAGATTACGCCACAATCATTCCCGGCGCCACCGTGCTGCCCCAGTACTATGGGGTGCCGTGGCCTGCCCTGCAAGCCTACCCTGCAGGCCTGCTGCAGCCGAACGCTGCGGCCGCCGTCGCCGCCCAGCAGCAACAGAACTCGCAGCAGAGGAGGCCCCTCACGCCCAGCTCTGCCAGCGACGTCAGCAACAGCAGTGGCAGCCTCTCACAGGTACGTGTAATTTGACTTGCTGATTTGCGGTCACTCCGGTGCTTGCGACTTGCGACACCTCCAGCAAATACTGCCAATCACAGAAGTGGTTGATGTTTCAACTTTAACTTTTTAAATTGTGTATTTCAATGATGATCTCTATTCAGTTATCCCTATCAGAAGAAGATATAGTTGGTGAAAATACTGTTCTGAGAATACACATATCATTAACAAAAAATTATGTCAATTTTTAATTAAATTTTATTTTCATTAAATGATTTAAAGCTTAATTTCTTTTTTATGAAACTAAAATTGATAACTATATTAAGTCGTGCAAATTTTTATCTATTCCCTTTTTATCTGCTGCTTCTATACATCCAAAATCATCTAACCAGTTAATTTAAATTAATCAAAACTGAAAATTTTCTTATGTAGTTTTCTTTTTTAAATCTAGAAATATGCACATAAATAATGAAATAAATTCATAAAATTTGGTGCTTATTACCTGTCCCGTTTTAATGCCATTTTTAGCTCGATTTTTTAAAATAATTATTTTTTGCAAGTCTCATTACATTTGATGGTCTCCTAATGGCTTTTAAATCATTGATTCTTTGCTAGTTTCAAAAGCATAAACATCAAAGTCTCTTATCATAATCGCATTACAAGCGTTTTGCGTGTGATGATGTCAGTTGGAAGCAGCACATTGTACTTTTATCGCTTTTTAATTACCGAGTTTCATGTTTTTAGCAACATTCCCTTCTTATCAATCGACGCTGTTTGCAGGTGCCTGGTGGGTACCAAATGATTCCTGCCTACTACCATGAAAATGGAGGCATTGTCATGGGCAACATGCGCGGCCTGGGCAACGCTACCCCCTTGAGACTTGTTAGTCCGGCGCCGGTTCTCGTCAATCCCGGCTCGGCAGGTAATAATTGATTAATTACGATACAAATATGAGCACAATCGATTTCGCGACTCCCCCGAGCCAAATTTGACACTTGTCGTCTCTCCCGCAGGAAACGGCGTCAGGTTGCTGAACAGCCAACCCCAACCGATCCAGACCCCTCCGGCCTCGCTCTACTCGGCGACGCAGCCTCCCTCGTTGTACTCCAACACCTCCGGCAGCGGCACCCCCATTGGTGGTCAGTATCGTTGTTTTGATTTGACCAGAAACAAAAAACTATTTCCCCCTTCACATTATTTCATTTTGGTTGCTCTCTGTAAATATTTGTACAAATTTTGGATAGATTCCTGCATGCTTTTCTTCTTCTGTCACTAACCGACCGCACTGATATTCAAAAAAATTTAGGAGTACATTATTTTTAGTTTGTTGGTTTTCTTCTCTCTTTCTCTCTCTGTAAATAACCAATGAATCGGGCTGACTTGTGTTGGTTTGGTTGTTTCTGTCCCGGTTGGCTTGGACGCGCGCAGGATCGGCCGCAGCCACTCTGACAGGGGTTGGTTTCAACACCCTGGGCTTAACGCAGCAGCAGCAGCAATCGCAGCAGCAGCAGCAGTCCAGCCAGCAGCAGCAAAGTCAGCAGCAGCAAACTCTGTCCGCTGCTGTTGCTGCTTCCTATGGGAATAATTCTCTCGGTACTATTGGCTCTCCGGCTGTCTTGGGTTCCCTCGGCTCAGGTATTCACGGCTCTACCTCTCTATCTGAAACAAAACAATTTCTGCATCTCTCACACTCTCTCACTACTAACCCCCCACCCCACTCTCAGTCTGTACAAATGCGCATTGTTTTCTTGGCTCCTATGATTAACGTCCGGTCGTTTTGTGCAATTTGTACAGGTCTAGGTCTAGGCTCGGGCAGTTCCGGCCGCCGAGACTCCTTCGACAGAAACACCTCCGCCTTCTCGCCGTCCCTCGACTACGGACGAGGAAAATGGGCCCAGAACTACGGCGCCCTTGGTGAGTTGAGAATTTCACTCGTTTGGCGGCCGTTCAAGTGAGTCACTCTAATTGAAAAAGGGTGACTCTCGTCGTTTTGCACTGTGTATTCCTATGATGATCTCATTTCAGTTATCCCTATCAGAATATATAAATAGAGTTGGTGACAATACTGTTCTGAGAATACACATCTATAAATAACAGTTATTTTCTTTTGTAAATTTGGGATTCATTCCTGCTGAAATTAATCATTTGTTTGGTTGTGAGAATTTGTTTGCATATTTACACTGTAAAAATAACTGGAGTAACAAAAATCTAAAATTAAATAAAATAAATCGCTTCAATTTGTATTAAAAAGGAATTTATAATAATATAAAAAATAAAAAAATGTAAATATAAATTTCTTAATACTTTAATAAAATAATAACTATTCTCCCTTGATTATTTTGATTATCTTAAATTTATTCTAAATATCTAAAAAATTATTGAACTATTTTTTACGTTTCCAATATCTACAGCAAATATCAATACATTTTTATCAATATTTACAAAAAGCAATGAGATGAGAATTTAAATTTGAATTTTACTAAATATGGTTGTTAACTTTTAATTTTAAATAACTAATTATTTATTATTTTGGTTAGAGAAAATTTTCTTCGAAACTTTAAAAATCACCTTTGTTGTAACATCTCTTCTCTGAAAATATATTATTAAATTTTAAACAATTGATGCTTGAAATTTAATAAATGGCCAGGATGATTCCAAAACCCACTTTTGGGTTTATTAAATTTTTGTATTCTTAAATTTATTCATTAAAAAAAATTCAATCTAAATTTTGACAAAAACCACCTGTGTAAATCAATGTACAAATCTAAAATGCAAATCTGGTCCCGCAGGCACTGTGACCGCTTCGCAATCTCCGCTGGGACTGACAGGCGGCTCCCTGACGCCGCCGCCCTCCCTCAACCTGGGCGGCACGGCTCTGGGCGCCATCATGAACTCGAGTCGCATCCTTTCGGCCGCTCCAGGGGCCGAGGCGGCCAAGTTCCGCAGCAACCTGGGCCAGCTGCACAACGGCTACAGCAGCGTGACCAACGGCCTGACCAGCAGCGGCGCCACCTCTCCAGGAGGCCTCGGCATGAGCACCCAGTCCCTGTTCGCCAAGCTGGGCCAGGTGGCCGCCGGGGCGGCCACTGTGTCCAACGGCCTGGACACGAAACCTCCAGGCCGCAGCCGACTCTTGGAGGACTTCCGGAACAACCGCTTCCCGAACCTGAGTCTGCGCGACCTGACGCAGCACATCGTCGAGTTCTCGCAGGACCAGCACGGCTCGAGGTTCATCCAGCAGAAGCTGGAGCGCGCCTCAGTCGCTGACAAACAGGCCGTCTTCAACGAGATCCTGGTGCACGCGCACGCCCTGATGACCGACGTCTTCGGCAACTACGTCATCCAGAAGTTCTTCGAGTTCGGCACCCCTGAGCAGAAACAGACCCTGGCGCAGAAGGTGCGCGGCAATGTGCTCGCCCTGGCCCTCCAGATGTACGGCTGCCGAGTGATCCAGAAGGCCCTTGAGACCATCTCGGCCGAGCAGCAGCACGAAATTGTCGCCGAACTGGACGGCCACGTGCTCAAGTGCGTCAAGGACCAGAACGGCAACCACGTGGTGCAGAAGTGCATCGAGTGCGTCGACCCGCACTCCCTCCAGTTCATCATCTCTGCCTTCCAAGGACAGGTATATCCATCGGAGAGAATTTTTTTATCTGTAAATAATGTAAATTTAAACAGATAATTCTCATTAATCATTCTATGACAATATTGATGTGAAAAATGATTAATTTTTTCACTTAATTTATGCATTTTTATTAGTCTGCCGCCTGCTTTAAGAATCTCATAGCATTTTGTAAATCGTTAAATCAGATTGAAAAAATAAAAAATAAATAAAACTTTTTTTATCTTTCAATTTTATAAATAGTATTATAAAGTATCTGAAGTTTCCTATGTTTGCAATTTCTGATAATTTATAAATATTTTTCTGTAAACTATAATTTTTAGCATGTTTCTAAAACCATCAAACTTTTAAAATATTTTGAAGAGTTGTAAAATTTCACCTTTTCCTCTCTTTACTCGTTATTCAATTCACCAATTTTTCTTTTAATTGAAATATGCAATTATTTTTCCATTGCAGGTGTTCTCCCTGTCCACCCATCCGTACGGTTGCCGAGTGATCCAGCGCATCCTGGAGCACTGCACCCAAGAGCAAACAATGCCCATTCTGGATGAGCTTCACTCCCACGTGGAACAACTGATTCAGGACCAGTACGGAAACTACGTGATTCAACATGTGCTTGGTGAGTTTCCAATTCATTTTGCTTTCTACTTCTTAAGTAAAATAAAATTTCGAATATTAACGACTTATTTTTTCAGAGCATGGAAAGCCTGAGGACAAAGCAAAACTGATAAATGCTGTGCGCGGCAAGGTGTTGGTGCTTTCCCAACACAAGTTTGCGTCCAACGTCGTGGAGAAGTGCGTGACCCACGCGTCTCGCCCTGAAAGGTCATTCCTCATCGATGAAGTTTGCAGTTATGCCGATAGGTAGGCACATATTTTTAAATTATTCTTATACCTAAAATTTAAAAAGAAAAAAACAATTAAGTAATATAATTACTTTTATCAAATAGATGGTTTCATTTCATTTTTTTTCTTCAAACTGAAAACTTTTAATCCTAAACCTAAATAATTATTTAAAATTTGGTTTATTTGCTGCTGTTATTTTTTCCATTTTTCTTTATTGACCTCTCTTTTAATTGGAACAAAAATTATTTTAAACCACATATTTGTTTGCAGCAACGCTTTGCAAACAATGATGAAGGACCAGTATGCCAACTACGTGGTCCAGAAGATGATCGACGTTGCCGAGCCAGGGCAGCGCAAGACCCTGATGCACAAGATTCGTCCCCACCTGAGCTCTCTGCGCAAGTACACGTACGGCAAGCACATAATCGCCAAGCTGGAGAAGTACTTTGTCAAGAACCCGACCCCCGATCTGGGACCCATCGGACCACCCACCGTCAATCCGGTCCCACTCTGAATGTCGCCGTCAATCGGGTCCGCTTCTGTTTTAAATTTTGATTTTGACTAAATTTTTTTTTACATCGAGCAACAACAAAATCACACAAACACCCACATACACGCGCGCGAACAACAATTTTTGCTACCCTGCTGCATTTTCAAATTGTGATACGAGCCTCAGGTATATTTAGAATCACGTCTCATCTGTGGTGTTGATCAAAAGGGAAGAGAGGACAAAATAAATTTTTCACTTCTCGCAAGAACATTATTGGAGCAGTGGAGCGGAAGGAAAAATTTTTGTTCTCCCAGAGGCGTCGCATTAAATTACTTTTTGTTATTATCGGGTCTAAAAATTAATAAATTCCGAGCAGGGTAACCGTCAGTAATGCAGATTATTTGGAAAATTCATGGTTGCGTGTCCAGTTAATTAATCAAAAGAAGAGAAGTATTTTGACTTGGCAACCACCCACATGATAACACTCCTTTTGTGTCTTCTGGTATGTAGGTGTTAAGCAGTTCTTGTGTCGGTGGTTAATTAGCCAATCAAACATACTCACATACTTGTTGCGTAGAAGAAAGAAAACGACCGTGCTTTCTTGCTCTTGTCTCCACACAGGTGTAAATATTTTTAAATTGAAGACTTGAAATTTTGGTTCGAGAATTATTTTTATACTTTTTGGTTGCCCACCAATAAATTTGTAATGAAACAAAAAGCTGCGGTCGATTGAACGATGATAAGAAGCTCTCTCAGTTTTTTTCTGGATTTTTTTCACCATTGACGACTATTTTTGGTATTTTGCATTTTTTTATATACGTGAAATTTTTAGAATTTTACTTTATACGATTTATACTAGATGGTAGTGTGATGGTACGTTTTATTTTAATATACTTGAGAGGACGCGTATATATGTAGGTAGCATTACGATTGGGCGAGAAATCGAACTTATCAGGTGGTGGGTAATATTTTGACTGCTGCGTATTATTATGATTACTATTACGATTTCATTGCGTACGAATAATAGACATGAATTTATCATTAACTGTGAAGATGTGTTTCTCTCACACACACACTCGTAGGTTCCACTGATTGTGCGTAAAAAAGCTTGAATTCTGGCAAAGATGGCATTGATTTTGTTTTCGACCCGAAAAGCTCAAGCATCATTCTCTCTAAATAAATTAAATGAAACAAGCAAAAGTATAAAAAAATCGAGCGCCCATTCCTTCCTCATTCGTCGCCGGTGAATTAATAATTAATTGCAAAAACAAACAAACACGACGCCCCCTGTTTGCATTTTTATAAACGCCGCCCTAGCGATATAAATATTGGAAAAATTGTAAGATAAATGTTGTAAAATCTTTGTGAATAGAGCAGAGCCACGAAAGTTTAAAATCGCGTCCCCCGTTGATTCCCACCAGCTATAAATAATGTTTGTAAAATGAACATAATATGATGGAAAATATTTTATTATACAAAAGTGGAAGAACTTTTTTAATTCCGCCTCTATACACTTACACACTGAAACACCGCAAGTTTTATACGAAAGTGCGTAAATATAAATGATGAACTTCCTGTACAGTTTTTAATTATCTCGCCTCTGCATCTCCATGCCCCTAATTTTTATATAAATATGAACAAAAAACGTTGTACATTTTTTTGACGAAAAGACTTGAAGCGCATTAAAAACTTAACTATCAAAATCTGTGGTGATGAGAGAGATTGTAAATAAAGAAGGAATTTGAGCAAACAACTGCAGCAAACGAATGTGATATTTCTGCATTGGTCTTCGAATGAACGAACAACGGGTGCTCGAAAATTCACACATTAAAAATTCAATCCAAACAAAAAATCATTGCCATCTGCGTGTGTACGTTTGATGAAAACATAAAAAAACAACGTAGAGCTAATTAAGGATAAAAGAAATAGGCGTATTTAAAAAAACAAAACACACCGTACTGCTTGATTTTCGATTTTACTCTTAATGGTAGGTGTAATTTTTCACACAAGTGTTATAATCGATCAGTGTTTTCTACTGTAGGATTATGATTATAAATTTGTCTCATCGAGTATGCTTTAGATGACGGGAAAAAAATGAGAAAATACTTGACACTTTCACACAGCTGCCCAAAATTTTGGTAAATAAATTGGAGTGTAAAAAAAAGAGCGAAAACCACCGCGCTGTCCTCCACAACAGTGGAAGGGGATTTTTATTGCCTGAACGACAAAAAAAACTTGTATAAACAAAATTCACAATGAGCTTTCCGAGTAAATACCACACACCTTATAACATTATTAGATAAAAAATGAACAGATTATGAGTATATAATTATTATATGAGAAAAAATTGAATGTTGTAATTACTATAAATGATTATTATGTCTCTGTGTAATTTCTGTTAAGTAACAATTAATTGTATCGGATCAAGTGATCTCAAAGGGGTTGGTCTCTCGTTCGTGATGAAAGTGAAATCAATTAAAAAGAAACTCCGGCGCCTCGGTCGAGCGCCTTTTCCTGCAGACAAAATTGCCCAACGTGCCCCGCCCGAAAATCATTGTAATATTTCATTCTCATTGACCTTTGTACTGAGATTTTTGTAAATAAATAGACATTATTGTAGAGAAGTAAAAAAAAAAAGAAAATAAGTAAGCACTTTGGGCTCGACCGTTGGCGCCGGTTTGCAGATCTAATGAAAAATGGCAGTTCCATACCCCTCACAACACAAACTCTGTAATTTTGTCCAAAATCTGAAGCTCGAGAAAGTATATAAAAATATAAATTCGAACCCATTGTGTAAATCCAATTCTCCGGCGATTATTTCTTTCTCTTATTAAATCGGTTTGATTTAGTTTTTAATTAATTAATTCTCTCTTCATGTATGTGAACTTTGATAAATATTTTTTTCAAGCGCATTCACTTCTGCTGTATCGATTAGTGTGTATTTTTTAAGTATCAAACGTTTTTTTCTAGCGCGGTAAATTATTATTCTTGATTTACATTGTAATCGAGTTAATGTGTAATTATTATTAAATATCATACTTTTAGCATATAGAGTGTAATTCTCAAGCGAGACACGTTTCTCTTTTTTTTGTACTTGAATTTTTTTAAAGAGTTGTTTCTCTGTTTGTTTCACCAATTACGTTGACGGCCGATTTTTTTTAACCCCGCTGATGTGACAGCAAATCCTTGTTTTTGATTTGGCAAAATTTTATTGAAGACAGCTTGCATGAGAATTGAAATTGAACGATAAGTGGAAGAAGAAAAAAACGTGAATATTTTTCGAACGGCGCCGACGCCGCTGCTTTTTGTAAATACACAAACACTCGTCGTCACAACATGCATCTGGGTATAAAAAAGTAAAAGGAAAGAAAGTGCAAAATTTTTAAAATCAACTCTACGTCACTTTGCATGTAAGAAAAGAAGAAGTGTGTTCGGCACTCAAATTCAATTGTTGCGATTCACTTCACGCATCGTGGAAAATTTATATATATTTAAAAAGGATTGTAAGATAAACGCAAAAAATTTTATGAATTGAAAAAAAGCGCTCTTAAAAATGCATCATCTTTTATTAGGCTTTAAACGCATTATAATAATCTATACCACACACAAATACACTCACACACTGTCTCTGTTTGGAACACACACTCACACACACACACACACTTGTAGAAAGAATCTATTAAATAATCATTCAACACCCCACAAGTCATGTATATGGTGTACAAAGTGTAACAACTTGGAAAACGTATAAAAATATGTATGAACAACAGTAATAAATCGAAAACCTCGAAAATGAACGAATTGGAATTTTATTCTGATTAAACCTAGAAGCTAAAATTAGCATTTAAAAAATAATTTGGAACATTAAATTTAATCAAGGATAATCCCAATTTTCCAAAAAAGAGGGACATGAGAGTCTCAAAACATTAGTGATAATTAATAGCTTATTGGTGCAAGTGATACATCGGGAAGTCTCGTTTTAAATTCAACCAGAAGCTTCCTAATTAACCTCTAAGCAGATTCCTATGTGCCATTTTGATCGAAGGATAAAATTAAAGGTGTACTTTTCAATAATCGGAACCGTGAATATAAAAAACAGTAAATCATTAATTTTAGATAAATCATGAATTAAAATAACTCTTTTATCACAATTTTTTTTTAATGTGCTATTTTTCTGAGTGAATCTGAGGGACTTGTACACAGGAATTTGAGAATTTCATTTGATAAAATGTCCTTTAATTTTACTTTTACATAACATGATCAAGAAGGCGCCTAAGTGTCACTCACAAATTTTCAGACCCCTAAAAATTTTGATAGCCTAACCATGAGAAAAGAAAAATAAAATCTGATTAATTTGATTATCCCCCAATTGATTTACTTGACACCTTGTTTCTGCACCTGCTTGTTATATCCCTACTTGTTACTTGACGTCGAACACAAATTGCTATTGTTTTGCTAATGACCAGGGATACACAATTTGCTGCGAACTCTGTAGGTGTCAGTCAACGTTGAGCCCAGCGATGGAAAAGTTCAGGAAAAACGCATGGATGCAAGAAAAGAATGTGCATATTTTTAGCAATTTGCAGGGTAAATTTTATTTTCAACTGAATTATTAAGATTTATTTTATAAGTATAATTTATTGAAGTTGCTGCTGAAGAAGGACGGGACAAGAAATGTATATCAGAGAGGTTAAATTGTCTTCACCGCATTTTAGCGCCTATTTTGAGTGTGGCCCAGATTTGTGGAATCCTTCCTATTCACGGCATTAATTCCGCCTGTCCAAAACACTTGAAGTGGTTTAAATCCGTTTTAACTCGACAAATATATTAATTATTTTAATATATCAGAATGAAGAGAAATTCTTATCTGGGTGGGTATTCTACACTTTTGATGCTTTCGACTTCTGCCCTGGCCGGTTTGAGTTTGGTGCACGCGGCCAGGAGTCTTCGTTCTGAGACATTCACTGTTCTTGGTAAAATTTAAAAAGGAAATAAATTTTAATTAGGATTTCAATATTAAATGTATTTTTAAAAAGACTAGAAAATATTTTACTTAAATTGGAATCAGATGAAAAAAATTGAAATAAATCCAAATATGCGCAATATAATTAAACTTAATTGTCTTGAAGGTGGACTAGGGGCAGCAACGGCCGGCGCCGTTTTTTACAGCAACGCCAGTGTGGCCACTTTTCTCTTCTGGCGACTGGCGGCCAAGTGGCGGCCGCTGATGCTCCAATGGGCCGCGATTGAGAGAAGATTAGGGGCCACTTTTCCTACTCCAACTAGTTCAAGATTGAGGACTCACGCCTTAGCAATCACAGTTTTGATTTTGGCCTCGGGTAAAAATAATACAAATTTATAACGATTTATTAGATAAAATTCACTGAATGCTTTCTGCATAAAAATATATTGTTAAATTAATTCAGATATTTTCAATTGTTTTAAAAATAGCCATTAATTTTTTACTTTAGTTGAGCACGGTTTGAGCATCTCAACCCACTCATCGTCCGACTCATTCACAAACTGGCTCCAAAAATACTCGCTCAGTTCGCACGCATTCATCTTTTCCACTCTGGAGTACTCCTTGGGTCTTGGAGTGGTCGTGCAAATTCTCAGCCGAGTGGCCACTTTTGTCTGGAACTTCACCGACCTTTTTTTAATGGTCGTCGGGCAGTCCTTGTCACTGAGGTTTGAACAATTCAACAAAACGCTCAGAAAGGTACAGTTTTCATCATTTATAATTTATTCCATTTATTCATTGTATATCCATTAAATTTTTTATCTTTCGATCGATCCACAATAAGTTTCGCTTAAAATCTAAATATTTCAGTAAAAAATATATACGTCGTAAAAATTAAAATCAAATTTGAGCTGTTAGGAAAAACAAGCTCTTGTCAATTCAGTCAACTTCTAAGAATGTCTGCGAGCAGAGATTTGTCAGAAAGGGCGTCGGAAACTTCGTCGTGGTCCCACTGGAGAGCCACCAGTCCTGCCCCAGTCACTCGAACGGCGCCTTCGGCCTCCAGTAATTGGCAAATGTGGAGGAGTTCGGAACGACCGACGGCACCTAATTTCCGGCGGTTGCAAACACCTGAGTAAACCTCGTGCAGCTGGAACACATTTAAAAAATTGCTATTATAATTATTAAAACCATGAAGAGGCTTTCTAAATTATCAACAAGAAATTTCTCAGTCTTAATATAAATGAAAAATAATTTAATGGTATAAAAATATTATATTATCTATATAAAATTCAGAATTGTTCAGAATGGTCAAAATTATTATTTGGGGAATAAAAATACAATCTGATCAATCAATTAAATTATGAACTAATTACACACGAGCGTAAGGCCTTACGGGTCGGGAATAAAGGCTAACGCTTTAAGCAGAGGGTGAAGAAAAAGTTATCCCAAAAGAATGGGACAAAAAAAATTTATCCCGGGACAACGCCTATCGCAGGATAAACATTTTTTCCAAAAATTAATTTTTCAGCGCATTCAGAAAATTTTAGTTAAGTATCAATTTTTTTAATAAATCTGAAAATTTCAAATTAAAACTGGCATAAAATCTGTACCTTTCCAATGGTGGCCTTCTTGACAGGCGGTCTCTTGAGCAAAAGGAGGCAGGCGAGGACAATTTGGTGCTGCAGGGGCAACTGGGGTCCCTGGTCGATTCCTCCGAACACAGAGTCGAGCACCTTGCGCACATGCATGGGTCCGACACGGTTCTCGAGCGCCTTGTCCAAGTCATTGGCCGGCCCCAGAACAGAGGACGGGCGTTTCCGGCCGCCAACCTCGAGGGCTCGGCGGCCCAGGTCAAGGGCCCTCCTGGCGTCGCCGGACACGGAGGCCACCTTGGCAGCCAACAGCTCAAGGGCGGCCGCGTCAAAGGCCCCAGAGGCGCCTGCGGACAGGAGGCGATGGCGCAGGACTTCGAGCAGCTGCTGCTTAGTGTAGGGGGCGAAGGGCAGCAGAAGGGGCTCACTCGAGGGGCCGCGGGCACCCAGTCTTGGAAGGGCCCGCTGCGTCAGGTCAAGGGCGTTGGCAATTCCGATCAGGGTAAAGGAGTGGCCGAGCTTCAGCGGCCACTCGAACAGACGGTACAGGGCTTTCTGGCCTCGGCCACCCTCCAGCTGGTCCACCTCGTCCAGAACCAAAACACTGTCAAAACAAAATTTATTAGCAATATTGATAAACAATTTACTAACTAAATTCAATAGATAATATAAATTGTGATTTAAAAGAGAAAAAATTAAAATTTGGCTGAAATTAGAGAATAAAACTCTGAATCGAGAATTTGACACAATATTTAAAATTTTCAACAGTCTCTCTTAGTTAATTTAATTGAAATCACTGTTAAGAATTTTTAAATCCTTACGCCTTTCTAGAATTTTTCCTTTTCAGGTGCTTGTGAATAATAGTTTCCATTTGCTCGATAGTGGCCCCAGCAGGAAGATTTACTTCAAACTCCTCGGCAATTTTCTTCAAAAGTGCACTCAGAGTTTTGACGAATGTGCAGTTGATGAATCCACTGGAAAATTCTTCCCTCATCTAAAAAAAAAGTTAAATTATGTAAATGATTTGATATTTTATCCAGTTTTTACCTGAGAAATCACAAGTTGAATGCAGGCAGTTTTGCCCGTTCCTGGCGGGCCTGACACGTAGGCGGCCCCTGGGGCACCTTTGACGCCCTGCGACCTTTGCAGAAGGAACTTTCCCAGGGTTTCGAGCTCCTGTTCGCGGCCGGGCAGCGATTCTGTCGACGCCACATGAAGGGCCCGACGGACTGCCGAGTCGTGGCCTGCCAAAGAGAGGGATTAATTCTGACTTGTTTTGCCAATTTTTCACACAAACCTTTCATTTTCGGCTCGGACAGAATGAGATCAGATGGCCGAGGGATTCTTGTCGGCGAATTCGGCACCAGAAGTGCAGCAAATCCTCGATCGGGGGTTGAAATTAGGGATTTTAAAAATTTAAAGAGCTGATCTCTGGAAATTAGTGGAAATGTCCGTGGCTCCTCCCCCTACTTGGACGTTTTGGCGCCAACAAGCCCCTCTTTTCTCACTTGCACGCATGCTCCGTCTCCAAGTTGGATCGGCAGCGCAAGAGGCGCGAACAGCAGAAAATTGGCACTTTTTAAGCTATTCACAGTCAAAAAAAGCTCCATGCCGCGGCCTGAAATCTCTATGCCGTCCTTATGCCAGTCCATCAGTGGTCATGCCGCGGCATAGCTCGATCATGCCGCTTAAAAAGTCCTCATACCACGGCATGAAGTCGGTTCGGCATGGCATGGAGTATTACCATGCCGTCCATGCCTAACTAAATTTAATCATGCCGGCATAGCTTTTCCTTCACAGGGCATGCAAGCCGCTTGCAAGTCCACGAAACACTTAAATTTTTTTGTCCAAAACCTGCCGAAAACATTTAATTTTATTTCATTCAAAGTTGTTTTAATTTGACTAAATGAAAGTAAAAATAGAAGAAAAATTTTAAAAATCTTAATAATTAACTTTTATTATGCGTGTATTATTAACATTAAAATTTAACTTAACATAAACTAAGAAAGGTATGTTGACTAAATTTTTACGTAGAAAAATACTTGAAGTTGCAGTGATGGATATTAGTTTAAATTTGATTTGATATTTTACTCTTATTTTACAATTTTGTGCGACGACTGGATCTAAAATTTTATTTTATCAGACGTAAAATTAACAATATTATTTTAAATTTTCCTAATTGAAAATATCAATTATGTTTGAAATTAGACATGTGTAAGCTACTTTGCAAATTATTACACATCATATCAAGGCTCTAATTTGTGTATTAGAGATCTAAAATAATATGGCTTTCATATATTGAAATTATTTTTAAGGAGGCGCGTATTACAAATTATTATTGTGAAAATTTTCATTCAATCTGGGCATATTACATAAGATTTAGTATTTTTGTTACGATTCCAACTCATTTGAGCGTATATGAAAATATGAAGTAATTAGAAATACTCAAATCATGATTCTGCCCTGACTGGTGGCTTTACCTGAAGGTGCTTCCCGCGCATATTGGTTCAAATTTCACCCTCGCTCAACATCGGCGCTCTTCGCGACCTTTGCGCCAGCGCCCTGAGCGCCCAACGAACTTTCCGAGCACATTTTTTACCTGAGCTCGTATGGAGTGTTATGGCCGCGGAAGGTGTTAATTTTATTCATTTGTGCGTCGAAATAAGCGCGTAAGGACATTTTAAGACAAAGTGCGACACGCAGGAATATTTCCTTAAGAAGCTGAGCTGCTTAGAATCCGTTTGGAATCAAACTTAGGAGCAAAAGATGAAGAAAAAAAGTCGCCGGCATCCCCCTCGCGACGCGAGAGCGCAGCCCCTATCATCGGGCACATCAACTCAGCGGCGGGACAGCCAATATTTCTTTCCTCTCACCATCTCTGCCAAATCTGCAGCCGCGGACTGATTTTTGGAAATTAATTTCAGGTAACAAGCAATAATTAATTAAAGAAAGCAACTAAAATGCAAAATTTGCATTGCTCACAATTTAATAATTTTTTAATTTTGTTGTTTGAATTTTTCAGTGTGATGAGGAGAGACTATTTCTCAACCGAGAAAATGCTGAAAAAAATTCATCGGAATTTGCGTTATGCCATCTTGCAGTTATTAAAGGTAGTTTTTGTTTCATTTAAATAAGATTATAATTTTAGTACCATAAATTTTGAATAACATGTTACAAGTTGCTGTAATAAAGCTTATTTTAAGCTTATACGTTTTATATTTTAAATCAAATATATGTGAATATGAGATCTTATTTTAGTTTTTTTTTACAGATTTTGCAAATCCTGTTCTGCAAGTGAACAATGCCGACAAATTAGGAAAGTTTGATGAACTATTGGACCGTACGTACGCGTGGAGCAGGAACGAAGGAAGAAAATTTTAAGTTTGATGTAAAAATAATTTCAAAGATTGTGGGTATTATATTACTATTAAAAAATAAATTTTAAAAAGTAAACATTGGTATTATTTAGTAACTAAATATGCAAATCCTAAAATCTGAGTGGCATGCAGGCCAGGCCTGCCGAACGGCATGCAGGCCAGGCCAACCGGACGGCATGCAGGCCAGGCTGATCCGGTACTGGCATGCATGCCAGGTGCGGAAAGCGGCATGCAGGTCATGCCGACTACCCCTCATGCCGCTGGTATGGCCATGCCGTGGCCTTAGGTCGATTTTGCTCGAAAATGACCTGAGCCGAAATCCATGCCGCGGCATGGAACTTTTTTTGACTGTGTTATTAAAAAAAAAAAAAAAAAACCATTCTGTAATTAGATGATAAAAGCGAGGAGTATTTTTAAGGAGAAAAAAAATTCTGCAACTATTGGGAATTTTTTCACCTTTTTAGACTATTTACGTTCATCGACTGATTAGACAGTACTAAATTAAAATAAAATTAATAACAAAAAATTTTCCTTCAAAAACAATTAATTAAAAAAAATTCTTTCCCAAAGAACTTTTAAGAAAAAACAATGATGCTACAATTCAAATAATAAGGAAGTGTTTTGCAACAATGTTGTTTTGCCTTTATTAATTTATTATTATTATTTTCTTTTTAATTCTTTCAATAACTATGCACTTTACCAATTATTATGCTTGTGAGCTTTTTTTAATTTTAGTAACAATCTCCATTCTAATAAATTCAATAATATTGAAGTGAAAAATGTAACCTCATTTTCTAATAAAAAAAGATGATTTATTTTTATTTATTAATTTTTTTTATTTTGTGCAGCGATCATTGACTCGATTGGAATGGAGTGAAGCTCGAGAGCAATTCGCTGACCTGGCAAATTTGACTCGCAGATTGGATGCTGAGATTTCTGGAATAATTCTTTTGAGTTTTTCAAACAATCTCTACTTCATCTGCCTGCAACTCCTCAACGGCCTTTCGTAAGTTTTCAAAATTAAAAAAAAATAATAATAAATGAGCACATATACAGGCCTCTTGAGGGCGACAACAAAGGACTTCAGTCGATCTACTTTTGGGCCTCGTTTCTCTTCCTGCTCTCTCGAACGGCCGCCGTAACGATTTTCCTATCCAACGTCAACGTGGCAAGCAAGGGCGGCCTTCCGGACTTGTTTGCGTGTCCGGGACATTTCTTTTGCGAAAACACGCAGCGGCTTTTGCATCACATGGCCAACGATGATCTTGCACTAACTGGACTTGGCCTCTTTCACGTCACCAGAAGTTTTTTGCTTGCGGTAAAAATGAAAGAATTAAAAATCAGTAAAAATAAATATTTTTAAAAAAAGCTGACATATTAAATTAGGACTCAATTCCATAAATTTTAAATTTTTTTGATTAAATAATATTTATGGATTTAAAAAAAAAATGAATAACGGACATCAAATTTTAAAAAGTTAAAAAAAAAATTAATATTTTGATGAGAATTTGTATAATAATTCTTTTTTATTCTTTAAGTCTCATCAAGCGAAAACCAGTTCATTTTATCTTATACTTTGTAATCTACGCATTAAATTACCTAATATTTAATTAAATTAGAAAGCAATAAAAAATTATATTGAAATTTAGTATTTACGTCTTTCAGGTTGCAGGTGCCATAGCAACCTATGAAGTCGTTCTTCTCCAATTCAACGTTGCAATTACGCAGCCTTCGCCATCAGTCACTTGTGCTCCTTCATCTAATTAAATTGAGTTAATTATTTTACAAGCTCACAAAAGCATCATTTTAGGAGCAAATAAATATAATGACGAAATTTTCAATCACTTTTCTCCAGCTCTCCAAATCAGCCCCCGAAGGAGAAATATTTTGGCGCCCATAGAGTGCGCCTCCTGTTGTGCGATTTTAAAACTAAGTTTGTTGTTATTTCGGTCGCCGCTTCTGATCCACGTTTTAAATTATTTCAAACCTTATATTTCTGATAAAGAATTGAGTTTTACGCGGTGTATTTCTACTCAAGTGATTCTTAATAGTTCACAAAATCAGCAGCCATCAACTGCGGTCTGGTTTAAAATCGGTTAGGTACGTAATTTGTCATCATGATCATTAGATTCTGATATTCAATGAAATCCGAAATGACTATGCAAATTTTTGAAGAGTTTATTGTAAATTATGATTTCAACGACGTGCATTTTTCAGTGGTGATGGAAGGCGAGGGCAAGTTGGAGTGTCAGAGTCAGCGTCTGCAACGCAACTTGCTCGACGTCGTGGACACCGAGTGGCGCAACGAGAAACTGCCCTTCGAGGACATCGAGGTGCCGCAGGAACTTCTGCCCGACCCTGAGGCGGACAGCACCGAGGAGGCGCAGATGACCATCAGAGACCTCGAGCAGCGCTGGACCGACCTTGGCCTCGCCAAATTTGCCGAGACCGACAGCAACAAGCAGTAGAATTAATTTTAAACCACACAAAACACCCAGCACTTCTTTAATTTTTTGGTAAGAAAAAAATTATGCAACTTGAGTGAAATTTAAAATTATTTAGCAATCATGATTTACGGATTAATAATAGCATTACGATTTTGGTTTGTAATAAATATTTGCCGTCAACAATATTGAACAAGACTCAAGAATATCATTGCAGAATTTTCATTGGTTGTAATCATGGATGTTAATAATTTTTCACTGCGGCGGATTGTCCAGCAATTCCTATTTTATTTAAATTGTTGTCAACAATTGAATGCTATGTATTCATTTGTATTGCAACTATGCAGGCAAACAAACAATAACAATGACTATAAAAATAACCTTTTTTAAGGACTCCTTATTGACTGACACAATCAAGTCAAGTTTTTCAATGATAGGAAGCGATTTTTGGCGACTATTGGAAATTTTTACCTCCACTATTTTAAAGAATTGATTTTAATATTGTAGTGAAATAAATTTCTTGACTTAACATTCCTCAATATTTACTAGGTGATGAAAACTTTCAATATCATCAGCAATTTGATGATCTAAAAAAATTTAATTCTCGTGCTTCAATAATTTAAAACTTAGTTTAACAAAAGAGTTTTTAATTTGAGTATGAACGCAGAGTATAAAAGAAAAGATGAAAAAGTATAGGACATTTAAATGGGGATAAAAAAGGTATTTTTTTTTTAATTTAAAATAAATTAATTATGAGCTCTACCAGATATTAGGGAGTTCAAAATAGGGTTCATTATATATATTTTTTTTCAATTTATAAAGTTTCATTTTGTTGATATTATTTGGTGTTTCGAAGAAATTGACACTTGATGGAAATGATTTTCATCGTTGCAAAATTTGCGGCCAGTGAATAACCTCTACAAATGACTTGCCGGTCAAAAATCAGCAAGCCCTTTACAGAAGTCGTCCACTAGAACGCATCAGGCTCGAAGGGCAACTCGCATTTTGTGAGCAATGCAACCTGGCGGCTGGTCCGAAACCAAAGCCACCAAAGCCATATTACTCTGAAAAGGCAAGTGGGGTCAGTGTGAGCCACTGGGGAGCAATCCGACCTGGCGGCCTCTCAAAATCGGCGCCACCATGGCCATATTACTCTCCAGCTGCTGGCCCGTGCTGACTGATGCTCTTGCTTGTGGAGCGTCCCTTTTTATACCGCCTGCCGCGCTCCTATTGGCCCGGCGCTGTCACGTGATCAGCGCTCCTCTCACTCATACAGGGAGGGGGCAGAGTTTACTGAGCGCGCTGAAAGTTCTAGATTTGTATTGATGAATCACATGAATTTTCTTGATTCACCACACCATTCATTATTCCAGAAATTACCCCAGATAAACATAAAAAATTTAATTTATTCAAATTGTTGTTAGTGTGCGTGTGTGTTTCTTTTGATAATTCGTGATAATTATATAAGATCAATAAATTTTAACATTTTCATTGTTCATCTAGCTAAGAAGAGTAAAAGGAATAATTCATAATAAATACAAAACTCAATTTTTATTATTTTTGTTATTTGTCTACAATTTTTAAAATACATGCAGGAATCAATTGTTGAAAACAATTATATTTAAATAGGAATTGTTGGGAAAAACACCACTAGCAAGAATTTTGCTAAAACTTTGAAATAAGAAAGTTAAATTTTACATAATTTTATTACAACGATCAATTTTTAAATTTTGTTTCAATAACGTAGTTTGCTTTCAATTAATGAATCGATTGAAAAAATATCGTTAGAAGGGTTTCGTGGGGTTTTGTACAAACAGAAAAAAAGAGTACGCCAACAAGATCCACCAATATCAAGAATTTTGCCCAAATTTTCAAGATAAAATAGACCCCATCCGGTGGTGAGCTTTGGTTGAATTTGTTTTCCTTTTTGCTATTATTTAAATATAATTATATGATGCTCCCAAAAATAAAAACACCAATATTATTTTTAAATTATTTTAAGACTTTGGTTTTCATGTGAATATTTATTTCCATTATTTGTAAACGCATTTGAAACTTTGCAAGACGCTCAGACAGGAGTAAAATGACAAAATAGTTTCCCCCGACACGAGTTTTGTGATGCTATTCTCATTCTAAGCTTTTTTCAGATGCAATGGCCGAGTTGCCCAACTTGGGCCGTCACTGTGGCTGGTCTTTGTGCCAGCAGCTGGACTTCCTGCCGCTCGAGTGCCGCCACTGCCAATTGACCTTCTGCAAGGAGCACCTGCCCTTCGCCAGTCACGCCTGTGCCAAGAAACCAGACCGAGTCCTTTCAGCAGACGAATGTCGCTTGGCCGAGGGTTTCGAGTGCACCTTCGAAGGCTGTCAGCGCCGGGAGCTGGTGGCCGTCACGTGTGGACAGTGTCAGCGCCAAGTGTGTCTTGACCACCGTCTGCCGACGCAGCACAACTGCCCCTCGGTGGAAATCCAAGCCGAGATCAACCTGGAAATTTCTAAGAAGGAAGAGGCCCTGAGCAAGGAAATAAGCATTGCTAAAAAAGAGGTTTGTTTTAATCTTGGATCACTGCAAATAAAAAATTAGAATTGAAAAAGAAAAAAATAATTTGAATATTAATTATTAAAAAAACTTTTTTATATTAATTTTAATTACCATTAGTGCAAAATTAATATTATTTGATTTTAAATTGCAAATAATAAGAATTTAAATAATCTTAAATCAAGAAGCAAAATTTCTTATAATTCTGATTATTAATCCGATATTTATTTAATTCAATTATCTTTTCCTCTGCCAATCATATAATATTTTAAAATTAAATTTAAACAAAAAAATATTTTTATATTATATTTTATTAATTATTGCTTTATAATAAAATATATCATTATTAAATGTTATTAAAAATTTCAGGTTGAAGAACAATTGGCAAAACAGCTGAAAGCGGCCAAGAACCGAGCAAGGGCAGCCAAAGTGCAGCTGATGAAACTGAAAAGCAAAGCCTCGCTGGCCAAACGAGGCCTCAACATTGCTCAGTCCGAGAGGCTGCACTTCTTGGTCAAAACGCCTGTGGGAGGAGAGGAGGTGCTTGTCGTTTCGAAGGAGTGGAGTCTTGGCCGAGTGTTGGACTTCACAGCTGAGCAGTGCTGCACAAAGAACACCAACAACGTTCCAAACACTCCGAAACTGCGTTTGGTCCAAGAGGATGGCACTTTGATTGACGAGAATAGACTTGACTCCACGACTGCAACCTTGGTCGAGAAGGGGGAATTGTGTGATGGACAGACAGTTGTGTTAAGATACTTTGATTAAAGGTATTTGAATTCGCTATAAATCTTCATGAAATGGATTGCAAAAATAATTATTAAATTGATTTGGAATTTATAAAGTATTTATTGAAAGTTTAATTTGCTTGAAAAAGTAAACAATTAATTAGATGTGTAACACTAATTCATATTTATTTATTTATATTGATCTTAGGCTCAAAATGCAGACATGATAGAATGAAGTCGTCGTGTTCATCCTGGTGAATTAATCGGTTGCATGTCTCCTCGCAGTCTTTGCTGCAGTACCATGTCACATCAGGGTAATCGTCAAAATCTTTGCAGTATGAGCATAAAATGAACTTCAAGTTGTCTGAAAATAATTCAATTTTTCCGCACCAGCGACAGTGTTTGACAGGAGCCATCGTAATTTCTCCTTTATTTGTCATGACAATGCGTCCATTTGAAATTTTTCTTGTGAGGCACAGAGTTATTTCAGGATTTCTTTCCAGGTCGTTTTTGTCCAGCAAACTCAGGTCCCTCCTTTTGTCGGCACACAATTTGGGCATCAGATTTAATCGCAAACCCAACCAATTGTGTTCTTTGAATAAATCGACCAGTCTTTTAGTTTCTACATCTATAAATGCTTCACAGTCATCATAGTGCGCTGACTTATGGATGAAGAGGGTGTGCAGAACGATGCCGAAAATTTTCCTGAAGCTCAAATTGTCCGCTTCGGAAAATACCTTTTTTCTTAAGTCGGCCAATCCTCTTCCGTCTTTTGGAATGCTCTGTTTGCGTTTGAGGCAATGAATTTTCCTGTGAACGTGTTGCAGCAACCATCGAATAGTTGATGGCACGTAGTCCAAAATGCAAAGCACCTGATCCAGAAAGTTGTGCATTTTGAGGAGATATTTTAGATTTGGTGAGGGGGCATTTCGTAATTCCAGAACTCGGATTGACTTTGATATCCTCATCAAAAACCATTGCTGTCTAACCGTCCACTTTCTTATGATATCATCAAAGCACTCGTGTATATCAGGAAGATTGTAGAAGCAATCGGTAAAGATTTTTTCCAAGCTCTGTATACCTGGAATTCCTTCAAGCTTGTGATCAGGAGAAGTTTTGTCAAAAACAAACAAATTGATCTCGTACCACAAGTTATGCCACAAATAAAAAATCTTTTCTGCATAAAAACTCCGAATAAACTTTTTTTCAGGAAAAGCTTTTTCCTTAAAGGGTTCATTCAAATCATCCTCAAACTGCTTGATTAGGTTTTCAATCACGGTGACCAAACGATCTAGATTGAAGGCTTTAAAATACGGCTTCTTATTGGCGGTCAGGAAGGAGGAAACGAAGCAGGGCAACATGTACTGAGCCCAGAGCAAATTCTTCTGACTTTCAAACCGAAATCCCTTTGTTTTACAGTTTTGCGTCAGAATCGCTGTGACCATCCGAGATATTCTTTCCTGGAAAATTTCAATGTTTTGTTTTCAGATAAATCATAATATATAATAATATTTTTTTATAAATACCTGCATTGCAGCAGCTTTCCTGTCAAAGTAGTTGTTCCTGGCCTGAAATTTTTTGGACATTGCAGTTTCCTTTCGTAGACTTTCAACAACTCTATCAATATCCAATCTCGGTTTTGATGTGGCTTCTTTGATGATTTTGATGCATTTAAGCAGGTAAAGCAGGTTAGATGATGCGGAGGCTTTATCAGGAAAGTTGAACTCTGCGTTAATTCCTTTAAGCTTCTGAAATAGCAGTAAATATCCCATGGTGTTAGTGAGAATGCGATGTAACGAACGCCTGCAATCCAAGCTGACAAATACATTTGTGTGCCCGTTGTCGGTGCACAATTCGTTGTCCTTCAAACAAAACTCATAAAAAAAGTAGTTCTCGATGTTATCGACAATGCACTTAATCTCGGGCCCTCTTTTTAAATCTTGCTGTGAGAAACCATTGATCAACCTGTTCTCAATTATGTGTTGCTCCAGGAACGACACGTACACTTCTCTGTTCCAATTCACTGTGCAGGTAGAGGCGATCGCTATGAACATCATCGGATCGTCATCCACACAGATCAGATCCAACGTGCTGTCAGCAGAAGTCAGGACCCGGTCAATTTCGGAGAGATCTGTAATGCGGTGACCAAACACTCCGTCGTCCTGAATCGCATGCATCAACGACAATGATCGACCGATGTTGATGCGAAAGGGCAACCTCAATGATTCAAGATTCGTCAAGTGATCTTTTTTCACTCGAATGCTTACCATTGACTCCTTTCCAAACTTCATCAGGATTTGTCTCTGAACCGATAAAAGGACAATATCGAGAGAGTCGCATTTGGAGAAAAATTCTTGAAAATGGCCGATTCTCGGTACAAAATGTACTTTGATGAATTGAACCAATTTGTGGTCAATTTGCGGGTAGCTTTTCACTCCGAGTCCCAAAAGAGCAAAACCACCCGCAATAAAAGCCTCGGCGCTGTGGTAAAATTTATTCAGTTCAGTCAAGGGAGTTTTTAGACTTGCAGGATATGCGAATAAACCGAGAAACGACAGTTTCTTGGAAATCCTGAACCACTCTGCGGTGAATGCACTCATCCATTGATAAAGGACGCTGGGGAAATATGGTAGCTGCATGATGACCCGCGGCTCGAAAAGGTACTCGGCTGCATTTTTGCATTCGTCCAGGTTATTGGCAAACTCCTCGAAAAGTGTTCGCACGCTCAGAAATTCCGAGCTGATTGGTATTTCTGGACGAGTTTTCCTGCAGAGCGCGTCGATCATTTTCCAAAATGCTACTCCGTGCACCTCGTTGTGCAAAATAAATTGTGCGGCGTGCAGAAATTGCTTGTAGCAATCGGGCTGGGTTTGCACTCGGTGATAAGCGGCGGGCAGATAAAAAGGCAAACTGCTGTTAAACAAATCTTGTAATCGGCCGTTCAGGGATTCGGGCGCTGACACCTCGTAGGTAAAAACGGACGGTTTAATCCACGCAAAATTGGCGTTGAACGCCATGACTCTTATCCTGGAATCAAAATCAAATAAAATTTATTTAAATATACAATTTCTATAAAGTCTCGTAAAGTCTTACCTGTAAAAGTAAAGAATATTCTTAATAATATAGACTTCCACTTATAGCTTTAATTATTGACGGCTCTCCAATGCAATGTCGCTCTGAAGTGTGAATTTGGTTGTGACTGTATGCGTGTGTTTAATCCTGACAACGCTGTGGTAGTTAATTTATCAGACTGCTGAGAGATAAGAAGTTCTTCGAAAACAAATCTTGCGGACGCAATTGTACATTATTTGTACAATCTTCCAAAATGAGGATGATTTGTTTCAGGAAAAGGTAAAGTACCAGTCTAGTATTGCAAAAGTCCAAGACAATTTAAATATTTCTTGTAAAAATATGGACTAATCTGATCATTTAAATAATGCCTCCTAAAACTAAATTTTCTACAATTTTTTTTATAACACATTTTTTTTAGTCCGCTCTACAGTCCACCAAATCGGTCTGGTCAATAAAAATTTATTTTATTAAATTTTTTTGAGTGAATTAATGTTATTAAATTAATTTGATTTTAATAAATATTTCCAGTTTCGCTAGTGTTTATTTGATCGTAAATAATGCAAATTAAATGAGTAGATTAAAATACAATTGATTAATCTTTTGTAATAATAATGTTTTAGTTTTAATACTCAATTTAATCATTTATACCCTAATAATTTCAATCATTTTTAATAAAATTTCTCTTCTCATTCTTATCAATGGTAAAATTCACAAATCGCATTGATAAAATATAATTTTAATGTTTGAAATAACAAAATATTGTCAATTTGGCAAGCAACTGTGATTATTTGAACTTTAAACATAAATAATAAAATAATGCATAAATTAAATAATTAGATTAAAAAAATAAGCACTTTAATAGTATTTTTAAATCTATTAAACGCTATTAAATCAAATGAAACAATAAATAACTTTTTAAATAATTAATATGTTCTTCAATTTCAAGGAGGCAATTTTTTATCATACAGAACACCGCGCATCGCCGTCTACGAATATAAATTTGGGCAATAAAAAATAGTGCTCACCATGCCTTTTACTGATTCAGATAATTGAATTCTGCAAAAAAAAACCTTAAGATAAAAATTAAATTTTATTTTGTCCACCGGGGTTTGTGTTCAAGTTACAAAATGAATCAATAAAAAAAATTAAAAAATATAATTGTGTAGTTTGGAATTTATTAAGTTGTTCATTTTATGTTATAAATAATTAAAATATATGATTTATTATTTTATTGTAGCGGCTTTGTAATGTTTTACAATCAAATAAAACCGGTTGGGGGTGATAAAGACAATATTTATTACAATCGTTAAAATCGTAATTGATTATAAAATAATACAAATCAATTGATCAACCAGGCCGGGAGGGAATTAAGTTGCCTGTCATTGTAATTATGCATTCATTAAATTTCAATATTCTTACGAAGTAGAAGAGGGATTGTATAAAAAAAAATTCATCATTGGGAATGTGTTTTTAGTTAAATAATAAATCAATATTAAAAAATAGAATGTTTATTAAACTTTGAAATTAATTTCGTATTTCATTTTATGTTACAAATTAAAATATCATTTATTAAACCGGGGGGCCGGGTGGCCAAAATATTGTAATTTTAATCCGAAGGTTTTTTTTTTGCGAAAATAATAAATCCTTGTATTAGATCCATAGCACATAAAAGCCAGTTTTTGCACGCCTGCTTCGCGGCGAGTTTGTAATTTTGAACGAGGAGGCGTGGCACGATGTCGGCACAAATGTTTTGATTTGTGCACAAAACAAACGTCACAAGTCACAAACACTGCAACCAGAGACGGCAGAGACTCTTGATCACTGCAACTTGAAGACTGAAGTCGGCCGCATTTAATTTCGTGGCTCTTAAAGATCATTAAGTACTCTAGTCTAGAGGATTTGTTAATTTGCAGTGTTGACTAAAAATCGATTACATTTTGCAACAATAAAATAAAAAATGACCACCCCAGCAGCAGCAGCAGCCGTAAGTGAATGCTACACATACATAAATTTTCTGGAACAACTTCTACCATTTCAACGTCCTTTTTGCATTACGTTCCACTTCTTAAGTTCTAGAATATAATAGTTTTTAAACACTTTAAACTTATGAAGATAGGAATAACTAATTGCATTTTTTTTAACATTAAATTTTTTAAATAATAAACGACATTAATAATAAGAAATGATTAATAAATTTTCAGGCAACGCCAGCAACGGAGTACACCATCCGATGTCCCAAGTGAGTCACACTTTATTTCTAAATTTATTAAAAATAAACGTTTCTGTTTAGGAACACGAACAAAAAACTACACGTCATGAGGTTCGCTTCTGAACGAGATCTGGACTTCAAGAAATGGACAAACGTCAAAATGGAAAGGGAGAACAACATGCGCGAGTTCAAAGGCATGGAGGAGGATCAGCCAAAATTTGGCGCAGGCAGCGAATTTGGGTATTTTGCAAAAACTTGCAGTAAGCAAAGAGTTTTAATCTGAATGTTTTGTAGTCGCGATCAACGAGAAGAAGCTCGCCGGAAGAAGCTGGGCATCGTTAGTCGAAAGTATCGGCAAGATGACCAGCCGTGGCTCTTGAAAGTTGGTGGAAAAACTGGCAGGAAGTACAAGGGCATCAGGGATGGAGGAATTGCAGACAATGCTGCCTATTATGTCTTCACTCATGCTCCGGGAGGACACATCGAAGCCTATCCACTTCTGGAGTGGTTGGTTCATTATTGTCAACTAAAATTGAATTACTCATTTTTAAATCCAAATCAGGTACAACTTTATTGCCATTCAGAGATTCAAACCTTTGACTGCTGAAGAGGCTGAGGAGGTTTACAGCAAGAGGAACAAGACAATCGATTTCTTCAGTCTGATGATGCGGAAAAGACTGCGTGGTGACACGGATGACGCCGACGAGGATTCCATCAAGGAGGAGAAGGTTACATATTAACGCCGAGTGATTTTTAGGATGACGTAATTGTTGCATTTACTTACAGAAAAAGGGGAAGGCTAAGAAGGATTTCACTATCTCGGAGATGGACGAGTGGATGGAGTCTTCGGAGGATGACGAGTCAGGGGACGAAGAGAAAGAGGAGGAGAAAGAAGACAAGAAAAAGAAAAAGAAGCAGGTAGGCAAGGACAAAAAGAAGAAGAAGAAGGGATCTGACGATGAGGCTATAGAGGAGAGTGACGATGGTGATGAGGAAGGTCGAGAGCACGAGTACATTTCCGACTCAAGTTCTTCAGAATCTGAGCATGAAGGAACCAAGCAGCTCAAGGTAAATAATACACTTTAGTAATAACTAACTAAAGTACTTTTATAAATCTTTTAAAAAGGATTTTAAATTGATAAAAATTGTTAAAAAAAAAAGATTAAATTGTTATATCAAAATCTATTAGCAGATCAACTGCATAATCTATATTTTCTGAAAGAAAAAAATTCTAATAAAATAATAATTTAATAAGGGAGTGGCTGAGGAAGATGCCCTGCGCAAACTGTTGACTTCAGACGAAGATTCCGAGGACGAGGAAAAGAAGGACGAGGACAAGAAAGATGATGAGACCAAAGGGGAGGAGGACGAGGAGAAGGCTTCGAAACTCAACAAGAAGAGCAAGAAGAAGGTTGTCGAAAAGAAGGAAAGTAAAGAATCCAGTTCCGACATGAGCTCGAACAGTGAAGATGAGGAAAAGGAAAAGAAGCCCTTGGACGAACCAGTGCCTGCCCCTCAGGAGCAAAAGCCTGTGGTGGAAAAGAGGAAGGCCGGGGACGGCACTCCTCCATCGTCACCACCACTCAAGAAGCCAAGACCTGAAGGAGCAAAGTAGTTTATTTTTTTTAACAAAAATATTATATTTTTATTTAATTTAATATTTTTCAGTGATAGCATGGAAGAGGCTGTGCGCAGGTACTTGACTAGAAAGCCAATGACCACCACTGAACTGCTCCAGAAGTTCAAGAGCAAGAAAACTGGCATGAGCAGTGAACAGCTGTTGAAGCTGATGACTCAAATCCTGAAGAGAATCAACCCTGTGAGGCAAACAATCAAAGGGAAAATGTACCTTTCCATCAAAAAATGAAATTTAATCTAAGTTATATATTATCTCTACCAGTAAAAAATTCCAGTGCTGTTTTACTGTGACTAAATAAATAAATTAAACAAATTTTCTTTATAATTATTAGTTTAATTGTCAATCCAAAGCCATTTATTTTTGAGTTTGTCTCAAACGTCAGTCCTGATTAGATTTTGGTGGTCTATTGGCCACAACTATGTGACCCCACATCACTTTCTTCCTGCAGCCAGGACACTTTCCTTCAACTGGAAGCACAACACCTTTGGAACCAAGTCTCTGCACCCAGCATGCAGCGTGCGCTGAAAATTCGCAATGAAGACACCTGAGGGTTTTCAGTCCATTTCGTCGTCCACACTCTGCACATTCTTCTTGAGCAACGAGGGCTTCATGAGGTTGGTCTGCCTTTCTCAGGGCTCCTTTCACAATACTCATGTGATCGGGAAGGGGCGTCTGATTAAAGTAATAATAAAAGAAGGTTAATTTTTTTATAAGAAAATTAAGTAGACATTTATTTTACTTTGAGAGTGGCAAAGTATTTGGGCTGAAGCCACCTGAGCGTCAAAGGAAGTCTCCTCCAAGGACCAACCCTGAGCATTTCATTCACAACACCAAGGCAGAAAGTTAAGGTTCGTTTTGCCGTCTTCGAACATCCCAAATGTGCCAGGCGTCGAGATCGCCACGGGTGCTGCCAAGCCCATTCAAACTGAAATTAATCAATTTTATTCTCTGCTAAAACTTATTTGACATTTCTCACTCTAAGTGCAGCTACGTCATTGGGAAAGCCATGAACTATTAAGATCATCTCCCTGAAAATTAATTGATAATTGTTTTGAGAATATTAATACATACACATATTAGGGACAGACCATGGTCCTTTATTACTTGTCCTTCGGGCGCCACCAAATTGAGATCCTCGATTATGTTGTTTCACTCGACGCAAAGGGTTGACGGTGAAGCCCACGTAGGTCCGACCCAGGTATTGTGGGTTTGTGCAGTATAAAAGATAAACGCCGTAAAAGTGCTCCTCGATCTCTCCCTCAAACTCTTGAATTTCACTGCCCATTATACGTCACTGAAAAATAAAAGGTCAAATTAATTTATCATATTTATTTAAGATTAAGAAAAAAATTGACATTGAAATAATATAATTTTTTAAGTTTTTTTTCCAAATGCAAATAAAAATTCAATCTGAAAACTACACAAAAAATCCTGACGTTTTCACCTTTTTTACGTATTAATACATAGATCTTTACGTTAAATCCAACGAATATAACTAGCCCGAGTAATAAATTAATTTTTTTTAAGAATTGAGTTCACGTTTATGCAAATTCTACACGAAACTCCAAAGAGTTCAAAGAAGTTGGAATTAAACAGAATTCGCCAGTGGAGATTTGTTTACATTTTGAAATTTCCCTCGAGCACTCAAGGCTGCCAGCATAAATGTCTTATTTTATTGCCAAAAATGCCAAACAATAAGGGCTACCAACTTCAGATAGTGCAACTGCAAGTGCAAGCCAAGACGAAAAACAGGGAGCTCTCTTAAAAAAAAAACTATTTTTGCTATTCTGTTCTGTGCGTGACATACGTAAATCAAGATTCCTGTGTACTCATCAAATCTCTTTGAAGCCAAAACTTCTTGGACTGCAGTGAAAATCAGACAAGGGTTGTGAGGATTGGAGGAATGCGAGGATCCAAAATGCAGGGACAGGCTATAGCGCAGGCGACAACGGAATTCGCTACAAGACGAAACATAAAAGGTAGGATGAAATTTTTAACGCCAAAATTGTGTTCTACGCCGTCATTTTTTAGGAAATATTCTACAAACACTGTACAATTGAAACTAGAATAACTAATCAAATTCTTGCAAATGCAAGAAAACTTTAGAAACACGGTCAAATTTTTTGTGATGCAAAAAATAATAATTTATGCAAATTTGAAATTTATTTCCATATTTTATGGCATTGAAAGTTGCGATCAAAATTTGTACTTTTCTAAGTTATTATTTAATTTTTTTTTAATTGTTTATCCCTCTTGGGAAAGGCACCAGCCAATCTTTTCTTTCAACGTTTCAACTATTAATTCCTAAGGTAATTTATATTTAATTATGTATTAGATTTACAGCTTAAAATTGCAGGTTTGACAATGATTATAAAAACGAATTATAAAGTTGAATGAAACCATTCCAGTTTTAATTAAATTTAATCTTCACAAAATGGGTAGGCGTCCGTCGCCGTGCTCAGTGCGTTCACCAAATACGAATTCGAACCCAACGTATTCACGTAAAGGGCCACCAGATAATTAGCCGCAACAGTTGAGTACGAACTTGCCGTATCCGAATTCCACAAAAAGTCGCTGATATTCAACCTTTCGTTGGTGCCGCACCAAACGGGCGCTGTGGGTTTTCCTAAAGAGGAGCCCGAAGTCCACAGTTTGAAGGGGCGAACACCTTTTTTGTTGTTCGATTTTTAATTTCAGGCTAATTAAGAAATTAAAAAAAAAAACGTACTGAAATTTAAATTCGCAACGCAATCGAGTTTGCTTTGCGACTCCAGCGAGACCATGCGCATTCCAAATTTGCAACACAATGATCCTCCGGAATGAGCGCTCTTCAGATTTATAAAAGTTATAGAGATATTTTTTTAAATTTGCTCATTCTTACCTTAGTTCCGAACAAGATGAAATTTTTTCCTCCGCAAACGTTTCTCTTGAAGTAAATAGCGCTTGATGCCATTGCTGAAATATTAAAATTTTAATTTTATTTAAATCCCAGAAAAAATACTTGCAAATGTTTTGCTCGTAGTTCTGACGATAAACGGGCTGGAATTTAATTAAAAATTAAAAGAACCCAAATTTAGAAGAAAAAATGGTTCACATACATCAATAACGCATTCGAATCCTGTAGGACATTTAGCCACTTCTGGTGGCAAAGGCACCTCTTCCTTTTCAATGAGATTTTTTTTTTTAATAATTTTTTAAGTTTCTCCAAAATTAAAATTTACCGCCGAGATGTTTCTTTCGACGGTGGCAATGGCATTTGCGACCAAGTCTGGTGCTTGTTGTTGTCCACACTGATAAGCCTGTGCCGCCGTGTCACATTCGTCCATTCCCTCTATAAAATTAAATAATTTAGTAAATATAAATTGGTACCAAAAAAATTTTTTTTTTCAGATATTTTCTTTACTAATGTGTGCGCAGTTGTCGACCGCTACTAAATTTTTCTGCAGTTCCTCCGCGTTGCTACTTGACATTTGTTCAGCAATTTTTATTAGTCCCTCGTCTATGAGTCTTCCGTTGAGAATCTTGGAAATGAAAGTTTATTTACCAACGAGAAATTAACATTATACACTAGTAAAACTTTTTCTATTGGAACGTCTGAAATTTTCTGACTGAAAATCTGAAGGTCAATTTTCTTTTCGTAATTATGTAATTATGTCATTTTCGGTCATTTTTATCAAGTTGGCCCGATTAAAAATTTTTTTATTTTGAAAATTGTCACCAGTGCAATTTTAAAAAATTTGAACGTTCAAATTGCACATTTCTTCTAATCTTCAGCTCTTGCCTGTTTAACATTTATTTGATTTACAAACTATTGCTACCACCAAACTAATTAAAAATTAATATGAAATTTATAGATCAAAACATACAAGTCCTCCATTTTCGCCAACGCACTTCAGAAAACACTGTAAACACATTTAAATTTGAACCTCTGGCTTAAAGTTTGTATTCTATTTTAAACTATTTTCTACCTTAATTTTTGTGTCAAAATTAGTAGAGTTGAAAATGTTGTCCACTTCAGCTAAATTCAAGAAATTATTTTGAGAATTTAAAAAAAAAAATCACAAATATCGATATGATAAATTAAACTTTTTTTTCGGCTTTTCCTCGATGGGTTTTTTGAAAAATATATAAAGGGAAACAAAAACCCATTGAGGATTAAATTAAATTCATCTTAAAACATTTCATACATTCTGACAGATTAAATGCAGCGGCACATTCATTTTTGATGGCGTTTCCTGCCGTTGTTGAATTTGTGGTGTCTCTAGCCTTTGACAAATTATAAAATATTTAAATTTTCAATGCAATATTTTTTCCACTTCGCAAATGTATTTAAAAGTTTTCAAACAATCCTCATCTTGGAGCTCTGCCTTATTTGTGTCCACGCCAACAACAAGGCAATTTTCTTTTCCTCCCGCATTTTCTGGTTGACCCGAGGCCCAAATCGCGTTTCGAACAAGTTTGTTGACCGCGCACCAGCCAAAAGCTTTTTCGCAACCCTCGTCCGAGGCTGAAGTCCAATAATTACCAGCAGGGATCGCGTTACTTGCTTGAGAGAAAATTAAGTATTTATTAATGTTTGCAATTTAAATTAAAATCCAACATCTCAAAGCCGCCTGCAGATTATTGTACTCATAGTCATTGTCAATGCTCAAGAGCTTCATTCCAATTCTACAACATTCAGAGTTTGCGTCCGACCACTAAAATCAGTTGATATTTATATTTTTTAATTTTTTTTTTTTTTTTAATAAAAATTAATTTACGTTTTTAGATGCCGTGCTAAAAACATAGCTTCTTTCGTTGACAGTAAACCAAATACCATGATCAGCAGGCTCTATGTCGTCAAAATTATTATATGAAATATTATGTCAGTATAAATTTTTGTATAACTTGTCAAATAGCTCGTTTTTCCGTCAGCGAGTTGTGTGAAGAGCGTAAGCTGAGAATCAATGACAAGTTAAATCGAAATCAATGAAACAATTTTAACAATTTTTACGTCTTTCTTGCAATTATATGATGGACACTTGGGCGCGAAACACGGAGGCGCTGTGGTCGGCGTTCCCTAAATTTTGTAGTTTCAAATTTTCAAAAATCAACTTTTTCTGATTTTGAATACCTGGCAAGCAAAAACAAACGAATTTTTGCAGTTTTTCGCCGTCAATTGCATTAAATTGAGGGTTTGATCGATGACCATGTGGACGCAGTCTTGAGTCTGGTTGGGATTATTGGGCTCCCCAGTTGCCCACATTGACGGTTGGCCCTTGGCCGATTTGGTTGCAATCGAAATTGGCTGGGGGGAGCAGAATTCATATGTTGCAATTGGCAAGTTATGTCTGGCTGAGGTCCAATAGTTTAAACTGTAATCCCACTTGGCTGTAAAATCGCTTTTATCAACAGAAAATGAAGGTTATTTTAATTAATCTACGAATTAATTTATTCATGCAGGCATATTTTGTTGCGTTTTCAATTGCAATTGGAGCCATTCCCAGACTGCAACACCGCTTGAAGTTTGTCTCCCAATCAACCTTGAAACAAATCAAATTTTGTTCGTGATTTTCAACTGAATTGAGGAATCATAAGTATTTTTCAGTATTTTATTACAACACTCTTTCCAAACAAGAATAAAACTCCACAGGCCTCGTTCCAATAACCATAAGACTGAGCATCTTCAATTTTTTTAATAAAGTTATTAAAAATTCAAATTTTTTCAAAATTTTAACAAACCCGCAACGCTGCTGTCGGGCATCAAAAGAGAACTCTGGAAATAATTTTATTTTAAAGAAAATTATGTAGCTAATACAAGTAATAATTTAATACATTTTTCTGACAAGTAGATAGGGTGTGTGAGCAATTGTATGGAACCTTTGGATTTTATTGTCTCAGTTTTAATTCCAATTTTTATATTAAAATGGTGGATTACAACCTCAGGTTGGACTGTTGTAGTGGTGGTACTGGTGGTAGATGTAAAGGTTGTGGATGTGCTACTTGAACTTGTTGATGCGCTTGTTGAAGTTGTTGACGGACCAGGTGAAGTTGTTGACGCACCAGTTGAAGTTTTGGAAGTGGTAATCAAAGTTGCTTCAGTACTAGTGACAGCTGTTGACGCGCTAGTTTTTGAAGTTAGAGTTGATGAGGCGCTAATTGGAGCTGCTGAAGTGCTAACTGAAGTTTTTAAATTGTTTATTGGAGTTTCAGAAGTGCTCATCAAAGTATTTGACGAGATAGTTGTTGAAGTTTTTGTAGTGTCAGATGAAGTGGCTGATACGCTAGCCTTGATTGTTGATTCGGTTGTTGGCGATTCATTAGGTTTAGTTGTTGGAACTTCGCTTACTCCCTGATTTCCGATGGTAGAACTTGGAGTTTCAAACCCATTGTCGGCTTGAGATGAACTTTCCGTTGGTTCGCCTTGCACAGTTGAAGGTTCCTCTGGTGCAGAAATTTCATCGTTACTTACCTCACTCGCTTCTGCTGCAGTCTCAGAGTTTGAAATCTGGTCAGTTACAGCAATAGTTTTGCCAGAAGTAGCTTTTTCATTGGTCCTTGATACCGTCTATACAAAAATTGTTATTAGAAAGCTGCTCTGAAATTACCAAATGATTATTTACGCGTGTTTTATGCGTAGTTACATTGCTTTTAGAGCTGCCACCCAAGCAAGAACTATAACCGCAGCAGTTGACTATCGCTTTTCGAGTATCTAAGATAATAATAAAATTGCAAACAATTGTTTTATAGTTCTGGTTTTTCTCAGTTTCTGACTTATTCGAAGTATGCTTCTTGATTTTCCACGAGCTTTCAAATCTCTCTTACACTCACAGGATATCTTCGACAATACACTGTTAATTATTTTGTTCTGTTTTGGAAAAATTATTTTACCAGAGCTAATATTATAAGAAAGTTTAGCAGCAAAACTTTGTTGAAATTCATGCCGGTGTTAAACTGTAAAGATTGTGCGACTTGCTGGGGCCTGCCCGGCGTACAGAATGATTCGATCTGCAGTATTTATTTTACAAAAATGAGAGATTTCAACGTTCGCTGATGCTCTACAGGATGCATTATCAATGCATCAATAACATTTTTTCCTCTTAGATAATATTTTGGCCTTTCCAGCAATTTAAAGCTGACGTTCTTCCGCAACTTTGCTGTAACGAGTTACGTATGTATAATTATTTCGTAGCTTAATTCCACCAATAACAATATTTTACTTGAAGAAAAAACAAATTTTCTTTAGAAAGGAAAAATAATTTTATTTCGACAACACTTACATCAGCTATGCATGAAAATTATTTTATCATGTTATTCAATAATTATTTACAGGCATTTCAATAAATTTTATAAAAAAATTACAAATCTTTTGCAAACAATCTTCCTCATAAAAATGCGTCGTTAATTAAAAAAAAAATGTTGAAGATTGCCAAATTTGCTCCGACTACGTACGCCTGGCACAGAGGCTGAAACTGTGCCGCTGTACCTTCGTTCAATGCGGGTCGCTTGCCATTTGTCATTCCACGTTTTGACGGCGCTGCTTTCTCACGGGCGGCGGTGGAGAACGGACCACTTGGGGCTAACTTTTTTTGAGTGTATAAGAGCTCAAATTAAATAAATAATAGCAATTAAAATTCATAATATAAGTGAGACCTTTCTTATATTTAATTTTTTTCTGATAAGCTTTTCATATTAAAATGAAACAACAACTTCTTAAATTCATTATTCCAATATAAATATATGACTGAAAATAAATGTGGAAATTGCGAATTTTAAATTGTTGTGCAAATTTAAACCCTACAGATATTTTTCTTGACCGTCAGCTTTTTTATTTTTGCACTGTATACAATTTTACAAATTTTCTGTGGCCTATTAGAGCCACTTAATTAATATTCCTGACACATTGGGTAGTATAATTCATCTGCTGTGCCTGGTACATTCATCAGATACGAGGCAGCTGTAGTGATCTCGGTATGCATTACTATTAAATATTTGTTGGCGATTTTTGATATGCCTGCTCCATTGTTCCATTGAAATTCCGTGACATTAACCGGCTTTCTGCGAACACACCACACAGGTTCGCCGGTTTTTCCCAAGCTCGATCCCGACGTCCACATTCTAATAGGACGTGGGGCAGTGGCGACTGATTAGATTAAGATTAGAAATTTAATCGGCAAAACTATCAAAATATATGAAGTGCTTACGGTAATTTAGATCTACAATGCAATCAAATTTTTCCTTTGAACCAATAGTCACAAGACGCATTCCTAATTTGCAGCATTTTGTCTCGGCGGCATTGTAGGTAGTCTTTTTAAAAAAAATAATATAGCTTACTTTTTTATCTCTAAAAACAAAGTGCAATAAATGCTTAGTTACAGGAGTTGTAAAAAAAGCCATCCTTGATCCTAGGCATCCAGTTTGAAAGGAAACAGTTCCAGGCAAAGCTAAAGATGTTTGTAAAAAATGCATTAACTGAAGAATTTTCAAACAGAAATCGCTTTTTAATACGGATATCTTGGTTATAAAATCTTCGCAGTACAGGCTAAAATTATTTTGAGCAATCAATAATTTTTTACAGTCAAGAGAATGTTTACATTGACAGCACACTGAAATCCTGTAGGGCACTTGGCTCTTTGTGGAGGCAGAGGTACCTCTTCCTTAAAGTTTTAATAAATTTTTTATTTTTTATTTATATATTGTAATATTTTACTCACAGCCGATGAATTTTGCTCGGCCGTAGCAATGGCACTAGCGACCAGATCTGGCGCTTTTTCTTGGCCACACTGGTAGACCAGTGCCGCCGTGTCACATTCGTCCATGCCCTCTGCAAATGAATTAATTTGCAAAATTTAGACTTTCACAGGCTGCCTCACTGATGTTTTCGCAACTGTCGATTGCCATCAAATTGTCCTGCAGATCCTGCGAGCTATTGCCTGAAATTTCTTCCGCCATCTTTATAATTCCCTCGTCCACAAGTTTTCCATTGACAATCTAAACATTTTATTTTAATACTTTTTTTTAATTTTGTGATATGAAAAACTTGCATATCCTCCGTTCTCGCCAACGCATTTAAGGAAACACTAAAATTATTATTAAAACCTACCAAAAGGGACCTAGTGCAACAGTCAAACCTTGATTCGAGTGTCAAACTTTGTGCTATTAAAAATGTTGTCCACCTCATCTATTTTATTAATTTTCAATACAGCAAAAGGCAAAGTTTGAATAAAAATTATACCTTCTGATACATTAAACACCGCCATACATTCATTTTTGATGGCGTTTCCAGCCGTAGATGAATTTGTTGTATCTCTAGCCTTTATAAAAATATTTATTAAAATATAAAATGAAATATTTTTTTCCACTTCGCAAATGTATTGAAAAGTTTTCAAACAATCCTCATCTTGGAGCTCGGCCTTATTTTTATCAACGCCGACAACTAGGCAATTTTCTTTTCCTCCCGCATTGTCTGGTTGACCCGTGGCCCAAATCGCGTCTCGAACAAGTTTGTTGACCGCGCACCAGCCGAAAGATTTTTCGCAACCCTCATCCGAGGCTGAAGTCCAGTAATTACCAGCCATAATCGAATTATTAGCTAATAAGAAAAATTAAATTTGAAATTTCAAAAGTTTCTTTACATCTTATTGCCATCTGAAGATTATTATATTCATAATCATTATCAACACTCAGCAGCTTCATTCCTATCCGGCAGCACTCCTTACTTGCATCAGACCACTTTATAATGCCAAATTTTTTACACAATTATTATTATTCTTTAATTCTAGCTATTGTTATGATACCGATTTTTTTGCTATGCTGAATAAGTAAGTTCTCTCATTAAATGTAAACCAAGTCCCGTGGGTGGAAGGATCTTTCAAAATATTTTAATGAAAAAATATTTTTATTGCTTAAAGCGGCTTAAAGCCTAGAAATTAATCTTACTTGCCAAAACACTTGTTTGGTTATCTTCCAGCGTTCGAAATAATGAATCCTATCAAAAATTTAATAATGAACTTAAAAAGCTGCAATAATAATTGTTTTACGTCTTTTTTGCATTCAGTGGGTAGACATTTTGGCGCGTGGCATGGAGGCGCAGGGGTTGGCGGGCCCTAAATAATTTTTGTGAAACGACTGTATTTATTTGCCAACTATTTTAAAAACCTGGCATGCGAATATGAAAGAATCACTGCAGTTTTTTGTCGTCAACTGTGTTACGTTGTGAGTCTGGTTTATGAATAAATGCACACAGGATCCATTGCTAGCAGGATGACTAGGTGCCCAAATGGACCCCGTAGTCGGAAGGGAAATGGCCCCGGGCGAGCAGAACTGGAATGTGTCGTTCGGCCAGATGCGCCTTGCAGAGGTCCAGTAATTTGTATTGTACTCCCAAGTTTCTAAAAACCAAAATAATTTTTTTGGTTTTAATTGTAATGAAATATTTCTACTTGCCCACTAGTTTATTTAGGCAGGTTTGTTTATCTGCGTTTTCAATTGTGATCGGGACCATTCCCAGGCTGCAGCACTTTTTCCGGTTAGCTTCCCAAGTTACCTATTTTTATTTTTTTATTTTTACGAACCAGGTAAATCTTATATCATCTCACAATGCTTTTTCCGAACAAATATAGAATCCCACAAGCTTCCTTCCAATAGCCATAACTAGGAGCATCTTTAACAAAAGAGTGCCTTCAAAATTTGCAATGATATTAAATGTTATTATTTTCACCAGAAACGCTGTTGTCTGGCTTTATAAGTGAATTCTGGAGAGATCAATGTACATTAAGTCTTTACTTTTTTTTTGTAAAAATAATTTCATAATATTTTTACAAGAATTTATGGAACACATTTATTTTACAATAAAATTCACTCACGTTTTTCTGACAAAGTGTACTAGAACAACTATAAAGGGCCTAAAAATTTTGTAATGAATCAGTAATCAATTAAATTTATGGCACGTCAGCACCCCTGGGGGGATGGTCGCTGTGGTTGGAGACATGGTGGTTGTAGACGTTGTGGTTGAGGAGGTGGGAGAAATCTTTGTAGATGTAAAAATTACTTGGCTATATTATGCCCGTAAAATTAATATGTAGATCTTTATACCACTGAAGTCGACAAATCTGGTGAAGAAACTTTGTTTGCTGTGGTGGTACTTTCTGAAATCTCCTGATTAATTGTGCTGGTGACAGAATTTTCATTGTCAGCCAGAGTCTCTTGTCCAGTAGAAGATTCTTCAACTGTATTCCCATTAATTTCTGTGACTGCTTCTGACATATCGAGGGAAGTTTGTTCATCGTCTCCTGGAGTCAAGGTAGAGTTTGTGACCAAATTAGGTTTTGATTGGGTCTAGACACAAGATCATGTTCCAAATTTACTGAGATAGTTCTAATTTTAAGTTTGAGCATTACAGATTTTGTGGCTGATATTTTGGAGAGTCCATTTGAGTTGAAACAGGTGTTGCGACCGCAGCAATTCACAATCGTTTGTCTATAGGCTATATTTTGTAACAAATAAAACTCAAATTAACACTCATTTCAATGCCATTGTCCAAAAATTCTTTGAGAAACATAGAGGTGATAATAATATTACACTTTAGTAACCTTGATCTTTGACGTACGTAAAAAATCAATCAAAAAATTTAATTCTAGAAAATCGATTTTTCTAAAAAAAAAAAAATATTAAAATTTATTCAATTTAAAATTTTATTGGAGAATCTCCTCTTATCTTAAAAAAAACTTTAAGTATACAATGGTAATCGCAACCTAAATTTTTGTGACAATATTTTTAAAGAGTCCGAAATACCAATTTTGCTGCTTTTTGATTTTTTAGATTTCAAGCTTCTTTTACATTCGCCAGGTGACTATGGATTTAATTCTTCTAAATTAGTCGGAAACATATATATTTTTTTGCTCACGAAGGCCAAGATCAAAAGTGCAACCAATACAATAAATTTAGTGGTGAGCATGATGTTGCGTCGAAGGCACAGAAAAACGCACTGCCAAACTAAACCTTAGGGTCATCAAAATATTTGATTTATTATATGTAATTTTTGACAAGCACGCATTACCGCCAATGCTGCTTCCCATTTTTAAGTGAGGGATTTTCCAACACATAGTTTCGCACTTTTATTTTACCTTGGAAATCACCATATCTCACCAAAAAATTTGAAAATAATTTTTGCGGAATCCCCCATTTTAATGCAAGATCCTAGAAAATGTTATTTGTTAACTAAGTAAATAGCAGACAATCATAATTTTTCTTAAGCCAATGTTCTAACAAGCTATATTTCTTTTACATTATATTTTATTGTTTGTTCAATATTAAATACAAATTACCTACAATACAATGAGACAATATCATTTTCATTAATTTTATAATTTTTATCATTTCTGCTCATTAATGATCAGTTGTATGAAAGCTTGACTTTAATAATTTTCAAGAACAACCTTTTTCATACATATCATATTTTACAATAAAAGTATTCATTTTTAAAGTTACCAAACGAAGAAGTGCTAGAGGCTATTTTTTGTTAGTCTTAATACCAAAGCCTTGCCGATATTTATTGTATTTCCATTGCATCGCAGTAAAGCGATTCAAAACAACAAAAATATTATTTAGTAATTGGGCCTACCTCTCTCATTTTACTGCAAGTGCGCCCAGCTATATAAAAGGCACCCGCCGCCACTAACAACATTATCAATCACTCAGCAATGAGAACGGTAATCACATCTACCTGCACTTTTTCCCTCAATTCAAATTTAACCAAAAATTTCAATTTGCAGATAATTGCGCTCGTTTTCGTTGTGGGGGCCGTTTTGGCCGACGAGGACTTCCGGGTGGTTCCGGAACTGGGCAGAGTTCCAGTCGTCAGAACCAGGACGAATTTGCACCATGACGACTCAGTAACCTACGCTCCTCCGGTGGTCACGTACCCTCCTGCTGAAGTCACATATCCTCCGGCCGCACCACCACCACCTCCTCCTCCAAGACCCGTCTACGCTCCGCCACCACCTCCCCCTGCTCCCCCTAAGCCTGTCTACGCACCCCCTCCTCCGCCTCCGGCTCCCCCGAAGCCCGTTTACGCACCCCCTAAGCCCGTTTACGCACCCCCTCCCCCAGTTTACGCACCCCCTCCCCCAGTTTACGCACCCCCTCCACCTCCTCCTCCTCCACCACCACCACCACCAACCCCTCCTAAGCCAGTTTACGCTCCCCCTCCTCCTGTGACCTACCCTCCTCCTCACGCTCCCCCTCACGCTTATGGCGCCCCCTTCGCACCTGCTGCTGTTGGAAAACTGGAAATGAAGACCGCCGTTGTTGGCGTTGGTGGACCCCCGCACTTTGACCTCACGTAATACATAATAATACCACCAAGATGTAAAGTAATGTTTGATTCAATATTTTTGCAGTGTCATCGACAATATTCAAAGGGGTGTGCACCACTCGAGGAGCTTTGTGGGCCACCAAGGACCTTTCAAGCACGGCACCTTCAAATACGTCGACCCTGCCGGCACACCTGTACACGTCAAGTGGATCTAATGAGGCAACAAACGACCACTTTCCCTGTCTGACTGGCTGACTATTGCAACGTCGATGTTGAACTGCTGTTAGTGTGTAAATACGAGCATATTTGTTATGGCAACAGATTCTATGAATTGAAATAAATTGTTATTTTAATCAAGCAATGCATTTTAATAATGAACATTATTATTATATTGACGTGCTGTTAAAAAAAAACTAAATTTTTTTCCTTTTGCAAGTAGAACACAAGTTTAAAGAGGAGACCTGCGACAATTTTAATAAGTTTTTCTCAATTCAGAAAAAAAGTCGGTTCTTATTAATGATATCAATAATGCAATATAAGTTAATCTCAAGTTTTCACCTCTAATCTTTCCAATTTAAGTAATTACCATTAAAATATAATTAAATTGCACACGTTAAGTAACTTTATACAAATATCTTAAATATTATGTGAATCAAATGCAATTAATAATAATGATAATAGAGAGTATGCAGAACCCTTAAAACTAAATAATTATTATGCTTTATATCTTATATCTGAAGCTGTGCGCAATTTAGCTTTTTTTCTTTTGAATTTTAGATAACAACAAATTTTTGCAATTTCTATTTCATGCGATATGAACAATTCAAAATTAGCAATCCAAAAGCCTAACCTGTCTCATACTTTGATCACCCTCTTTGTTTTTCAGCTCATTATAAACTCAGATTGTCAGATTAAAGACACACAAGAAACAAAAGTGACCAATCAATGAAATTTTGTATAATGTCGGGGTTTTACTCAGCAATTTCCTCCTCGGCCACCGATGGCGCATAATTGTTTTGCATATTCATTGGAAAAAATTAGCATTTAAACCGCAGCTGTAAAAAAGTGCAATAATAATAATGAAATTTTCCACTTCCACAAAATGTGGCCATAGTCATGAGGTGTCAATTTAAAAAAGCTCTTAAAGTCTGTGAAAAAAACCAAATTACAAATTAAGCTTGAAAATATCATTTAATTGATGCTTGAAATAAGAGGAAAGTGATATTTTACAGCGCTTAAACTGTTATAAAATTTAATATATTATTATTTGCCCTTATTTTATGTGACTCTATTATTTAATTTGGTAAAGGCGCAGAATAAATTAATTTTTGTGACTTTTTATTATTATTATTTAAATTATTTTGCAAAAAGTGCAGCACTAAAATATAAACTTAAAATCTCGAAGTGTCTTGTAGCTCTTGCTCGACATTTTCAGAATGATTTTATGTATTTTGTACAAAAAGCTCATTATTATATTTTTTATGATTTTATTGCAGCTTGGTGTTCAAATCACAACTTAAGGCCTGATGGTGATTCCAGCGTTGGTCTCGAGCCAGTCAAGGTACTCAGTGACTCTGGCAAAGGCAGCGGGAGCGCCAGACTCGCATCCAGCGGAGGAGCCGAAGGAGACAATGCCGACCTCGGTGGGGAGACCGTCAGACTCGGTGATGACGAGGGGACCGCCAGAGTCGCCGTTGCAGGTGGAGACGGATCCGCCGTTGGTGTCGACGCAAATCTTGTTGGCGTTGATGATGATTCCGTAGTAGTCGGCGCACAGGGTGTTGGTGATGACGGTCAGGTCAACGAACTTCAGGTCATCGCTGATGGCGGAAGAGGCTAAATTTTTCACAGGTTGTAATTAGTGCCCTTGCCCAAATCAAAAGATCTCTCTTACCGTCAGAAGGCTTGCCCCAGCCGGAAACGCGAGCAACGGTGCCAACAAACTGATCAGAAGCCTGGGAACGAGAGGGCACGCGGACGGAGGCAATGTCTGAAAATTAGGTCTATTAAAATTTCCAATTTTTTTCATCGACCAAGACAAAAAAAAATTTCAAAGCTGAATTTTGCACACACGATCATTTTAGATTTCTTAATAGTTTGAAATTTCCCAAGGATTTCTTTTTGATTGTTATATTTCTCTTTAATACTTTTAGTAGTAACATTTCAATTGTTTTCGATTTATGGAGAATGCAAGAAATCTTACTGGGTCCAGAGACGGCGCTGGTCAGCCTGACGATGGCGATGTCGTTGTTGATGGTGAAGCTGTTGTAGTTCTCGTGGAGAACAGCGTCAGTGCTCCTGACGGTGACGCGTCCAGCCTCGTTGGTGTTGGAGTACTTGAGGGCTCCAGCGGTGATGTCCCAGGTACGGGCTCTGCAATTTGCATCATTGACGTAAGGATTTGAGACTGCTTGAGGGCCAAAAATGTATCGGTTCTTACCCATCAACGCAGTGACCAGCGGTGAGGACAACGTTGTCGGCGATCAGGGAGCCTCCGCAGAAGCCACCACCGTCGATGAGGACAGCGACCTGATATTTGAACTGGCCAGTGGTGGCCAAGCTACCTCCAATGATGCGTCCCGAGTAGCGGGGAGGAGCACGCAGCGTGGGCATCACGCGGTTCATGGGCCTCAGGTTGGACCATGAGGTAGCCTAAAATTACAAATCCATTTAAAATGTCATTCAAGAGAACGTTAAATCAAATTTTTTTAGTTTTAAATTTGTGTATATGAATTTAATCTGCCGATCTGGTTTTGAAGACACCATGAACTTCAATTTTCGAAGAAAGAAAAAATTTAAATAAAACAATTAAAACGACAATTATTATTAATTATATCATTTTGAAGATAAATTACTCTAATTTCCAAGCAAAGAGTGTAAATGAGTAAAATATTTCCAATGCTTGAATATATTTTCAAATTGTTTTTACCTGAGCGGCCACGGCAAGGAAGAGAACAGCAAGCAGAACCCTCATTATTTGGCTTTCCGGAGAGAAGTGATGAGTTTGGCGAATGTAGGCCTTTTTATACAAATGATCATCTCGCACCTTGAACGTATCCCAAGTGACAGTGACAAATCAGCAGATTGAACCAGTCGCTGATAAGGATTCCCTATTGTGGCACTCTCTGCCAAAAGTCCTAATCTCGTCTCGTCTCTAGCTCTGATACTTAATGAACATGCACTTGAAATCACAATTAAAAACATTCTTAACTGATGGTTTCTGCAAATCAAATTTTGCTCGTCATTATATGCACAATAAACTGTTTAATTTGAGTTACAACACAAACTAAGACACTATACTACTCTTCACTAATTCGAACAGAAAAACACTAACAACAATGTGAAAAATAAAATGTTTAATGTTTATTAAATTCTTTTTCGCTTATATAACATTAAATATTAAATAAAAATGTTTTTCACATGCCATGAGCAATCTCCAGGTTAGTTAATAAAAACTACTGTGATTCCCACCGACATTGCAGGTGACCTTTTGATAAAGATTTCTGATCTTTCTCAACACATTCTGTCTGATTATTCTGCTATCAAGGTTTAAGCTTCAAAACTAGGACGTTCCGTTGGGAAATTTTTGAGTTTTCACAATGGTTTTAATACATGAGCACGGTTTATTTCTAAGAAAAAAAAAAAATTAAATATTTTTTCTTGCAGTATGAGTTCCAAATCAAAACTTAATGCCTTCACGGTATCAAACGCAATAATTCTAAACAGTCTAAACCTCATACTCATGTTCCTTTTAACAATAATTTCTAATATTTATCCATTTTATTATAATATTTTTATATAATTTTTTTACTCTGACGCTCTCTGGAGGTGACATGAAGATTTTATCTTCAGAACTAGGGCATTGTTTTGGGGAAATTTCTTGCAGCTGATTTTATTTAATAATCTTCTGCGTCGCAGTAATTAAGTGATTTGACACATTGTACCGAAATGCAAAATACCCAAGATATACTTGAAAGCATTAACTTTTGTAACAATGAGATATATATCTATCATGGAAATGATTCAAATTCAAGATCGTAGACTGATAAAAGTAGTGGAAATTTTTAATCTCTGCATTGGTTCAGTGATTTTTTGGGTACCAATGTTATCAGCAAACTTAAAAACGTGTTTCGTCAGCACGTGCAAAGTTTCCAGATTCTCAAATTATAATTGCTTAATGTTCACTCAACTCTATATCTCACTTCGAAAACCAGATCTGTGGCCAGTTTCACAATCTTCCGTGAATAAGAAAAGGTTTACGCCCCACGTCCACTTAATGAATTTTGAAGTGGCTGACACTTTAAATCAGTTGAAACCACAACAAGAAGTAGCGTTTAACTGCTTGAATAACGCAAATAATTTAAGGAATTCAAAATTTGAAATGAAATCATTTTAATATGCTTTTTTTGGAAATATAAAATTTCCTGTTCAACTTTTTTTATAATAATAAATTAATATTTAATTTTTCCACGTACGATTGTGCCTTTTTTTCACTGTCCGGTGAAATGTATTTTACACTCTCCAGAGCAAAAGCTGAGTTTATTTCTCAAAGTCCTGGGAGAAACGAGTGCGCATGGGCCGCTAAGCGAATGGAGAGGTATACGGGGCAGCGTATGAAGCTGGGTCGGCTTTAGTTCTCTGTTTTACGGCCGCACCTGACGGGCCACGGCTGAGCCATGGCCTCACAGGCGGCCACGGAAACCACCCCGCTAAAATCAAACACCGTCGGACAGGCCACTTTCATCCAGCAGCAAGTACGTTGAGTAAACTTTTTTCTAATTTATTTTTTAATTTTATTGTTTTGACATGTTTGGAGAAAAATAAACTAAATTAAAAAATCACAGAAAATAATGATATGACGAGAGTGTGTTTATTTCAGCAAAATACAGACAAAATTTCTAGATATATTTAAAAATTTAAAACAAACTAATTAATCGAGGTGACATTCATGAGGTGAAAAGGGGCTGTTCCGATTGAAAAGGTTTTTTTTTTCACAAAATAAACGGCTTAACCAGTTTCATGCACCTTATTAAATGAGCAAAAGAAAAATTGAATGAACAAATAAAATGAAAAATGTGGTTTTAATGTTATAATTTTTTATTTTATATAACTAAACGCTCTGGTAGAACCGCTTAAATCAAATCCAGATTTTCATTAAAAATTATTCAATTTTTTTTAATTCTTATTTTATTTTGTTCAAAATAATGAAAAAAAAATGCTTCATTGCAATGTAGAGCGTGTTGCGTGCTGTTTGACCGGAATACCAATTAATTGTTTCTGGCTCTTACATGAACTGATTCTGGCAACTGCGAAAATCTCGCTAGCCTTGAAATCCACTTGTAGTTTATTTTTAGGCCAAGTTCACAACTTGTAATAATTAATTCATTCAGGACATAACGGCATTCAAAAGCATGTTTTTAACATATGAAGTAAAAAAAATTGCAAATTTTATCAATCACAGAAATGTATACTTTTTCGGCGGTGCTGGGAGTAAAATTATTCATTAGCATTTCACAATAGTGGGCTGAGTTGACGGAAATAAGCTGAAGCCTTAGGAAGTTTTTTGCATTCGCGATCAGCGGAGCGTTTGGTGCGAGCGAGGGGCTTTCTGGATCCCAAAACAATCATTGAGTGAAACTAGATACTCATGGCTCGGCTGTCAATTTTGCATAATTTTATATATAATGTGAATGCCCTCGTCTTCTCCCTTCAAAATGCAGACGCAGTCGGTCACAAGACTACTGTCTCCTCAATCAATAAAACACATTCCAAGATTTCTGCACCTCTCTTGATAATGGAGCTCCCTTTTTATCCTGCTCCGTTCCTCGCGGGAATACGTGACAATAAGACCTGCAGCCGTTCCTATACTTTTGCCTTTAATATTACATTGTATCACATTGTATATGAAATTTCCTTAAAAAAAAAAATATTCAAACCTGCAGTAAAGTATCAGTTTTTCGTGTCTAAAAGAAAAAATACCAATCAATTCAGATATTACCAATGAAAATTTGGTGAATATTATTGGAATTAAAAAAGTTTATTGCTGTAGAGGAAAAAATAGCATATTTATTTAAATAAATCATCGATCTTTTACTAATAAATTTGTTTTTAAAATATTCCAACCCCAAGATAAAATTTTGATGTAATTAAAAAATTAACTCATTTTTTAGTAAAAATTTCAAAGTTCTTTGAAGCAAGGTTTATTAGATGTCAAATTTCAAAGTGAAGCGAGTTTTTGCCTTTTGCTGCAGGCTGCAGGGGTCTCCTTTAAGCGAATTATTGCAATTTGTCGCCAAGTGCCTCTAAATCGATCGCAACTTGTGGAGCTTTCCGAGCGTAAAGTGTGCGAGAGAATAGGGAAGGAAAGAGCTGTTCCGCAGGTGGGCCATATAAATTCGCCTCGCTTCACAACAAAGAAAAGGAAAATGCGAAAAGAGTGGAACTATCGAACGTTCGGGAATCAATTCAATTGACGCACTTGTTGACAATCAATTTGTTATTTCACGGAATGTAAATACGCAGCCGGCACGACAAACACTTTTCCATTACGAGAGAGCTCTCTCTCATCATCCGCTCATTAATCCCATTTATTTTTTTCTATCTCGTTTGTTTAATCTGTTAAAAGCTAGTGTCTTTTGAATATTCATCGGAAAGCAAACACAAATTGCAAATCGCCCGGGTGATTTTTCAATCTCTTCCCTTTTGATCCTGCTGAATATGCAACAGGCGTGGGCTGCAGCCCGGAGCACACACTTTGCAAATGATGCGCAGCCCCTTTCTCGCATCCATATATATACTTTTGCACATAACCCAGACGAAGAAGTGAGCTGCGGACGACGTGAATGAAAATGATGAGCGGCCGCAAATGCCATCGCGCGCGCGACTCAATAATGCAATTCCACGCATTCCCAGCCGCCTCCCCGAAGCAAAATTAAAAAGAGCACCCTTTGCCCAAGTATGATTGGAAGATTCCATTTTGCGGCGGAGTGATCAATTTGTCATTTCAATTTAATCATGACTTCAAGCGCGAGAGTGATTGGAAAACTTTTGCTGATAACAAATTTCACAACTTTCTGTGTCTGTACGGATCACAGAAAAGAGATCAAAATTATTTACGTTAGGGTTGTGAAAAACTTCGATCAACTTTTTCGACTTGCAAAAGATTTGGTGGCGTAAAATATGTGACAAGTATGAATATTAATCGACAACAACTTTGGGAATTCAGGAATTTTTCAATTTTTTTTTACGACCAATTTTTAAGTAATTAACTTTTAAAATTTCTTCGTATCATTTTCTGGAATTTAGTCTCTTTAAGGGTTCATTTATACCATTTATACAATCATTATTCTTTCATTTCTTTGTCATTTTTCCGTAAAAGGTTACTTACGTTTTAGTTTTTATATAGAATTAGCTGGCGGAGTAAAGCCGTGCGCCAATTTTTTTGTTATTTTCCTTGCAAATCAAACTTATTAAAGCTATAAATACAAAATCATGCAGCTTGAATTTTGTTTGAAATAAGAGGGAGATTAAAACCTTAATTTAATAATAAAAAAAGCACTTTTTCCTAATCTGTTGAATGAATTTGAGTCGGCACTTTTTTGCCTAAAAAACCATGCGCAATAAAAAAAAATATTAGAGTTATCTGAGTCATTGGCGAGTGCGGCGACCTATTTCTCAATAAAAGCAATTAACAAACGTGCATTCAACAATAAATATGGTTGAAATAATAAATTTGGTAATATTTATTAGAGGAATGAAGAGATAAAAATTAATTGACATCTTCATTTGTGTTGATTGTTTTGCCGCTTGTTTGGTTTCAGAGTCCAGTAGCCTCGGAGGGGTCAGTGAGCGACACAAAGCAGCTGATCGAACAGGTGCCTTTCGGGGTCAAGGGTCACATTTATAGCTTGTCTCGTTATATTTGGATTTAATTTGCAGGAGAATGGTGCCGTTTTCAAGAGTGGGCTCGCGTCCGCCAGCTTCAACTACATCAACTCCATCATCGGCAGTGGAGTGATCGGTCAGACAAGCTTTTCTTTTTCGATTGAATAAATATCGACCCGTTCAGAATAATATTCAAATTGAGGCAAACTTTGCTGAAAACAAAAAGAAAGCGTTTTGGCATTTTCCGTGTTGCCCGGGCTTGAATTGATCTTTCGTTTGCCACTTGAGGCACGCAGTTTCTTGTTGACCTGTGCGGAAACATTCAACCCTTGAGTAGAGAGGTGGGCGGAGGGTGGAGGCGAACTTCAAGGCGTGCTGGCGTGGGATTTTAACTATACGGGCAGATTGGAAAAAGAGAAATGTCAACAAATGCGGCGAACAAATATTTTTTTACAAATTCATAGCTTGCCCCGGGGCGCCATTCAAAAACGAAATGAACGTGGGAGAAATTTTGTTCATATAAATTTTAGTAATTGATAATCATTTTCTTTCCTGGAGATTCTTAAAATTAAAAATAAATTAGGTTCTTTCCAAAAACAAATTTAGCACATTATTTGATAAGTTAACTTATTTTTTGTTAAAAAACTACTTTAATTCAAGTGCACTTTTGCATTAGTTTTTGCGCTGGGGGTGGTAAAGCTGAAAGCTTTTCCCACATTGCACACTATATTTTTGTGGCATTGAATGATAATTGAATGGAGTGTTGTGTTATATGTTTTCAATATAATTGGCGTTCTGATTGACTAAATCAATACTTTGCAGGCATGGCTTACGCCTTGAAAGAGGCAGGATTTGGTCTGGGACTGATTTTATTAGTGGTTGTGGCTGTCGTTACCGACTATTCACTCATACTGATGGTGCGCAGTGGGCACCTCAGCGGCGCCTTTTCCTACCAGGGCATCATGCAGGCGGCTTTCGGCCGTCCAGGCTTCATCCTGCTCTCGTTCCTCCAATTTTTCTACCCTTTTATTGGTGAGATTTGAATTAATAAAATTTATTTTAATCTACTTTTAATTGATGTAAAATTTATTTACTTAGATTTTTGCTTAAAAATCATCATAAGCTTTTATATTATTAAATATTGATAGAAACCTATTTAAAAAAAAGTTACAAAAAAATAAAATTAAAAACGGCAGTTTGATTTTTAAAATTTTTAAAGGGGTTGAAAATGTTGATCCTTTTGTATACTTCAAATAGATCAAGAAAAAACCAATTTATGATATCTCACTTAATCAAAATCTGTTTGCCTACGTTTTTTAGGTAAAAATTTGAAGTTATTTCAAAATTTTAAATATGATAAAAGAATTAAATTCTCAATCATTTTTCAAAGGATTTTAATTTATTTTCCTTTTTTTTTTTAAAATCATTAGCTATGGTGAGCTACAACATCGTGGTGGGCGACACGGTGACCAAAGTGCTGATCCGGATGACGGGAATGTCACACGACTCGGCCCTGGCGCACCGCGAGTTGGTGACGCTGCTGGCGACGCTTCTGGTGACGCTGCCGCTGTGTCTGCAGCGCGACGTGGCGCGTCTGGCGCGGGTTTCTTTCATGTCGCTCGTGTTTGTGGCGCTGATCCTGGCGGCGATCATCGCCAGGGCGCCGTACATGGAGCCGTTGGTGCCGCCAGTGGTGGATGGCTGGCGTTTTGCAAAGGGCGACCTCGTGCCGGCCGTCGGCATCATGGCCTTCGCCTTCATGTGCCACCACAACACCTTCCTCATCTACCACTCGATGGAGGGCGCCAGTCAGAAGCGCTGGGACACCGTCACGCACATCTCGGTTGGGGTCTCCGCCCTTGTCTCCTTCGCCTTCGGAGCCATCGGCTATGCAACTTTTACCGACTGGGCTCAAGGTGAAAATTCAAATATTCTATAACATTTTCATAAAAAAAAGACTTGCGTTTCGTTCCAGGCCGAGTTAAAATTGAAATAAATCAAATGCAAAGAAAATTGCAAAAAAATTGGGGGATATTCACGTGCTATAAAGTTATATTCTATATTCTATATAATAATTGTTTAACAATATTGGATTTTGGTTAATTCACGTTCTCTTTTTTCTCAGGCGATCTTTTGGAAAATTATTGCTGGAGCGACGATCTGATGAATGGTGCTAGGGTTATGTTCAGCGCCACCATTCTCCTCACCTACCCCTTTGAGTGTTTCGTCGCTCGGGAGGTGCTCAAAAACACCATCCTCTGTGGTCGACCTGACACAACTTTCATGCACGTTGGAATCTCTCTGGTCTTGGTTATTGTCACTCTGCTCCTCTCGATGATAACTGACTGTCTCGGAATCGTTTTAGAACTTAATGTAAGTAAATTTTAACTTGAATTTGAAAAATTTTTTAAAATTACAATGTCAGATTTTAATAAAATTTGATTTAAAAATGAAATTAACAAAATTATTATTTTAAATTAATTATTTTCTTTTAAATAGGGAATTTTGGCGGCTGTGCCATTGGCGTATCTTCTGCCTGCCCTTTGTTATTGCAAGCTCGAAGTAGGACCCCTTTTCTCGAGGAGGAAACTGCCAGCCCTTCTGACCGCACTTTTTGGAGCAGGGGTGGCCATCATGGGCACCGTATTGCTGATTCTCAATTTTGAAACGGCCAGTGAATGCAGCCACGGAGTGTCCATGTCCTACTGCCGCATCCTGGACAACGTCACCACTCTGGAAGTTCGTCCTTAATGTAGAAGCACACCACAGAAAATAATTCTTCTAAATCTCTCTGTTGCCAAATATATAATATAATTATAAAAGTGTTATTCAAACACAAAATGTAATCTCAATTTTCACTGTGTTCGAAAAGTATTGTATTTTGTTGAACAAGATTGCAATATTTTGTCAAGCATTCTTTTAATGCAGAGACCAATGGTTTTGTCTCTTTATTTTTTTACCGATCTTAATTTTTTGTGATAAAAATATATTTAATCTTGAATTTGGTTAGCAAATTAAAATTTAATTTGCTTGCTATTTTGAATTTCAATTAAATGATTTCTGTCTACTTGAAAAAAGGTATTCTTTTAGTCATAACAATCCTAGAAAATTTTAAATCGTTATTTTATCATTGTTTTTTTTCTTATGGAAATTTAGGTGAAATACCGAAAAACCGACAAATTCACCGGTTAAATTAAATTTGCAAAATAAAAAACCGGTACGCTTCTGCGGACGAGAAATCGATTTTTCTCCCCCTGTTCCCCTCCGAATCGAGCCAATCGCGCCATTGCACTTGACAGGTACCACTTCAGAAGGCTTACGTAAAACTTTGAGCACAATTTCCACCCCTCGAAATTCAAGGCTCCGGTGCTGAATGCCCGAAATAGCAGCTCAGATCGCACCCCTCGTCTGCCCAGAGTGCACCGAGGCCGTTTGAACGCGCCTCCGGACCTCCGCAAGGGTTCTTCGGCAGGTCTAGGGCTGCGATGCCCGAAGTGACGTCAGCCGCGGGCCAGGAGCCCCTCCAGATCAGCTGGCATAGCAACAACTGCGTCGCAAATTCGCAGCTCTCGTCGACGATTTCGGGCCGAATTTTCGAGACTGTCGACGGACAGTGCGTTGCCTTCGACAGCCCGGAGGCGGACGGCGACGGAGGCGGCGCCAAGGGTGGATGGGAGCGCGGGGGCGGCCTCTTCTCGTGCACATCTGAGCCAAGGACGAGGTACGAGTCTTTTCTACTGCAATTATATTGCGTGCTTCTTAGCCAATATTCGAGCGAATTTATTTGCTGGGCGTCGCTCTCGGACGACACTCGTCACTCTGGACTTTGATTAGTTTGATTTTCCCTCTGAAGTCGTAGTTTTTACCAATTTTCACACAACTGCGTTTTCGGAACGCCAGGTTGTTTTTGTTGTTCGCTTCCTGGATATACGCGCTTTGCTGCATTTCTTGGAAGCAATTTTGCCAAAAGTGACCTGAAAATATAAACCACTTACCTGACGGTTTCATACCTGAGCTACTTTTTCTTCTGCTCATATCGGATTTAACTCTCGAATTTTTGTGAATTGGAAATTGGCAAGTACTAAATTAATTTCTATTAATAACAACGCATCGCGTCGTGTTGTTGTTTTATTTCTGGATTGGAATTTAATTTTGTTTTTTTATTTTCTTTCAGCATGTCGGCCGAGTCACCAGCACGCAGGCGGCCCCAGGAGGGTCTCAGGGTGCGGCCACAGTCAGTCAGCGACAAGACCATCCTCGAGAGCGTCGCTGGTTTCATAAACGAGGTCGTGCCCCAGGTGAGTGAGTCAACTTGGTGAAAGCAACCTGGGCATTCACCTCCTGATAACGACACCTTTATCAAAAACAATGAAATTTTTAATAATAATATACATCGTCATAGCGATTCAAACCTTAAAAGGCCTCTTTTAACAACAAATTACGTATTGTTATTTTTATTTCGGTTTTCTCTTATCAAAAAATGCCACCAAAGTGAGGAAATCAAAATGTTTGGAGTTTAGATGCACAATTGTTTCACAGATTTACATTTTTTTTATTTTACGCTTATGGCATGCATTAAGTTTATTTTTTGCTTTCCTGTTTCTACAATCATTTTTTTCTTGAGACCTTGTTGTCACCTGCTTGCCTTCAAGTAAAGGTAAAAGTAACAAAAAATGAAAACAAATTATCATCAAAAACCCTTGTATCAGTTCTAATTTATTTATTTGGTAATTCACATTTTCACCTATTAATAAAATTTCTAAACCACGATCAATAAGAAACTAAACGTCAGTCAGGAATTTCAATTATAATTAATTAATTCTCAACCTTTGTTAACCCTTTCCGTGGTCTCTTTGCAGGGGTACATGACTGGACAGCTGGTCGATGGGAAAGATGCCATCCTGTGGGCCCGTTTTGAGACCATGGACGCCAACGACCCTCACCTCTTGGGAGAGGTTGGGGTCGGAGGTCCCCCGCTGCTGCTGGTGCTCGGCTATGCTGTCGGAGTGCAGGTGTGGCTGGTGCCGAGCTCGGGGGAGGCGACAGAGGTGCTTGCCTGGCGACAGGGGGTGGTTCGCACCCTCCGTCTGCTGCCGTCACCGGAGCCCCGCCTCCCCCACGAAGGTCACCTGGCCAAGAAGAGGCCGCTGGTTGCCCTGTGCGACAGCGCTGGCTCCGGACCGCAATTCAGCTCGGTCAGCTTCGTTTCATTAAAGGACGGAGAGCAGGTTTGTGACTAAAAAAATTATTTAATAATTTCATATTTCAGAAATCAAATTAATTTTTAAAGCCTATATTTAAATACAAGCATTACAGGTTTGCTTCAATTTAAATTAAGAAATTATTTTCAAATTTTGAACAAATAGTTGCGTAAATTTTATGTTTTAATATGAATTGTATTTTGAAACAAACAATTAAATCAATCAGGTTGACGTAATGAAACCATGGAATTGATTGACCTCAAAATTTCCATTGAACTTATTAGGAATCACTTAAAAAAACATTAATGCTGCATGCAACAGATGCATTCTTTAAAAAAAATTATAGTTCTATTGAATCACAAAATTGTAGAGCTTCTGTATTTATCATGACATGTTTTGCTTTTTACGCTTCATCGAGTGTGAGTAAAAGGAATATCTCACGGAAAAGTGGAGTTGCCCTTGATGCGTTTTTTTCTCTTGCAAAATTAATGCAATTTAACTGTCCCCACTTTGTTGTGCGAGACCTTTACTGTGAAGCAGCAATATAATTTTCCTCTGGCTCCCCACTTGCCAGTTGTTCGTACGTCAGTCGGCACACACACAGTTGTCATTACTTTATAGCTTGATGTTGCAATCGGCCGTGCTGAACATGTAATGATGTTTTGCGCTTATCATTTCCCTACCAATGCGCATACTTGTTTTTGCCCCTCCACGCTGTCTGCCTTTTAATCGCGTTCTGCATATCTCTCAGTGTACACTGCTTGCAATGCACATTTACTGGTTACTGGTGGATTAAAAAAAAGCAGTCTGATACATTGGAACGAACTAAATTAATAATGAAAACATTGTTTCATCATTTACGCAGATATTTTTTATTTACATTTTAACAAATATTTTAATTTTTAAGAGGGTTTTACATGGTTTTACTGAAAATGTGCTAGAAAAACTTCACATAAATTCATTTCTCAATATAAAGTTTACCTTATTTTTCATCTTTCCTTTTCAAACGGTTATTTTTGCAAAACCCCACTTTCTCACAATCAGACAGTCATTCTTATCAACCCGTGGAGAAAAATAATTGTATCCACATGCTGAAATTAAAAAAAAAAATTAAAAAATTCACCCATGCCTTAAAAAAAATCAATTTTCAAGTTTTTGTTATTTAGTTTAAACCCATCCTCCCAACATCTTGCCAAAATAAAAAAGCACTAGAAGAAAGAATATGGAGGAGAAACACGTTTTCACTGCACTTCCTCATCTGTTTAAAATGTATTTTCCAGGTGTTTTTTTTTTTTTTTTTTTTTTTTTTTAGAAGTTTCTCTTAGACTTTACTTTGCAAGAAAAACTTTGCTTTAAAGAATGTGGAATATGGAATCTGATAAAAGGGTCAACATTTTGAGTTTCAGTTAAGGTACCTTGGGAGATGGGTTTTTGCTGAAACCACCCTTATTAATAAAAAAATGTTATTTCAGGGTAGAACGTGCGGGATGCAATAGTTTTGTAGCACTATAAATTTAATACTTCTGGATTGGAAGTATTGTTGCATAGATTATTTCACAAGTATCAATCCATTTTTGTTTTTGGTTTGAAATTAAATCATACATTTTTAACGGAAAAATATTTACTGTATATTTTTTTGGTATTGTTAAAACAAGTTTTAGGTTAATTATCCTTAAAATATTGTTGATTGTTGTTGATTTATAACAAGAATTTTGTTTGGAATGATTTTAGGTAAAGAGCATCAAGTTCAAACACGCTGTCAATGACATCTTGGTGAGCCGTGTCTGCATCGCTGTGACCTTTCCGGAGCGAGTGGCTGTTTTCGACGCCGCCCGTCTTGAGGAGTCTTTCAGCGTCACCACCTGCTTTTCCTCCCCTGGACTCAACCCCAACCCCGTTGCTCTGGGTGCTCGCTGGCTTGCGTTCGCCGACCGCCGTCTCCTGCCTTCTGTCCGCTCGTCCGGAGGCGTCGAACTCGAAGGGGTGCCCTCTTACACGGCCACAGTGCTGCAGGCTGCAAAAACCTTAGGGAAGGGCATCAGGTTGGTTTTTCTGTTTTTTACCAAAAAAAAAAAGAAAATTTTAAACCTCTTTCTCTTCAGAGAAGTGGCTTCGAGTCTGACAGGTCAAAAGGTGGCCCAGGCCGCACCTGCGCCGGACGCAAGTACGCCTGGGGTGGTGACCGTCCTGGACGTGGCCAAGGGTGGGCAGGACCCTGAGGAGGCTGTTGTGGCTCATTTTGTGGCCCACGCAGCTCCCATCGTGCATCTGGCCTTTGATCCCTCTGGAAGCCTCCTGTTGACCGCTGACAAGCACGGACACGACTTCCACGTCTTCCAGCTACATCCCCATCCATGTGGAAGCTCCCTTGGTGCTGTTCACCATCTCTATGTTCTGCACAGGTTTGAAAACTTTCCTCCAACGTTGTTTTTTGAAATTTGAAAATTTTGATATTAATTTCAGGGGAGACACAACAGCCAAAGTGCAGGATGCCATCTTTTCGACTGACAGCCGTTATTGCGCTGTGAGCACCCTGAGAGGCACCACACATGTGTTTGCTGTGAACCCGTATGGTGGAAATCCATCTATGCGCACCCACGGATCCAGCGTTGTGGTCAACAGACTCAGCCGATTCCATCGAAGTGCTGGTCTGGACGACCCTCTGCCATGTCCCAACCCCCGCCTGCCACCATATCCAAGACCAACGGTTTGTTTTTATCATGGTTTATAAAAACTTATCCTATCAGTTCAAATATTCAGGTTCTCTTTCCCCTGGTTCAACTTCGTCAACCTTTGGCGGCCTCTGCAGCCAATCCTGCCATACAAAGCAGTCAACGACCTGGACTGGGCCGCACTTCGTCCGACGACGGTCTGCCTCTTCGTGTAGCTGCCACCTTTGCTGGGCCAAGGGCTTGGCTGGCTGGACCTGGTGGATTGCTAGGAAGGGAGAGGGAAAAGAGACGACCTGCCGAGGCTCTGTTTGTTGCTGCGTGCCATGGAAACTTGATTGAATATCACTTGGAGCCGAGGCCTCTTCCTGGAAAGGAGAAGATCGGAGACGAAGCCTCCATTGAGCTTGCTGTTGCTGCCAAGGCTCAGTGGGCTTTGCTTCGCCAGCCAGGAAGCCATGAAATTCAGCCCCCTCTTAATTCGGACAACCCTCTGCTCTTCAGCGGAAACCTGAACAAAACTGCTAGGCAAAACAAGGAAAACAATGACACGTGGCTATCCCAGGTAATACAATTTAAAAAAACCTAACTAAAAAAATTTACGTATGGGAGAACTTGAAATTTTGATATAATTAATAAAATTAAAATCTTTTAGGTTGAAATTGTTACCCACGCTGGTCCCCATCGTCGCCTTTGGATGGGCCCTCAGTTCACCTTCAAAATGTATACAACCACAAAAGGCCCTAATGGCACAATTGAGCGCGAAACAATGGATGTGGGCACCAGCGGCAGGCCGGCTAGGTCACATCCAGTCAACATGCCAAGCAGTGGAATTGTGCCGGTGCTAATAGAATCTGGTTCTTGCAGTATGTGTCACATTTAATTAGAAATTAACTAATGTTAATTTTATCTTTGCATTGATAATTTCCAGACAGTTACGATCAGTCGCCTAGGTTGATGGACATGTATGGGGAGACGGAAGGAGAGGGTGTTGCAGGAGAGTCTCAACTTCGAGAGGATCTGGCAGACGCGATGCTTGAGAGTCCTGCTGGAGCACCGATTAAAGACCCAGGTGAGATTTTTGCCCCCTTCTGCCAGGGAGATGCCAAAGCAGACCCGTAGTGTTGAAATGCAAGCATTCCTAGTAGAATGGGCCAGTGAAGGCCCGTTGTGTGTGCTCGGAGAGTGGTATTCATTTTTTTTCCTCTTCCCCTTTGTCTGTCGTGGTCGAGAATGGAAGCCAAACTTTTGACTCAGACAAATTTGTCAAGGATGACCTCGAAAGTTGTCATCATTGACTTCTTTTTATATCACTTTGAACTTTTCCTCTCTTGAAATTCCAAGTGCATCAAGATTTGGAATCTTAAATTGCACCGAGTGTTGTTGTCTTTTTTTTTTTTTAAATAACTGAGTCAGGGGTCTGGCATCACGTGTGGGCTGCGAATCGGCAGTCAGAAAAATGTCAAGGCAGCAGCGCTGATTTCTTCTTTGAAGGACGCCAAAGTGCTGGCCGCTGCCCGTCCGTGGAGGAACTGATGCCTCGGGTTCTGATCACAGTCGCGGCTACTCTGCAGTCGCCGGACGCCAACAGAGCACCCAGTCCTGCAGTTGAGGAGGAGCAGTTCGAGGAGGCTCTTCCTGGCCGCGAATCGCCACCGCTAGAGGAGCTGGAGGAGGTGCAAATTTTGGCAGAACCTTTCGAGGAGGTGGAGGAGCCTCCGTTCGAGGAACCTGTCAAAGTGGACCTGCTACCCGCAGAGCCCTTTGAAGAGGTCCCTTCTATCATGGAGGAGGCTCCCCCCACTGTCGAGGTTATTGCCGAGTTGCCTGATGAAAATCAGGAACCTCCTCGCGGCATCCTGAACAACAACAGCAACAAGTCCAAGGGCAAGAAGGCCAAGAAGAAGAAGAAATAACGCTTTGTGTTTGGTAGCCTAATAATGTGGGCCGTTGAGGCCCACTGGACCAACTTTGTTTGAATAGGGTGTGCGCTTTTGCCTTCTGTTTTGTGCTGGCCATTTATAATTTATATAATGCAGTAACATACATTAACAAACTTATGTTAAACCGCAATATTTTCTTTTGTTGAGGAAGTCATTTTTATTTTCATTTTTAATTTTTAATTTACAATTCAGCTGAATCTTTTCAGAGGAGTTTTTTTTTATCATTTACTCTGCCAATTTTTTTGGTATTTTAGTACTCAAGACGCAGACCTTACGGTTTGTGGAGAACAACGCTTAAGGGTTTTAATTTGAATTAATGTCTCTTATATTGTGATTAACTTTTAACGCTAACATTAAAATTGCATATATATTACTTTTACATTTACGTCACTTAACTTTGAGCACCTCATTTATTTAAGTGTAATTGACTAGACAATGGCCAGCACTTGATATGTGAGCTATACTATAATCTCTCTTCACAAAGTTAAGTGAGAAAATTGCCAAAAAAAAAAGTATTAAAAAGTGAAGAAATGACGGCAGCACTGCTGACCACCAGACTGTGAAACAATTTTGAGACGAACGCCCTCAAATTGACTGAATCCAAACCTATCTTTCACATAAACGATCATTTTTGTTATCAACGCCCAAAAATTTACACTACCACAAAATTGCTCTTTCGTCAATGTTAACCACTTTTAAATTGCAGTCCACAGTAATATATATTATAGATCAAATGGTGCCATGTGCCGTTCAAAATTTGCACAGTGCCAACACCAACATTTTCTGAAAACCTGTACACACAAAAAGTAATAAAATGACGAGGCTGCAATGTTTTATCGGAATTGGAAAGAGCAATGTTAGTAATTGTTTTATCTCTCTGATCTCGAGCATTTTTGGGCGTTTTAAACTGGCCCTCGAAGCTACATGGATTTTAATTTATTAATTTATTTGTTCACTGCCCGGTGCCTGTCAAATAAAAAATCTTAATATTACCATTTTATTGTTTGCTAGTGGATAAGTGTAGCTTTTACACACACGATGTATGATTTTACCCCTTAATGTACTTCTCTTTGGTGCATATATATGCGACACAAAAATAGCCATTGTATGTACTCTCTAATATACACCTGTTAACCACACAGCTTTATCAGCGAGTAAAAGAAAGGCGTAACTAAAAGAGTGGCAATGCAGACACCATAATGTCCGTTTCTCAATGTCAAAGTAATTATATTAAAGTACTTTAGATGTTAATGCTCAAAAATTAGTATGTCGTCTGCTAGTTTAGCGGTTTTTCGTGCCTGCATTCTCAAGCTTCTAGTTGTTGCTCTGTTTTGAAAAACAGTAATTTAAGACTGACATAGTTCAACCAATAAAATTAAATCAATATGCCACTCACCACTTTTAATTGTTAATTGTTGCCTTGACCAGTTGTGGAAAGTAATTTTTGTCAGTGTGCGACTCTCAGCACTCCGAAATGTCGTGTGTCCAGTATGTAAAAAAAAGAATCAATTATATAAGCCAAGCACTCATGGAAATTTAATCTGACATTGCGTGTATGTATAACCAGACAAATATTTATTGACTCTCGCTAATGACTTTATTTATTGTTCACAGAATAAAGAGATGGTTATTTTAATTGCAACTAAACTCCAGTCTTTTGGCAACCCGTTTACACATTTTGCCAAACCCTTCCTCAAATCTGCTTAGCATCTCCCCAAGCAGCATTTTTTTTTTCAAATATTTCACAGATTTTTTGAATTTTTTCGAATTTTTAAATCAATTCAAAAATGAAAAAAAAAAGCTTCACGGTGATAATAACGTTCGGTCGCATTTATTTTGTCAATGCCATTTTCTGTCAATTAGCTGCAGTGTGAACAATCCTAAACAAAAATTGCAGGGGACAGTAGTTTGGAGGACCTGAGCTCAAGCAGCTTCAGCTCGGCCAGCAACTGTGACCATGGTTTTTCGAGCGGTCTCGTCTTTCCCACGGACGCCGACTCCATTTGACACCTGCGGGCCGGTGTGGCCGCAATTCTCAGGACGAGACACAACTAGTTTCCCCTTTTGCTTAGTGATCGTGTGGACCAGGAGTGGAGCCGCGCAGTGATTGTGATACAGATATATCTCTAAAAATCAGTAGTTTTATCGTAACAATGAGACGATCACCTCTACCCAAAATTTAGTCCGTGGAAAGAAAGAAGTTTGCCGCTCCAGGCGTTTTGGTTTGCTCACTGTTTTTCCATTTTAAGGAGATGAAATCAAAAACATTTTTGGTATAAATAGCAATTTTATGAAACATATTTTACACTAAATGTAATGGGGCGTTGATGAGTTTTTTAGTTCCACGGCTTCTGTATTGGGTGTAAATTGAAGTTGTTGTGCAGAGGAGTACAAAAATGATACTGTTCGTGATTTTTGAAATTGATCTCCGAGGTAGATCTTTTCACTTTTATTAAATCCATAGGTTTTAATAACGCTTGCCGAATTTCTAACATAGAGAGTATAACACGTTGAAATGTTTAAGTAGCAGTTTAGCATATTCTGCTGGAGCAGGAATGAAATTATTAGATAGTTTTCATTTTTTAAGACGTATTGATTAAATCAAATTTTCAAGTTCACTCAAAATATAAGAAAATTACAAGGTTGTCAACTTTAAAAAAAGCTATTGCTTTATACAAGAAGATCAGATCGCATTATAAATTATTAAAAATTCTGAAATACCAAACCAATTTTTAAAATCTCACTCACATTAAGTGCTGACCAATTTGAAATAGGACAAACACACTGAAACTTTGGGTGACAAATATTAAAACACGAATAATTTATTATTGAGTGTTGATGTATTTTATGAAATAAAAAAAATGTGTCACAAAAATATGTTGCACTGAGGAATGTGTAGCAACTACACTCAAAAGATGAATTATTTCTTGAAATTTACCATTAGTTAGTTGTACAGAACATGTTAGAAAGCATACATCATTGTGCACGCAAGGGCCATCAGCTGAAGATACTCGTCGGCGCCTTTTTCAAGAGCGGCCATGCAAACCTGTTGAAAATACATTTAAATATTTATTTAGAAAAAAAATCGCTTATTTCTACTGACCGCTAATTTTTCACAAATTTCAGCTTTGGACTCGTCGGTAATGTCTTCTTTGTCCAGAATGCGGTCATGCAGCTGCAGCATGATCTGGGAGGCCGAGTATGCTTCCAAGAGAATGTTGTTGACAAAAGTTTCCACTTTGTCATAATTCTTGGATCCCGCAACTTCCATAAAACCGTGGATCCAGTTTCCGGGAACGACTCCCATCAACTCGACGACTTCTTCTTTTTCCACGGGCACACCCTTGCTCTTCAGCCGAGCACAAGACTGGAGGCAAGTGATGGCTCTTCTTAAATCACCACCCGAGGTTGAAATCACGGCCTCGATGGCCTCTGGTCCCACCGCAACGCCCTCTTCTTTGGCAATCATCTCAAGACGCCCAGTCAATTGCTCTATGCCTGATTTCAAAATCAATTAATTTTAGAAGTTAAAGTTTTAATTTTAAGCAATTACTCAGAGGTTTGAAGCGGAACTTGGCACATCTGGACGTGATTGGTTCGATGATTCGGGACACATAGTTGCAAACAAGACAAAATCTTGTACTTTTCGACTCCCTCTCCATGGTTCGCCGAAGGGCAGACTGAGCCTGTTTGGTCATCGAATCGGCTTCATCCAAAATAACGATTTTAAAACCAGGACATTTCCTTCCACTAAAGTTGGGAATTATTTTAATATATATTCATATTAAAATGATATTCAATTACTCTGGTCTCTCCGAACTGGCTGCAAGTTGAGCAAACTGTTTCACCTTCTCTCTAATCACTTGGATTCCTCTTTCGTCAGAAGCGTTCAGCTCAAGAACCCTTTGAATGTTGATATAAATTACTTAAAGTCCTGATAAATTGTTGGATTACCTTTCTCTGTACAAGTCTCCAAAGAGCTGCCTGGCTGCAGCCATAATCGTGCTGGTTTTTCCAGTACCAGGGGGCCCGTACAGAAGCAAATTTGGCAGGTCAGCGCCCTTTGACAACACCTGCTGCAAAACTGACACGACTTCAGGTTGGGCGACGACTTCTTCCACCGTTCTTGGTCGACTGTCGAATGAAATTCATTGGTTAAATTCACTTTCAAATTTAATTCAAAATATTTCCATACTATTTCTCGACCCAGGGTGCTTTGGATTTCTTCTCTGCAGCGTCTGCTTTTGCTTTGCCTTTGATTCCTGATGAGCCTGCATTCGCTCCAAGTTTTCCCGTCTTCAAAAAGCCTTCCATTTTTGTAAAATATTTTTTGCGATCGCCAAATTTCAGACTAAAATTGGACGAAAATTAAAAATCTGGCTGTATTTTTCTCTGACATGTGTTATTTGGCGGCAAGAATTTCGGTATTTTACAAAGTTAACCGGTTTACAAATGTTTCACAAACTCTCAATATTAGATAAGTGTCGAATATTTAAATTTTTATTCGTTATTAAAGAAAAATACAATTAATATTAAATGAAGCTATCTGGATTTTAAAAAATAATCTTGAAAAGCGACAAATTAGCTGAAAAAAAGGAATTCTCAAAAATAGGTGAACCGGTTTACAATGCTAGTTTTTAATTGATTATTTTCATTGGACAGTTATTTCGAATTCATCCAATCAAACTTCGATAAAAATGGGCTCGTCCGCGCGCGTGTTCTGAAAACTCAAAATTTGATGGGCGTGGTTATTAAACAATTTTGTAGCAGATTACGTTTTAAGAGATAGTGATAGTTGTTAACTACTTTACTTCCCTGTTGCTAGTTACTAAACGAATTTTCAATTTTGAGTTCTTCGCTCTTGGGATTCGGCAGATTCGGAACTCATTTGAGTTGTTCTTTTCAAAATGCTGTGCTGTCTATCAACGTCCTTTGTTGGCTATGGTTTGTTTGCCAGCGTGATTTTGCTGGTCATTTCTCATTTCACTCAACGCAAAAAGCGCTCCGTCGAAGGCAAACATGTTCTGGTGATGCCTGAAAATTTTTTATCAGCAAAGATCAATTTATTCTAAATCATGGATTTCTCCTTCAGGTTACGGGCGGATCGCTTGGAATCGGCAGGAGTTTTGCCATCGAGGCAGCAAAGAGAGGTGCTCACGTGACTTTGGTGGCTCGAAACGTGCAGAATTTGGAAAAAGCAGCTGAAGATGTGAAGAAGGCAGCCAAAAATCCAGATCAGAAAATCCAGTGCATCTCCAGTATGCATTTTCACAAAGCATTCAGCAATTTAATCTCATTTAAAACCTCTCATTTTTAGTGGACTTAAGCGGCAAATGTGAGGAGTTGAAGGCAAAAATGAAAGATGCTGAAGATGTCAATGGGCCAATTTACATGCTCGTAAATTGCGCTGGATCTCCAATTTGTGGGAAATTGGAGGATTTGAAAGACGATGATATCAAAGTATTTTCCCTCAAGCTTGTTACAAATTGTACTTTTAATTATTTTGTAGTATGTTACAAATCTGAACATTTTGGGAACAATTCTGCCGACCAAAGCGGTGATTACGGGAATGAAGGAGAGAGGCGATGGAATCGTGATCGCCGTTGCGTCCCAAGCAGCTTCAGTCGGAGTTTATGGGTACTGCGCCTACAGTGCCACCAAGTACGCCATCAGAGGATTTGCCGAGTCCCTTCGAATGGAAGTTAGTTGATGCTCGAAGTCCTCTAATATAAAATGAGTATTTTTTAATGTAAAATTTTTCAGACAAAGCCCTATGGAGTTTCCGTAACTCTGGCCATTCCTCCCGACACTGACACGCCTGGATTGGCAGAGGAATTGAAGCAAAAGCCCGAGGAGTGTAAACTAGTTTGCGAAGAGGCTGGGTTTAGCACCCCTGACGTTGTTGCCACAAAGATGATGAATGATGCTCTGGTCAAATTTTTCTTTATAAATAAAGAACGTGGAATTTGATAATTTGTATTTGCAGAAGGGAAAATTCTTGAGCACTGTTGGATGGGAAGGTGCCTTGGCTTCAATTGCCTGTGCTGGTTTTATTCCGCCTTCCTCTGGCCTTGAATTGCTGTGGCAGGTAATTTTGAAATCAAATTATTTTTTCAATGATATTTGATTAAAAAATTTTGAAAATCTAGTTTGGCTCTATTGGCTTCCTGCGTCTTTTTGCTGCTTATCTTGTGAACAAGATGGATAACATTGTTGCTGATTGCAAAGCAAGAAGAGAGAAGCAAAAATAATTTTTTTTCCGTTCTGATTTTGTCAATGTTGGGCTAAAAGTTACCGAATGCACTTATGTCGTGTTTGGCTGGTTATCTTAAAGCATTTTAATTAATAGTACAATATCTTCTTAAATCTTTGAAAGCACAACTTAATTCAAAAGCAAAAGCTTAAAGTGTTCCATTAATGATAAAAGTTGCTTGTCTCCAACAAAATCCTCACATATTGCCTTGATCTTTCCAAGTTTGAATTTTTAATAACATACGTGAGTGAAATAAAAATGAAAATTACTGAAAATTTTAAGAACTCTTTATTTTTCAACCACTTTTCTACCATGAAATATTTGACTATTATACATATGATTGAAAAGATTAATAAGAAAAATCATTTTGCAGAGCCCTATATAAGTTGCCGTGCAATTACTTTTTGATCACAATATATTTCAACTCTGATAATCTTTGTTTTACCAATGAGATGCAATCAAATAAAGACGTCGATGTGTAAATAAATTTTTCACACTGCCGTTTGTACCTACTCTTCTTAATTTTTTCTATTCATTTGAATATTCTTTTGTTTAGACGTTTAGAGCATCAGCAATAAATAAAAAAACATGACAGCTGCATCTTTAATCTATGCCTAATTATCTAATGTTCTTTTCATTCCTCACCTAGTGATGTATTCTAAATGCAATCAGATTAATTTAATCATGATTATAAATTTATATTCCATTTCTATACTAAATAATGGAAAAGATTATGAGATAATAATTATGTTAAAATATTTTGTATTTTTTTTTGTCTGCGCAGGAAAAGCTAGTTTCGCGCCATTCCAAGAGAGAGCTGCAGCGCCTCACAGGATTGGCTGAATTTTATTTTTAAACCATAAACAATCATGGCTACCGGTGAGTCTACACTTTCCAATCTCTCCCTTATTTTTGGACATTTTACGGGGATGAGAAGCTCTCAGACCCAATAAATCTTTCCCTTAAAACCTAATTAACGGTCAAAGATGATTCGACCTTTTATAGTTGAAAAAATTTATTTGCAGAAGTCGCAATAATGCAAAATTTCTATGCCCCACCTCAGCCCTATTTTCGAAAGTGAACTGTGTGTGTAGAAAAGCGATACAAATTATAATTCTTCACCGATTGTCATTATAAAAACACATGTACACCTAATGTGATTATATATTTTTAAATTTTTTTGGAAGTTAATCGTTTTTATGTAACATACTTAAATTATAAATTTGTTAGCAATATATATAACGTTATGCATTGCTTACATTTAGAATTCAGGCCGTCCTTATTTGACGTAGGTTCCATAAATCAAAAACAAAAAAAGCAAATCTTGCAAACTATTATGTAAATAGATAATAATCAAACAAGCCTGATAGTTCTTTATTTGTTTGTCATACCGTTGACCTAAATTTGACTTTCAAAATTCATGATATTTTTTGTTGCAAAATTTGACCGGTGGGTAAAATAATATTAAACACAATTAAATCAAATTAAAAACTGTTGTTAAAGCATTTGGAAGTAAATGATTATTTATCGTTTAAATTTTGCAGAACTTACCTTGGAAGAGTTGACGAGTTTGAAAGACGAGTTTTTCTCAGACGAGAAAAATGTGGTTGCCCAGAATGCGTGCACCAGGGCTGACCCTCAGGAAGTGTGCGTCTCAAGACAGAGACTGCAGGAAGTGTCGCAGCACGTCTTTGAGCACAAAGTCGAAGCCGAAATCAAGCCGATGACCGACCAGAAGAACTCTGGCCGTTGCTGGCTCTTTGCCACCCTCAACGTCATCCGGCTTCCCTTTGCCAAGGCAATGAACATTGAGGAATTTGAGTTCAGCCAAGGCCACCTCTTCTTTTGGGACAAGGTGAATTTAAATTATTCTCAGTTTTTTATTAGTTTATTACAAATAATTGTTTTCAGATCGAACGGTGCCACTTTTTCCTTCACAACATTGTTGAGACTGTGAAGCGAGGGGAGGCCGTTGATGGCCGCCTGGTCTCCTTCTTACTCCACGACCCCACTTGTGATGGTGGTCAGTGGGACATGGTTGCTAACCTCATCACAAAGCACGGACTAGTGCCCAAGAAGTGCTTCCCCGAGTCATTTTCCTGCGAATCCAGCATCAGGCTCAACTCAGTCCTCAAGTCCAAACTCCGTGAGTTTGCCAAGGAACTGAGAAACCTGGTAGAGGCTGGAGAAGATCCTCTTCCGACCATAAAAAAACAAATGAAGTAATTTTTGCTTTGAAATCCTTTATTAAAATATATTAATCTAAATCATGATAGGTTTGTCTATCGAACTGTCTCAATCTTTCTTGGAGTACCGCCAACAGAATTCACCTGGCAGTATTTGAACAAGACAAAAAAGTACAACTCCATCGGCCCTATCACACCTCAGCAATTTTATGAGCAACATGTCAAACCAATTTTTAATTTGGACGAAAAGGTCATTAATATTTAAATGCACCGTTTTATTTTTATCATGCATTGAAAGAAACACAAGCTTTTGTTTGTTAAGAAAATTGTTTTCAAAAAAAGTTCATCTAATGCCAACTGAAGCCCTATTTTCTATCTCAATACAAAAAATTAGTAGCTGAAAATAAAAGCTGAACTATTTTTTCCAAATTTTAAATGAAAATATTTACAACAAGGAAAAGCTTGGTTCGTCATCTAACAATATTATTTGCTTGTGTAGCACAAATTTTATATGGCTGTTTGAATGTAGGTTTGCCTGGTCACTGACCCAAGGCCGTCAAACCCTTATGGCCACCTTTACACCGTGGACTGTTTGGGCAACATGGTTGGAGGTCGCACAACCATTTACAACAATCAGCCTGTAGAGCTATTAGCAAAGGTTGCAGCGGAGTCCATCAAGGCCAACGAAGCTGTTTGGTTTGGTTGTGAAGTCAACAAGAGATTTGCTGGAAAGGCTGGACTACTTGACCTTGAATTGTATGGTAGAAAATGACAAAAGGTTAAAATGTAATTTTTATGTTGAATTTTGTTAAAGGCATAACTGGAAGAGTCTACTTGGCGAAGAAGTTTACTTGAACTTGGACAAAGCCGAAAGACTTCAGTACGGTGATTCCATGATGACTCATGCCATGGTTTTCACAGCCGTCTCCACAGATGTATTTATATAGAAATCAATTGTTATTATTTTACTTAATAAAATTTAAATTTTAGGATGAGGGCAAGCCTATCAAATGGCGAGTGGAAAATTCCTGGGGTGACGACCGAGGCGAAAAAGGGTATTTGCTCATGACCCAGCGCTGGTTTGACGAGTTCATGTACGAAGTGGTTGTGGACAAGAAATTTGTCCCTCAAGAGGTGCTGGACATTTTCCAGCAGAAACCTGTTGTGCTGCCTGCCTGGGACCCCATGGGCACCCTGGCACTGTAGAAAAGCCTACTAAATACCACAGGATATTAAACTAAGGCCAACAAGATAAGATTTTGGTGAGTACAGAAAAAACTTAATTTTTATTTTCTGGAGATTGTACATTCAGTGCTATGGGAGAGTTGGGCAATATTTTATCAATGTCAGGCGAATAGTGATCTGACAATGATAAGCAAACACAATAGAAGTGCAGAAGGCCTTGCTGATAAAGCTGAATTGCAGTAATCTGCACTCGGACCAAATTTTCCAGCGCAGCTTATGGCGTGTGCCACATAGCTTTGTTCGAATACTCCGTTAAACAGATGAGAGAACGGCCCTGCAAAATGAAAGATTTATGAGACTTGCAAATTTTGTTTTAATTTCATATCAATCAGTTATTCTGAATTGTTAAAACTACCATTGGCATAAATGGCCACGTCCTCTCCTGAGTGCGTTTCAATTGACTCGTAAATAGGGGCGAAATGCCCATATCTCGTATCATCTCGGTTTTGCAAAGTGCTGGGGTCGATCCACATGTATTCACCCTCGGCTATAGCGCCCAACTTTTTGTGTACATTGTATCCAGGTCCATTCGCATATGTTATCGTTTCATAAGCAAACTCCTTGTCAGTAGTTTTTTGAGCAAATCCTTTAAATAGAAAATTAATTTTTAAACTTGGCCGCATTTATTTAATTATACCTAAAATGTCGTTGCCCCTTTCGGGATATCCGTTCATGGTCATTGCGTGGGAATGATCAGCCGTGACAATGATCAGAGTGTCGTCTTCATTTGTAATGTTGAACGCTTTCTCAATCGCCTCGTCAAATCTCACCGCTTCGTCAAGAGCCAACCTTGCATAGTTTCCGTGGTGAGCATGATCGATTCTTCCTCCTTCAACCTGTCAATGAAATGAGGAAAACACATTGATTTTTTACTGCCATCACTTGAACAATAAATTCCATGTTTTTTTTACTCTTTTCTTCATTTTTTCATTCCAGATTTTTTTTATGCAATAATAGTTCATTTTTCGAAGTAAAACATTTCCGTGAAATAATTCTTACCATTAAAAAGTATCCGTTTTGCGCACCCTGGAGCAATTCAATGGCCTTCTCTGTCATGTCGGCGATGGAAGGAGATCCCGTTGGCGTGGTGTCTCTTTCCAAATCGAATGACATGTGCCCATAGCCAAACAAACCCAAGACCTTCTGCTCTGTGCTGAGCGCCTCCATTTGCTCCCTGTTGGTGACAAAACCGTAACTGACCCGCTCAGTCGCCCTGTCATTCTCCCATTGCGAAGTGAGATTCTTGCCATCGGTCCTTTTGCAGGAACTCTCGCTTGGACTCGAACCAAATCCCATCTGCTGCAGTCCTCCGCCAAAAATGACCTAAATTTGAAAAATATGTCAATGCAAAATGTAATTTTGTGAGGAAAATTTTAAATATTTCACTTACGTTCAGATTTTTTCCTGGCTCGTCTTCTACAAGTTGCCGAGCAATATCTTTAGTGCAGCTTTTGTACTCTTCCGGAATCTCCGAGTCGCACTCCCAGTCTCGGTTGTTGATGTGAGCGTACCCTGCCGCTGGGGTTGCGTGGGTGATTCTCGTCGTCGTGACCACCCCTTGGATTTAAATTTGAAATTAAAAATAATTTTAAACTGCCAGAACGTTCTTCTAAATTAATTGTTTAATTTACATACAAAAAAAATCACCAATATTTTTACCCGATAAGCATATCCTTGAAATTAAAAAAAAAATTTCACCTGTTCTCTTTCCTATATCCTGAGCCCACTTGAACAGAGACTCGACCTTTGACGTTCCTATGATTTCCGAGTTGCACTCGTCATAAATAGCGTTGGCATCAAACCCTATTACTTCTTGGTTCGTTTTGACCCCACAAAGCATGGCCGTAGCAGTTGCTGCCGAATCAGGAACTTGCATGTTTACTGTGTACGTCTGAAATTATTTTATTTTAGGGCAGTTTTTTTTTTATTTTGACCCACTTTTGGCATGGGTCAACCGATTTGGATAAAATTTGGCAGGCCGATTCCTTTAGGTGTATAGAGATAAAGTTTCAAAGGATTTTGAAAAATTCTCAAAATTGCCTACTTTACAGGGGCTCAAAGTTAGGCATTTTTTTAAAAGGAGATTTTGAAAATCGAAAATATCTCGGTTTCTGTTAGAGATACGCTAAAAAGTATAATAACCAAAGTTGTTGGGATTGAGACGACCTACAACTTTACTATGGTGCCCAAAGTCGTAAGTCAAAGTTCAAGGTCACTTTTACCATAATTAATTTTTAAATTTGCTGCTGAAGTGCCTAGTACATCGATATTTTTAGTTTCAAAATAGCCAAAAGTTGCGTATGTTAGTAGGGAAGAACATATTAAAAATTGGTGATAGTATTTTTTTTAGTTAAAAAGTTATTCAGAGTCAAAGTGTGAAAAACGTGGTTTTTCGAGCTTTTTTTGTGAAAATTTATTTTCAACGTCAATAACTTTTTTTCTGTTAGAGTTAGGACATAATGTATAATGACAAAAAATGATCTCATTGACAAGTTCTTTTAGATAATGTATCGCACGTGGTAACCAGGTCACAAAAGTTCATTGACCCCGGTGACCTGTGACCTTTTCAAAAAATAAATAGTAGTGTGACACAAATTTTGAAAGAGGACATCAGCAGAAACATTTTGGTAACTGGATTTTTGTTTTAAATCCAATACAATTGAAGTTATCACCGATGGAAGGAAATTTTTCACAATAAATGCTCGAAAAACCACGTTTTTCACACTTTGACTCTGAATAACTTTTTAACTAAAAAAAATACTATCACCAATTTTTAATATGTTCTTCCCTACTAACATACGCAACTTTTGGCTATTTTGAAACTAAAAATATCGATGTACTAGGCACTTCAGCAGCAAATTTAAAAATTAATTATGGTAAAAGTGACCTTGAACTTTGGCTTACGACTTTGGGCACCATAGTAAAGTTGTAGGTCGTCTCAATCCCAACAACTTTGGTTTTTATACTTTTTAGCGTATCTCTAACAGAAACCGAGATATTTTCGATTTTCAAAATCTCCTTTTAAAAAAATGCCTAACTTTGAGCTCCTGTAAAGTAGGCAATTTTGAGAATTTTTCAAAATCCTTTGAAACTTTATCTCTATACACCTAAAGGAATTGGCCTGCCAAATTTTATCCAAATTGGTTGACCCATGCCAAAAGTGGGTCAAAATAAAAAAAAAACTGCCTTAGATTTTTTTTTAGTAAAAATTGAATTCAAATTTTCTAAAAATTACGCACCTTAATTAGGCCAACGTTGGAGAACAGCTCAAAGGAGTGGAACGACTCCTCGCCAGTATTACCGTTGAGTTGACCCCTGTAAATTCGGGATGTGGTAACTGTCGCGATTCCCATTCCGTCTCCAATGAAAAGAATAATATTCTTTGCCTTATTCTCAATTTGCTTCTTTTTTGTTACTTTGTCAAGTCGATTCTGTGCCTCTTCAAACCAAACTTCCTTGTCTAGCAAAAATTAAATACAGTGAAATATTTTCAAAAGTATTAATTTTTTTTTGGTATTCCATATTAATTTTCAAGAAAAAATTAAATTTATGACGTGTGTTTATGAGAAAAATCCAGAAAATCCTGAAATTCAGTTTTAAATAATTTGAACACAACTTATTCTATAGATTTTCTGCAAATTTGAACAAAAATGTAATGAATAATACCTATCACAATTGTTGGACATCGATTTAAGAATTTAAAAATCCTCCCTTACCTTCGATGGCTTTAACCATGCGAATCTCCGTCTCTTGCTTCTTATCAGAGGGTGCCGCGCCGCAGACGGCAAAAAGAAATGTGACAACCAAAACAGCCCTCATTCCGATCTAAATTCTCTCTTTGTAAGAAAGCAAAACCTTAAGTAAAATCAAAAGGTCCTCAATGGAGCTTCAGCTTCCATATTAAAATAATTAAAACTGCCAGAACTTTCCGCGCAACGTGAATTGACACTTTTCTTCATTGGCATGGAGCGGCATGGAGTATTTATTCACCACGGGAGACGGGCAAAAGGTATTTTATTACATTATGGTCGGCTAGATTAGTTATCTTTGTGCTTCATGCAGTTTGCCAAGTATTAGGTTGTGCAGACCACGTGCTCAACCTTTGGAGAGACCATTAACTTTGATAACATTCGACGTGTATTTATATTAGTGCACTCGTGGCCAACTTATAGCAATATAAAATTTAGAAATATAAATGCAGCCATCAAACGCGCGATTTTTATACAAGCGCATCATTCATGACCTGCATGGTCTATCTGCTAAAGTGGCAGAGCTCTCGTCCTCCTGATTGTTGATGAGTTGCTCGCCTATCACCAGCTTGAATTTGGCGTGCAGAAAGCGCAGTTCTCACGTGATTAAGATAAACCTGGCGGCTGTCGTGAGTCTTTGTTTCAACAGATTGATACATAAGTGTTTTTTTTTGTGATGATTTTTCTAACGATCGATCAATGTTTGTAATGGAGTAAAAATTTACTGAGAGATTGATTTGATAAATAAAACAAAAATTGAGAATGAAATTTACCTTTCCGCCATTGCTTTCAATGTTTTTTTCTGATTATTATAAATTTTGAAATATATTGTAATTAAATTATGACTAATATGGAGGTATGAAATGTTCCTCACTTAAAATTGGAGTAAGTAGTTCTTAATTATTGTCACATGAATCACGAATAGTCTAAGCGCATACATTTTTTTAATCTTCCGTCAATCTACATATCCAATTGAGGATTGCGGCTTGTTACGTAATTACAAAAATTATAAATTAATCTTCCCAGTCCTTGAAAATAAACATCTTAATTGAGGTTATTTGGTCATTTAATGATTACACAATAAATAGGTTTTTATCGAGATTGGTATTTTATTGCTTATTCCAAGCGTAAGATATTTATGAGTTGATCGGTTTATTATCCTATTTATTAGCGATTACATTAATCAACTAAATGAGAGTCTTGACGAGGAAGGACATGAACATGACTAGAAAGGATGCAGATTTCACAGAAATCGACGAGTTGCACAAATCGGCACTGGGTCCGAAATTTCCAGCGCAACTGATCACGTGCGCGATGTAACTTTGTTCAAAAACGCCATTGAATAAGTGGGAAAATGGACCTAAAAATGATTTATTTGATAAAAATTAAATTTTATTGCTTTAAAAAATAAAGAACATACCACTTGCGTAGATAGCGACGTCCTCGCCGCCGTGAGTTTCCAAGTCTTTGTAAATTGGGGCAAAGTGCCTGTACCGCGGCTCATTTCGATTCATCTGCGTCACGTCCTTCCACAAAGATTCCTCAGCTTCAATCGGTCCTTCCTTTCTGTGCGTGTTGTATCCAGGACCGTTGGCGTAGGTCAAAGTTTCATAAATTAACCCCTCGTCAGATTCATCATAGGCGAAATCTAGTGAAATTTGTATTATTTAATTAGCGAATCAAATATATATTTTTTTATTTTTACCTAAAATCGAGTTTCCTCTGTCTGGGTATCCATTCATTGTGAGTGAGTGAGAATGATCTGCCGTCACCACGATCAGGGTGTTGTCGCTGTCAGTGAGTTGGACCGCGGCTGCCACGGCTTCGTTGAATCGAACAGCCTCTGTCAGGGCGAGTCGCGCGTAGTTGTCGTGATGAGCGTGATCGATCCTTCCTCCCTCAACCTTAATTAGTTAATTGAAACCAGTCAATTTTATTTTTCAATCGATTCAATTTTTTTTTGTACAATTAGAACGAAGCCATTTTCAGCTTTTTGCAGAAGTCTGATTGCCTTGACGGTCATGTTGACTAGGGACGGTGGTCCTTCAGGACCAGTTTCTCGCTCCAGGTCGTAGGGCATGTGTCCGTAGCTGAACAGACCGAGGACCTTCTTCTCGTCCTGGAGCTCTTCCATTTCACCTCTGGTCGTCACAAATCGGTGACTCACACCTTCCTCTACGCGAAGTTGCTCCCACTCGGTGGTGAGATTTCGGTCGTCTGTCCTTTCGCAAGAACTATCTCCATTCCCGAATCCAAGTTGCTGCCGACCTCCTCCGAAAATGACCTGATTTTTTGGTTTAACGTTAGTTTTGAAATTTTCAATCTAACTTTGAAGACGATTGAAAATGAAAAACAATTTTTAAAAAGCAAAATTCTAATTTAAAAATTATAATAAAAAAATAAAAATTTATATTATGAATTATGAGTCATAAAATTGTTCTTTGAAATGAAAAACATGCAATTTGAGTCATTTCAAATTTCAAATAAAACAATTTTTAAGTTAAAAAATGCGTCATCTATTGGAGCTTTTTTATCAGTGTATGAAGTTTCAAAAATACTTCTGAAATAAAAACTGGGCACTTAAAATAATCAACTTACATTGAGGTCTTTGCCAGGCGAATCTTCAACCAATTGTACTGCAATGTCCTTTAAACAACCGCGGTATTGTTCGGGAATTTCTCCGTCGCACTCCCAATCTCTGTCCATGACGTGCGCATAAGCTGCGGATGGGGTGGCGTGTGTGATCCTGGTCGTGGTCACGAGCCCCGTCAGTTTTCCGGCGTCTTGGGCCCATTTCAGAATCGAATCGACCTTGGCGCCCTCGTAAATCTCTGGGTCGCATTCACTGGTGGTCACCGTATCGTCCACACCAATGGTGGAATATTTAGTTTTGACGCCGCAAAAAAGGGCTGTTGCCGTTCCAGCGGAGTCTGGAACTTGTCTATCCGTATTGTAAGTCTGGAAAAATTGGCAATAAAATTTTATATTAATCTTTTCATTGTATAAACAGAGGAAGTGAAACTTCTTTCAGTAAAATTTTATAAAATTGATATAAGTTGCCTAAAAAATTATTTGGATTTTTTATATTAAGAAGAACATTCTTGTAAGTTCCTATTCCTACACATGCTTTTTAAATTTAAGAAATCAATCCTTTTAATACCACTCAATTTTTTTAATTATCCATAGTTTTTTTTAAATACATATACCTATAGAGGGGGAAAATGGCCAGATGCACGGCTGCAGTAGTGCAGTCGCTGCTACTTTTTCTGACGATTTTTGCATCATTTGAGCTCCAATCTAGCAGAATTTGTGCAAATAAGGTACGTGAATGCCAAGTGTTCAATTCGCATTGCGATTCGGCCGCCTCGGATGTAAGGCCGCTGAGATTTCCACTCTGGACCATTTGGTTTTGTTACGGTAATTTAGGAAAAATAGTAAACAGAGCGGCCTTGAGGAAGCAGCAAAGGAGGAGAGGTCATGGCGTTGGTGCTGGTGGGTGGGTCGTTGACCCCCCATCTTTTCACCTGCTGCTGCCACACAGTGTTCGCTCCGGTCACTCACCTTTGCTTATCTTGATAGATAGGCGACATCTATTTGCAACTGATGTATTAAAAACTACTTTCAGAACGGTTTTAGGAAGTGGCGCGTATTTGCTTATAATTTTGCTTTGTGGTTCGGATGTGGAACTAAATCCTGGACCCCTCTCAAAAGAGGATTTGCAGGCATTTGGAGAAGTCGTTGATGAACGAATGCAGAAATTTATGGATTTATTTGGACCCAAAATTAATCAAATAACGTCAGACATTTCAGAGATAAAGGAGCATAATTTGGAGCGGCAGAAAATAATGGAAAATTTACAGGAAGATAATAAAGAGTTGAGGAAAAGATTGGCGCAATTGGAGAGAGCGGCTCGTGCAAATAATATTCTTGTGTTTGGAATTAAGACTGCTACTGAAATTAACACTGCTTTTAATCATGTCACTAAAGTCTTGCTTAAATTAACTGAGTTGCCACAAATTGAAGCAATGTATAGAATAGGAAAATCTGATGCGGCTAAGCGGCCTATTTTGGTCAAGTTTAAAACTCAATCTGATAAGCGCATAATTATGTCTAAAGTAGCTTCTCTAAAAGGAACAGGCGTCACTATAGGGGACGATTTAACACCAGAGGAGCAGGCGGTGAGACGTACAATTGTTGCTGCTTCGAAAGCTGCTAAAGAAAAAGGTGTAGTTAGCAAAATTCGGCGAAATGGACTGATCATTGGAAATAAATTTGTTAATCCTGAGGTGTTAGTTGACCCAAACTGGCTACAGAATTTTACAGAAATATCAGGAATTGATAATAATTTGCAGGCGCGGCCGGAAAAGCGAGCACACTCACCGACTGATTTAGGTGCAGACTTAGAGTCCATTGAAACAGAAACTGCGAGCGCGGGTTTTCACAAACCCCGCAGCGACAGTACAGGCAGCAGAAGGATAAAGAATGCGGGAGACGCGACCCGGAGCAGCAGCAGAGACAAGCGAGTGAAGCAAAATTAAAATCAAAATTTTCTTTTATATATAAAAATGATTATATTAGCATTAATGATTATGTTTCTCAAAACCAATTTCTCAAAGTAATTTTTCTTAATGCGCAATCCCTTGCTGATGTAAACCACATTGTGCTTTTTCGTCACTTGCTAGCTGAAAAAGTAATTGATATTATAGGAGTTTCAGAAACTTGGCTCAAAGATAAGCACGCAGATAACCTAGTTGATGTGATTGGTTATAATATTTTACGCAATGATAGGGAAGGTGCACGAGGAGGTGGAGTAGCGATCTATTTAAAGAAAGGTTTAAAATATAAGAAACTAGCGGCATCTCCGCAAAATAATAATTTGCAACTTACAGAATATATCTTGTGTGAAGTGGAGCAGGTGAATGGAAATATTTTAGTAGCAGTAATTTACAGGCGCCCTAGCAGACTAACAAAATTAACTAATTTTTTGAATAAATTGAATGAAATGAGTGCTAAATATGCAAATGTGATTGTTTTAGGAGATTTTAACTACAATTTTGCAGATGGATCACGTGAAGGTAAAGAACTGGAAACAGAATTGCAGGATCTAAGTCTTAATCGGTTGCCTATTAAAGACACTCACATATCATATAATGCAGTTACAACAATTGATGCTATTTTTGTTTCGGACATGTTAAATTGCACTAATTTCGGAAAATTGCTTAATCCTTTATCTAGTCATGAAATATTATTTGCGATTTTTGACTCAAAAATAATTGAGGCTGAGAGTGAATTTGCAATGTATAGGAATTTTTCTGCAGCAGATAATAATTTTCTACAAGAGAAGGCGTTAAATGTTGAATGGTTTTTATGTGGAGCTGAACTAACGATTGATGGCAAAGTTGAAAAATTTAATAAAATGCTCATTGATTTTTATAATGAATTTGTGCCACTGCAGAGGCGATGTGTGCCTAAAAATTTTAAACCAAAACTTCCCTTGCAAATCAGGTCCGAAATATCCCACCGTGATCGTCTGCTGAGCCTTGCTCGTCGTATTAAAAACAATCGATATCTGTTTGATGTTTATAGGGCTGTTAAAAACAGAGTGAAGCAGTTGATTTTAACCTTTTATAGAAGCCGAGTTTTTGATCAGTTAAGTTCCCTCAATAATTCAGGCCAAATTTGGAGTAAACTTAGAAATATGGGCTTGATAAAATCAAAACATAATCATGCAAGTCTCCCTGTTAGTCTAGATATTATGGTAGAAGAGCTGACGGTAGTGCGCGACCAAAGCCAGCTTGCTAAAATTGATAATAATTATGTAATTCCAGGTATAAAGAATAACGAACCATTTCACTTTTCTTATGCAAACCCTGTGGATATTAAAAAAGCAATTTTCAGCATTACTTCGGCAGCTGAGGGGCATGACAAAATTTGTATTAGCATGATAAAGAAAATTTGCTGTGTTCTGATGCCAACGCTCACTAATATTATTAATTCATCTCTACAGATGGCTGTATTTCCAAGTGCGTGGAAAAAAGTAATTCTAAGTCCAATCCCAAAGGTGCGCATCCCTTCCAAAGCAAGTGAATTTCGTCCAATAAGTCTCTTAAGCACAATATCGAAGGTCGTTGAAAAAATTGTGTTCAAACAAATTCAGGAATTCTTAAAAAATAATAATTATTTAGACGAGTTTCAATCTGCCTACAGAAAATTGTATAGCACGACTTCCGCTTTGCTGAAAATAGCCGAGGATATAAGGGCAGCGCTTTTTCGCAAAAAAGTTGTTTTAATGGTTTTTCTTGACTATTCTAAGGCTTTTGATACCGTTGATCATAAACTCTTACTGAGAAAACTTTCCCAGCTAAATTTTTCACCGCCTGTTTTGCAATGGTTTAATAATTATCTTTCTGACAGAAAGCAAGCAGTAAAAGGCAGCGATGGAAAATATTCCAAATGGGCTGAATTAAATTGTGGAGTGCCCCAGGGTTCAGTGCTTGGTCCACTTCTTTTTTCACTTTATATGATTGATATAAACAGAATTTTTAAGAGCAGGTGTAAATATCATGTGTATGCGGACGATGTTCAGCTGTATATTGAATGTGGAGTGAAAGAACTAGCTGATGCAATAGGAATTATGAATTTAATTTTGCAGGATGTGGCAAAATGGTCCGAAAGGCATGGATTAAAATTGAATGCAGCAAAAACTAAAGCTATGATAATTTCCTCTCCTCAAATGAATAAATTAATAAACTTTAATGTTCTTCCTCCGCTGGCAATTAACAATTCTAATATTGAATTTGTAGACACGTTTAAAAATTTAGGAGTTCATTTTGATAAAGAATTTCGATGGGATAAGCAGATTTCAACTGTTTGTCAGAAAATTTACAGCACTTTGAATAACCTGAATAAATTTCGCAATTTTACGCCTCAAAAGGTACGGCTACAGTTGCTAAAAAGTTTAATTCTCCCACATTTAGATTATTGCAGCATAGTTTACTGTGATGTGAGAAAGGAGCGTCTGAAACGACTTGATGTTGCATTAAATAATTGTTTAAGATATGTTTATGATGTCAAGTTTGGTGATCGAATTACACCCTTCTATGTGAAAGCAGGAATTCTCAGAGTTGAGGAGCGAATGCAGCTTAACATACTTCTTATGACACATAAAACTTTGCATGGAAATAGCCCACCCTATTTAAAAGAATTATTTTTATTGCGAGATGAGCATCATTCGAGAGCTGCTAGATCACACAAACTTTTTCTGCTGCCACCTTTTGACTGTGGTGATTTTTCTTTTAAAATGCAGAGCTATCATTTATGGAATGCGTTGCAGGCGAACTGGTGTCTGAATGAAAATATTAATGTCTTCAAAAATAATTTGATGCAATCTTACTTGAATAAATATAAATAATTACTGTGAGAAATTAACAATTATAAATGAAAATGAATAAGTTCAATAAGGAGGCCACCTTTCCTGAGTCGTAAAAGAAAAACAGTACAAGCTAGGCTATGTCTAAGATAAAAGACTAGTTTAAAATAAATAGCGACAAAGTGCTGACGACATGAACAGGTCTGTAATGATGGCAAAAAACAAAACAAACAAAAAGTAATATTTATAATAAACAATATCAATTTCAGGGCTATTTACTTTGTATGTTCTGTCTTTGTATTTTTTGATGTAATTTCTCTCTCTTGTAATCAATGCAATTTATAATATTGAATGTATGGATGATGTATTTGGGCAGAGAATGCCCGGTGGTACATTAATAAACACAATTGTAACTATACCTTTACTAATCCTACGTCTGGGAAAAGGTCGTATGAGTTATAATTTTCTTCTCCTGTCTCTCCGTTGAGTTGTCCCTGGTAAATTCGCGATGCCGTCACTGTTGTCAACCCCATGCCGTCACCAATGAAAACAATCACATTTTTTGCCCTGTTGATGATTCGCTTTTTCTCTTTCTGGTTCCTGATGCGCGCTTTTCCCTCCTCGTACCAGAAATTCTTGTCTGGATATTGCAAATTAAAATTCTTCCTACAATTTTTTTATGCAAAAAATTACCCTCAACCCTGACCACTTGCAACTTCTCGCTCACCACCGCAGAGTGGAACACGACCGCACAGAGAACAATCAAACTGATGGCCCTCATTTTCCAGAGCGACCCGGCTACAAAGTTGCAAGCTTCTCAGCTTGGAATCATCTGAAATCTTCTTACAGAGGCCAATTTATAGCATTTGCATCATAATCGTGTGCTGCTTATCTTAAATTCAAAAGTTCCAACGCATTTCTCACTTGTGGTTATCTTAATTGGATTACGTTTGATGTAACGCTTAGAATAATCATCCAATTGTTTTTATTTTTTCATGTTCAGTTACGCTTTTTTTCTTGTATTTTATTCTAAATTTTATTTTAACGTCGATGCATCAAACAATTTATTTGTTTCATTGCCTGTTTTGCAGACGCAATGTTGGAATAGTAAGTAATCCTTATTCTCGGAACTCAGCACGTGCAGTAATTTATCTCATGTTTGATAAGAGGGAAAAGCTTCTAATTCAAGTGTAGACTCTTTATGTTATCAAAGTCATGATCAATATAACAAATACCAAATACCCTTCAAAAATAGAAACATTCAGTATTTGCAAACAGAAATTGGGTATTCAATATTATTTTTGTAAACTATTTTTATTTTTCAAATTTAGCGCGTAATGTTCTAGTTGTGATAAATTAAAATAAACGACCAACCTAAACATATAAATATGATTTTTAAATTAAGTGTTTATTCTTATAATTATCTTATAATTATCATCAAAAATTATTTTAAAATTAAATTTGGCAATATGTGCCACTTGGTCCAAACCTTCCGGCGCAACTGACGGCGTGAGCAACGTAGCTTTGCTCAAACACTCCGTTAAACAAGTGCGAATATGGACCTAAATAATTTAAAATTTTAAAAATTTGATTAGAATAATGAAAAGGAATACTTACCAATTGCGTAAATCGCAACGTCCTCTCCACCGTGAGTTTCAGACGATTCGTAAATCGGCGCAAAGTGTCTGTACCTTGGGTCCTCCCTGTCTGTCATAAGCAAAAGGTCGTTCCAGAGATATTCGCCCGCAGCAATGGCACCTGCCTTTCGATGAACATTAAATCCGCGTCCGTTGGCGTAGGTCAGCGTTTCGTAAAGCGGCTGTTTCTCCGGTTCCGAATGGGCAAATCCTAAGTTTTACATGAAATTTATTTTGATGAAGTTATTTTTACGGTTCAGACGCCAATACCCAAAATATCGTTTCCTCTCTCTGGATATCCATTCATTGTCATTGCGTGCGAGTGGTCGGCGGTGACCACAATAAGAGTGTCGTCGCGCGAAGTGACATTCAGTGCCGCAGATATCGCTTCGTCGAATTTCACAGCCTCGGCCAAGGCCAATTTCGCGAAGTTGTCGTGGTGTGCGTGATCTATCCGGCCACCTTCAACCTTAAAATTCACCACATATAGAAATAATTGCTTAAAGAGTCGAACCTGATAGCTTAAAAAAATTATTTAATAAAGATATATAAAATTAGTTATTTATGTGGATATATTTATTTTTTCAATAAATATATAACATAAAATTTAAAATTTTAACACCAATCTTAGAGCAAAATTTCTCTTTGATTCTTTCAAATTCAGGGAATTATTGTTATTATTTTAAAGTTTCAAATTTATTTGCAGAAAATTAAGTTTATGTTACTTTTACTCACGATTAAAACATATCCATTTGCTGCACTCTCCAGCATGGAAATGGCCTTCTGGACCATGTCAATTATCGAAGGAGATCCGTTGACACTGGTGTCTCGTTCCAAATCGTAGTCCATGTGACCATACCCAAAGAGTCCAAGAACTTTCTCCTCGGTGCTCAACCCTTCCATCTGCCCCCTGTTGGTCACGAATCGGTGACTCACCCCTTCGACCAGGCGATCAGATTCCCATTTCGAGGTGAGGTTCAGGCCGTCGGTCCTGATGCAGGAAGCGACATCACCGATTGCAAAACCCAATTGCTGCAATCCTCCTCCGAAAATGACCTGAAATTTTTCAAACGCGAATTAATTTAGTATTATTTTAGTTTTATTTTTTATTTTTTCTTTTTAATAAATTTAACTTCAATTTTTAAAACTGAGCAACAAAAGTCAAATTATCTCACTCAGGACACCAAATTATTTCCGTTTTGAGAATTTTGAATTTTCGTTTTCTCTGTCAAAATTTCTGAACTGAAAATAATATACATTCAACAATAATTTTTGTTGAATTTGCTTACTTACATTTAAGTCCTTGCCAGGCGAGTCCTCAACCAACTGCCTCGCAATGTCCTTGGTGCAAGTTTGATACTGCGCCGGGATTTCTCCGTCGCACTCCCAATTCCTGTCGTTGACGTGCGAATAAGAAGCCGCCGGTGTTGCGTGCGTGATTCTGGCCGTCGTGACAAGCCCAGTTTTCTTTCCAGCGTCTTGAGCCCATTTCAGCATCGAATCGACCCTGGCCCCTTCGTTGACCACAGGGTCGCAGATGCCCAGAGTTGCTGTTGCGTCCACCCCCGCCGTGTAGTAATTGGTCTTGACCCCACAGAAAAGGGCAGTCGCTGTTCCTGCAGAGTCTGGGACTTGCTTGTCCGTATTGTACGTCTAAAAAATAGACGTGTTTTGTCCCTTTCAAAACATTGAAATTTCCTAGCAATCGTTTTAATTCAAAGCAACATTCTTCAAGATTTAATAATTTTATTCATTGAAGATAATTTTTATTTTGTTAATCTTGATTTTTGCATCAATCTGAATTGTTTAAATGGAAGTTATGTTTTTTATTATGGTTTTTAATTTTATTTGATTGCGATTGTTATTCTGCGCTGGTTGCATATTATGCGTAAAATACCTTGATTAACCCAACGTCTGGGAAAAGTTCAAAAGAGTGATTGGCCTCCTCTCCACTTTGCCCGGCCAATTGTCCCTTGTAGATTCGAGAAGCAGTCACAGTTGGCAAACCCATTCCATCGCCAATGAAAATTATAACATTTTTGGCGACGTTGAGATTCTGCGTTCTCCTCAAAACTTCTTCCAAACGCAATCTGCCTTCCTCATACCAATAGTTTTTATCTGCTTTTAAAAATATTATATTTATGGCAAGTTTTAATAATAATATTAAAAAAAAAAAAATCTTTTATAATAAATTGATTTGTTCTCACCCTCAATTTTACTCCCGGCAATAGGAATATTTTCGCAAAATCCTAGTGACCCCAAAAGGACTAGAAGAGAAATCAAAGGAAGGGACCGCATCTTGAAAAGCCTAATTTGCTTCTAAGTGATTTCTTGCATATTCGTTCCGATTTATACCTCACGTTGTTTTAATTTTTGCTCAAAACTTCTTAGCCAATGAATGATAAGCAGTTAATCGACCTTGTTTACTTCACCTTAATTCTGAGTGTTAAGTTCACGAAACATCAGATAAAATTTATAGAAATCGGTGAAATTTCTACAGTACGATTGCTAAAATCTCAGCCCAAAAGACAAGTAGTAAAGTGCAATCAGAGAATCACGCGAGTACGATCCGTACCTATCACAATCTGACAATAATACTCTACCCAAGTGCTAATATTTTGTTCTTGGAAACTTTCACCCGGCTTCTAATCTTAAAAGCTATTCAAACTGGTACAAAAGCTGGGACTACGCAGCAGAAAACTACATAATTATTAATTTTGATACAAAAGTTAAGAAACTGCAATTTGAATTTTTCGTGGATCAGCCTTTTTTTAAGTTGTAAAATTCCAGATTTTATTAGCATATTTTTTTATTTTGCTTATTTTTCTAAATCACAATTCCATCATGACTTAATTAATTGGTGTAGGTCAACATAAACAGGCTGTGATTCTATTTGAGATAATAATTAGAGTATAATTATCACTAAAACATTTTTATTTGGGTTGATTACAATTACTCTAATTATTATCTCAACAAGAATCACAAATATTCAGACAGAGATAAATTGCAGGTGTTATTATAGCAATTAAAATTAAAACGTCTCCAATCCGGTTTGTCAGTGCTGTGATTATCCTTGCGATAATATTAATTCCGCATTTTTTTTTAAAATTTAATTTTTATTTAAACAAAATTGATAAAAAAAAAATGAGACTTTTTTTGCTATAAAATAACCAAAATGATGAATGAATCCTTCATGCTCATGCGTACAAATTAAAATTTGAAATTAAATGAGATTTCTTTATTCAAATCAAACTAAAAAAATCACCGAAACTTGACTAGAAACGCGTTGATCATGAAAGACAGTGTGACCAGTCCAATAAGAGGCTTCACCTGGTGGCTCGAGGATGATGATTTGCACAAATGCGCGTTTGGTCCAAAGTGGCCGGCACAGCTGGCGGCGTGCGCGATGTAATTCTGTTCGTGGACCCCATTGAAGAGATGCGAAAAGGGGCCTGCGACACGTCAAGTGGATAAGTCGGATAAATTGGATTGAAATTGACGGACTGACCGGTTGCGTAAACGGCGATGTCCTCGCCGCCGTGCGTTTCCGATTTGATCCAGATGGGCGCGAAGTGCATGTAGCGCGGGTCCCCTCGGTTGGACATTTGTCCCGCGTCCAGCCACAGGTTCTCTCCGGTGCCGTTGTTCAGGTGCTGGTGATACGCAGGGCCATTGGCGTACGTCAATGTTTCAAAAGGTTGCCTCTTGGGATTGTTGTGGGCCATTCCTTTTTAACATAAAAAATTAATTAATTATAATTAATAATATACATTCATGAAAATAAACAAAAATAATTAGTAAGAGGTTTTTTTACATGGTTTTACTGAAACTGTGCTTTAATGAATGGATTACCAACCAAAATTTTGTCTTTTAATTGAGAAATTAATTTTACAATGGCTCAAAAATAAAATTTAATGTTTTTGAGTCACAAAAATAAAAAATTCAATAAAAACCCGGAAAGTTAGGTTAAATGGAGCAACGTGGACTTTTGATTTTTTGTGACTCAAAAATATTAATTTTTTGAGCTATTTTAAAAATAAAATTATTCTCAATTAAAAGTAAAATTTAATTTTGGTCTTTATTCCATTCTTTAAAGCCACGTTTTTCTCGCACAGTTTCAACTCTCTTAAAAATTAAACTCTGAAACAGCTTTTTACACTTTAAAATACAAAAAAAGACACACTACACTAATTAGAACAGAAAAAACACACGCACACTAACAACTATCTGAGAAAAATAATTTGAATTTTGGTGATTTAATGGCAATCAAAACTTCCAAATTCAAGTCAACAAAATTTTCTCCTCCTCTCATCATCCCTCAACATAGCAAGAAAGTATTTTTGGTTACTGTAAATTATTGATTGAAGCAGTTTTTTATATTTTGACCTTTAATAGATTAACAAAGAACTAACGTTAAAATTAAATTTAAGACAACTTCTATTTTTTGGCAGGAGACAAATGAGTGAATTTTGAATTACCATTAAGAGTGTTTGAATTAAATTCAAACTTTGTTGCGCTAGAAAATCTCTTGCAGGAAAAATTTATCAAATTTTCTATTTTTTTTTTTGAAATTTTAATTGCATAGTTAAAACTGCCAAATTTTAGTGACTAGCTCAATTTTCAGTTTGGTTAAAATTCGCACTTATGTGTTGAAAATTTGCAAATCTGTAAGGCATATTAAATTGTAACAAATAAATAGAAAAGCTTATGTTTTATCAGATTTTGAAATGCACTTTTGCTCAATATTGTGCCAGCATTTTTCTCTTTCATAGTTTTATTACTATTTTATTTATTCTTACCAAGGATGTCATTGCCACGTGCTGGATATCCATTGATTGTCATGGTGTGCGAGTGATCAGCAGTCACTATAACTAAAGTGTCCTTTCTTGAGGTCATGGCCAGGACCGCTTCGACTGTCGCCTCCATTCCAACGGTCTCCATCAACGCCAAGCGCGCGTAATTCAGATGATGCGCCTGATCGATCAGCCCTCCCTCGACCTGTTTCGCTTATTTTTCAACTTCATATTGACATTTTTTGTTAAATATACCATTAGGACGAATCCGTTTGGTCCCTTTTTGAGCAATCGCAGCGCAGTCACAGTCATGTTGAGCAGGGATGGACTGCCCTCGGACCCTTTTTCTCTCTCCGCGTCGTAATCCATGTGATTCGTAGCAAACAAACCTGCAGATCAGAATTTGAGGATCAAAAAAATTTATGAAAAAAAAAGTGCAAACCCATAACGGCGTCATTTTCAGAAGTGACACTCGCAAGTTCGCCAGAGTTTTGAACAAATTTCGCACGCAAACCTGCACGTTCTTTATTTAGCAACCACTCTTGTGCCAAATTTCTGCCGTCAGTTCTTTTGCAAACCTCTTCGTCGGGCCCTGTGTAATTCACGACTCCCATCGGTGACAAACCGCCGCCAAAAATTACCTGAAAATAATTTAAAAACTTCAACACATTAAATAAAGCATACATAATAATAGAGTTGATGTTAAGTTAACATAATTTGTTGGTTCTAATTGGAATTGAAAAAATAAAATGAAAAACATAGATTATTATCCAATTAATGAAACAAATTTTACCAACGAGTAAAGAATAAATAAAATACATAAAATTATTGTTATTTTGATTTATTCGACTCAAGTCATAAAAAAAAAAAAAATTTAAAAAAGTTCATATTAAGTATCTTTTGGTATTTCAGTATCCATTATTATTTTAGTCAATTTAAATAAATGATGTAGTTCTAAAAATTTCTCACTTCTTTAATTAAATTATTGTTAGAAACTTAAACACCATCATTGATTAAATTTTAATTATTTTTAGTGATATTTTTTTTTATTTCATTAAATTGGCTAAAATATAAAGGAGAAGAGAAGCAAATCATTTTTTGTTTTTTGTTAACAATGTTTAGAGCTTTTAATTAACCAAAACTAGAAAAATGTAAACACAAACTTATTGAATTTTGTTTCTTATTAATTAAATGCATCATAGAGTCAAATTAATTGTGTATATTTTTTATTGTTCCAGCATATTGTATACCCTCAAATTTCGGCCAGGCTCGTCCTCTACAAGTTGCCTTGCAAGATCCTTGACACAGTCGGCCGCCTCCGGAGGGACTTTAGCGTTGCATTCCCACTCTCGGTGCGGAGTGTGTCCGTAGGTGGAGGACGGGGTGGCGTGCGTGACCCGGGTCGTGGTGACGAAGCCCGTGAGCCGGCCCGACGCCTGCGCCCACTTGAAAATGGACTCGAGTTCCGCCTTGCGCACCTGGGTCGCGTCGCATTTGCCCTTGGCCACCCTGGCGTCGACCCCGACCACCCCAAGGTTGGTCTTGACCCCCGTGAAAATCGCGGTGCCCGTTCCCGCCGAGTCCGGCACTTGCTTGTCAACGTTGTACGTCTGTGTCAGGAATTTTGCGTCAGGAAATTTTTGAATAAATTTTAAAATGTTGTGAGAAAATTTGGAGTTACCTTTACCAGACCGACGTCTGGAAACGTTTCCCACACCAGAGAACCCTTTTCAGCTCCGACCATACCTTGTTGCTGACCCTTAAATATTCTGGCCGCCGTCACCGTCGCAACGCCCATGCCGTCGCCGACAAAGATGATTATATTTTTGGCAAGGTTCTTGTTTTGCTGCTTGGAAAGAATGTTTTTCAGATGGACTCGGCCCACATTCATCCAGTGCTCTCGATCTAGTTATTATTAATAATTTTATATCTATTTTTTTTTTACATTAATTTAAAAGATCATAATTATTTTTCAAGATTTCACGTAACGGTTCAAACCATTTAAAAAAATTATTTTTTTAACAATTGACAGATTTTATAACTATAAAAGTTTCCAAATCAGCAGATGTGCAAAAATTACTCGATGGCTTTCATTTGGAAAAAAAATTATTAAATATAGTGATAAAATATTCTGCAACTTGTCAGAGCCCTTTTAAGAAAATCCATACCTTCGAGCGCAGCCCCGGTGAACGCTAGAAGCAGCAGCAGCAGCAACAACAGACTCTGCATTCTTATTGCGACTCCGCTGGATGAATGAATAATGTATTGGATAAACTTGCTCGGCCTTAGCGTTATCCTTTGTGCCTTGGCCAGCAACAATCAAGCGGCGTGCCGAGTTGTGCAACCGCCGTCAATCAGCGGATCGCGCTATTTTTATTATTTAGGTGAAAGCAAAGCATTGTGCTCCACGGAATGACAATTAAGTCCAACATAAAAAAGTGCCGACGACACTCCAGATCGGCAATTGACAGCCAAACTGACTCTCCTTCAAAAGGAGTCACTTATTGCATAATTTTGTTGCTGCAGATTTTTTTTGAGATTGCACCAAATTTAAAATTAAAGTGTTTCTTGTTATCATTGAAAAAATATTTTAAAGCTGTTTTAAATAAATAATGATTTATTTTAAATATTGAAAAGCCCATTTTCTTCACTCAATGGATTTAAAAAAGTCTGGCACTAACATTGATTTAAAATAATGAAATTATACATTTTTTTTTTAATTTGGTATGTACTAATAAAGAATAATCTTTGTTTTGAACACACTATTACGACACAATTTTTATTGAAGATAAAACAATGCTTAAACTGGAATCAAGTAGATTTTCATGAAGGTGGAGTTGGGATGTTCTGAAACCTATCACGAGCTTTATCCCAAGCTTGTTTCCGCCTCTTGTCCTTGCGGTCCATCTCTGGCGGCAGAGGAATCGAATCAAGCCCCAAACCGGTCTTGTCTGCTCTCAAATCAATGTTAATCTAAAAAATCAGAAGTTCGCATAAATCAAAATTGATGAAGTGCCCATTGTGACTAACCGGCTCAGCAATGCCAGAAACTCCGTCTTTGCCCAACGTCTCTCCGCTTTTCCAACCCATCTTTTCAAGCATCTTAAAGCCTTTGTTGGACTGCGGCACCGCCGCGTCCAAGGAAGCCGCCTCGGTCTTTTCACCGTGGTGTTGAGAACCGACCGTCACTCTTCTGCGGTCAGCTCTGTCCACATAGCCCGAGGCTAGAGACGTGTCGGCCTCGCCAACTCCGGATAGGGCAAATCTGCGCTTCAGACGAAGCAGTTCCTCTTTGTGAGTCGGTTTTTCACCCAAAGTAGAGGAAGAAACAGCTTCTGGCTGCTGCACCAAACCTGGTTCGCAGTGGCCACAGGTTTCTTGGCCAGGGTGAATGTGGCATAGGAGGAATGTGTTGGCCACACGAATAATACTTCCATGCATCACCTGATCAAAATATATAACATTTATTTATAAACTTTAATTTATTTTTATAATTTACTAAAAATTTTATTGATTAATTTAATTTTAATTATTTCTAAATTATAACGTGTTTTAAAGTCTATGGTACTTCAGCATACCTGCTTTGTTTTATCCTTTTTGAGCCTCTTCTTATTGAGCCATGTTCCATTTGTGCTGCCTGAGTCTTCCACCCAATAGCCTCCGTCCTCATACAAGAAATTGCAGTGCGATTTGCTGACATTCAAATCGGGAACCGTCACAGAATGATGACTTCCCTGTAAACAATTTTTATTGTTTTAAAATGATAAATTTAGTTGTTAAATCCAACCTCTCGACCAAGAGTTCCGCCGGTGCAGGTTACAATAAACAATGTTCCCAGTTTCAACTTTTCCAGATCCGTCTGCTGAACAATAAGTCGCATGCAAGGATCAATTTCATCAGCCGTTGGTAGCTTGTGATGAACCGGACGAGACTCTGAACAAAAGTTTATAAAAAAATAGTCAATGTTTACTTTTGTGAAATTACTTTCTTTAGCCGACTTCTTCTTTTTATAGTAGTCGTAAGAATCCACTTCTGAATCTGACGAGCACTCTCCTTCCTCCTCCTCGATTTTCTGCTCCTTCTTCCTCTTTGCATTCTTTTTCTTCACCTCCAGAAGCAACTCTCTCTTTTTCTATCAAATATAAAATTGATTATTTCTTTATTCTTAATTCAATTTTCTGATTTACTCTTTCCAATTCTTGCTCCCAGTGCTCTCGACGCTCTTCCTCTGGGTCTTTGTCTTCTTGCTGGTGATAAACAGAAAACACTCCGGTGTTCTCGTCATATGTGTAGTAAGTCTTGTTTACTCCATCATAGTAGAGTCCAGTATTCTAATAAAAATGAATGGATATTATAAAAATCTTAAAGTAAATTATCTATCAAAAATGTATCTTAATACAAAATTGTGAAAATCGAGGTAAAAATTAATATAAAATTAGCTCCATAAATTTCATTTTTAGGATAACATTTTAAATTACCTGATCGTAATAGTAGCCTGTGCTGTTGTCGTAGTAAAGGCCAAGACTCTCATGGTAAACAAAACCAGTCTCCTGTACGACATTTTCGGCAATCTCCTTGACCTGGTCAGCGATGGACAAACCAGTGACCCACGATTCGTCTCCGGCCGCCGAAGTAAGCTCGACCTTTTTCTTTTTCTTGGGCATGAAAACCCCTCGCGACTCATTGGAATTTCCTCCCGATTGCAGCTGAAAAATAACCCAAATGTGAATCAACCTTCTGAAGAGTCAAACTTTTGAATCAAACCTGCTGCAGAGCCGCGGTGGCTGTTTTGAAAGACCTGATGGTCCTGTTCAGGTCAACGATGTACTCCTGCACTTGAGGCAAATCGCCGATCTGCTCCAGGACGTGCTCGGGAACGTCAAACTCGGCCAGGTCGGGGTTCAGAAGTTTGGCCTCCACCTTCATTTCGGGCGTCTTGGCGCCTTCCCTCTCTGGAGATTTTTCTGTGACCTGTCGGAGAAGCATCTCGGTTAGTTTTGTCCGTTCTGCAGAGAAAACCTGCTGTCTGTGCCATCTGGACAGTAGAGCAAGTCGGAGCAGAATCTGCTTGTCCTTCGCCAACTGGAACTGGCGGCGGTTCGTCCGCCTCCTGCTCCTCCACCTCCATTTTCATCGAACTTCGGGCCCAGAAAATCTACACGGAAAAGGTCTGCAGCAGTCGACGCCCAAGCTCTGAGGAAAAAGATCAACTTATTAAACTGGTGACGGAAAAATTTAAAGGATATTACACGTTTATCAAACTGAATTAAAACGGAGCGCTTATCAAATTTAATACCAAAGCGTGAAATAAACCAAACACGCCAGCCACTGCCAGAAAATGGAAATGAAAACAATGTCAGTGGCGCCCACTAAGGTCGGGGATGCGAATTATAATTCTAAACGTTTCTCGCGCCAAAAGAACGTGCGCCACTTTGATATAATTAGGCAGTTATTAACATTTTTGCTTTTTTTGTTCGTTGTTTTTGATATAAATAACAATACATAAAAGGGTTTGTTTGTTTAGAGTTAAAAGCACGTTTTCTTCACTTCGCCTTCTGTGAGACACGCAAAAGGCAGCATAAATTTTTGTTTGCAAATTGCAGATGCATTTTATAGATAAAAATCACTCTTCCTAGTGTAAGTAAGAAATATTTCGTATTTTGGTAAAAAGTTTTTGATATTAATTTGATATCCCCTGTTAATATTTCAATGATTTGCAAAGATTTAATTATATTTGATATCCTGACTTGGTAGGAGAAAAATAAATTTAACTGAATTGAATTTTTTAAATTATATTTAGCGGATGATTTGTTAAAAAGCTTTCATTAATTATTAGTAGATTTTTGTAAAATCCTATTTTTCGAAGAAAAAAAGTGTACACATTTAAGCCAATCCATTGAAAAAAAAACTCTTTAATAATTAATTTAATATTTTATTCAAAATTAAATTGAATAATTGAAGGATAGTGCTGCAGGTAGGTGGTAGGTAAATTAATTATCAATTCCATTGAGAATTTGCATTTTATCACTCATCACACTTTTTTAAGCAGGTGCACCGTTTGATTTTTTTTATCAAAATTAATAATGAGCTTGTCATAAACTGACCTTGAATTCGAAAAAGTCTGAATTTACCCACGTGCACGAGCAATTATTCGCGCCCACATATTGTGCATGTCGATTTAATTTTGCCCACATCCTTTCCGTCTTTTACGCACGAACTTTATTCCAGCTGATTTCACCTCAACTGGCGATTTCACGTTTTTTTTACTCGTAGCATCTCATCACGCCCAACACAAGGCGCTCCTCTGCTCTGCTCGCGATTTGCGCAACCGAGATTTTGATCTTGAAGACAGAAAAAATGTACAAAAATGGAAATGTGGCAAGAGAAAAATGACTACGAGGAAAAACGGAAATAAACATGGTTTTATTGGCTAAGAATGCCGAGAATTATATTATAAAAACACTGATGTAATTTCCCTTGATGCCGATATAATTTCACAATCTACTTTTATTAATTATTTAATGGATCAACCTCTGAATTTCAAATAAAATTATTTTATCGTATAGTAAGAATCCAATAAAAATACTTTGAAAATAATTAAGATCAAGCTTCTGAAGATAATTCCTTTTCTCTTCTAGCCTCAAAGCTGTGGGTAAATCTAAAATAAGTGCAAGACGATGAGCACTCTTTATTTTTGTGAACAACAGAGAGATTTTTTGTTAGGTGTCTGATCGAGGTCTTGTGAACCTCTCGTGACAAATCAATTGTTCAGTGTAGCAACCTTGATCAGGATCAAAGAAGAACTTTTCCGATATTAAATTTAACCTATTGCTTTAGAATGCAAAAGAGTTTTATACACAAAGCTAAAGTAAGCTTATATTCAAAATTTTGTAAATGAAGGCTATTTTATAAATTGTCATTTTATTTAATTTAAAAAATTAATATTTTTTCATTTTTTTCCAGCATGTTGCTAAAAAATCATCTTACTCCTAATGTTTAATTTATTTAAATTAATTTATTAGTTTGGAATTTTGTTTACCAATTTTAAATTTTCCTTAAATATGATATTCAGGAATGTATAAAAATTTATTGAAAAAAGTATGTATGAAACAAATTAATTGCTGATTGTAGTTATTTAGTTTTAGGATAAAATTTTCCTTATTTAATTTAGATTTAAATGTCCTTCTTTAACCTAAAATAATATATTTTGATCCTCATCTCATTGATAATAATCACTTAACTTTTAAATTTAACAAAAAAACAAACAAGGAAAATAATTAAACTCGATTGACGCCGGTCTGTGATTGGTCGCCCTGTTTTGCGCAGCAGCATTTTGTTAAAAACCAACGCTATGAATATAATCACCGACCAAATGACCTGTGCCCCAAGGGTCACATTATATTTATTATTTATTTTCCTCAAACCAAATAACTGTAGAATTATTTTGCGTGTCTGAATTAAAAAAAAAAAAACTTTTAAGAGAAGCAGTTTGCACCGGTTTATGATTGAAGCACCAGATTATCAGAGCAGCTCAAACAGGCTCATTCGAAAAAGATGAATCTTCCTTATTTCGCTGTAAAAAACCCGCATGAATCAAACCTGCAATTTGTTTACAGTCCTTTTTGGTCAATTCGCGTGCGGATGAAAGAGTAGAAAGGATGAAAAAAAAGTGGCGATTAGCATGCGGATGATGTCAGTCGCGCTTCTGCGAATCCGAAGCGCCGTGGTGGGAAAATAAAAATGATATACCACGCATGCAAGCGATGATGAGCGCGCCCGCGGCTCAATGTATGTATTCGAATCGACACACCAGTGACGTCATTTTGGTGGCTTGGAGGGGCGATTTATATGTACTGGTGGCCGGTGCCGCGGCAGCTCAGAAAACAGAAACACCGAACACGAGAGAGAACGAAGAGGAAAGAGCAGCTCGAAATGAAAACGGTTCTTGTGGTGCTCGTCCTGGCCGTCGTGGCCCAGGCTAAACCTGCCAGAAGTCCTTATGGTGAGTTGATTCTATCAGAACATTATTGATTTATTTAAAAATTTCAATAATTCAATAATTTCAAAATTTCAGCAATGGTTATTGTTGAAAAAGGTATTGCAAACGATTGCAAATTATTTTTGGTTAATTATTTTCTGAAAATATTAAAAAAAAAATCAAGTGATTTTATCTGCTTGTTATTTTTTTTAATTTTAATTTTTGTGGATAATTTCAAAAGAAACCGTTCTTTTTCTTTGCTTGTGAAATCTCTCTCTTTCTTTCTCTCTTCTCACTAATTGGTCACTGCTGATGTGTTCTCCGAACGCAAATGAGAAGAGCCGAGAGAGCGCGGCCTCGAAGTTTCTGGACGTAATTCAATATGATAATTCAATCGCCCATTGCTGGCGCGCCACTTGGAAAAAAAATTACCGTTACAAAACTCGCAGTGAACTTCACTTTGTACTCATTATTATTCGTAATTCAATCCCTGCCAGGAGCAAAGGGCATTACGAACCTTTATTTATATAGAAGATATAAATTATAAGTAGAGGCTATTTCAGGCTATTTACAGAAATCGTAGAGCGACAAGCAGACGGTTAATTTTTCATTAAGGCTTTATTTAATTTACTTTTATTAATTAAAGAGGCTGTCGAGCAAGAGAAAAAGTTTGAAATAAAAAAACAATTAAAAGTTTATAGCAATTTTTTATTTCAATGAAATTTTGGCCAACTTTTTCTTTGTGCTTATTATTTAAATATTAAATATTTAAAAAAAGGAGCTAACATTGATAATTTCTGCGGTAATTCTGTATCTTTTAATGGTTAAAAGGAAGTTGTGGGTTGAAAATGCCACAAGATTTGTTCTTGAATTTTTAATTAATTTTATGGCCAAGTATTTCGAAAAGTAAATTGTGATTTTCTTTTTCAATTAAATTAAATTTTATTTTTTAAAATCTGTTGTTAACATCAAAAAGCTTCTGCGGCGATTTAAAAATACAGCTTTCCTTTCCTGTCTGGAAATTTCTTGATGCGTTAAAAGCTTCTTGTAATTTCTTTTATCGTTTTCTCAAATTGATTAGTGGTGTCGCGAGTGCTTGGAGTGCCTTCATGGCTGGCATTTGTACGCAGCCTTCTCCAAATTGACTCACCTGGACACGTCACTCCAGTGTGTTATTGGTAAAGGTCATAAAGGACAAACGCACCTGGAATTCATTATTGACAAATCATTTACATTGGCCTGAAGAAGCGTCTTGAGCGCGCGACATATTTCTATGCAATAAACACCGCCTGTTTATAATTATTTTCAAAACTGGACATTGTCTGTGTGTTAGTGGTCGTAATTAGAAAATTAAACAGAAAGGGTCAGAATAGATAATAAACCAAATAGACGCAGTTGGTAGAGACTGAAAATAGCTGTTAATACGAGAAACCTCAGGATTTCTTGTAATCGATGAGCGTCACTTCGCTGAATAATTTCACAAGAATGAGGAAATAATCAGAAATAATTGCAAGTGGAATTAATTGCCTAAGGTTGTTGCAGAAAATATGTTAATAATTTCAATTTATATAATTCACGCAGGAATTATTTTGCAAACGAAATCATTTTCTAAACAAGTAGATCAAAATATAAATTATATTTATTTAATTACTAATTTTTTGGATCGCACATACTTCCCTATGATTTTAGTGATGTTTCCATTTATTTAGATCTTTTTAGCCAACTGTGAGTATTTTCAGGGCAATTTCAAATCGTCCTCTTGCGTCACTGCGAGTTATTTTATCCTTCCAGATGGCAATGAACTATGTTTTGGAATCAAGTCAGTGTGTTTTTGGTTTAGCAAACGAGTTTTGCGTTTCGCCGTCTGCTGTGTCAGCAAAACGAGTCGTTGATCCACTTGCTCGAGCAAACAAGACCTCTTTCTTCTTTTTTATTCATTCCGCCTCAAGAGCGTCAAATTAAGCACGGCGAGGATGCGCTCGATAACCTCGGAGCAAAATTCGCAAAGCAATCATCTTCTTGCAGTTCTTTAATTTAGTCACGAGTGGCTGGTACGGAAATTTATTTCGCTATAGGCCCGTCGTGTTTTGCTGATGTGGATACAATTTTTGTCGCCGACGGATGTAGCGAGCCGAGTGCAATGCGAGGGGAAACGCTTAACTATACCAGAGCGAGTGAACTACATCTATGTACTTTTTGCTGGAGCGTTCCATCTGGCCGCGCAAAACCTCGCGGTTGAAATTAAAAATTCGTTATGTGTCGTTCTATTTTTGAAATGAATAAATTTTTCTTGCAAAACGAGAAACAGTTTGGAAATTTTGAATAGAATAAAAAAAGAGAAATAAGAAATAATTTTATTTTCCAAACTGCGCAGTAACAAATAACTAATCTTATCGCATTAAATAAATGACGATGTAATTAACCAAGCAAAAAAAAAAATATAATCTGATGGCAAAGTTCATTTTTAATGTTAATTTACGCAAAGGCTATTTTTAAAAAGCAATATTTTTAAATTGATAAATTACATTTTAAGACTCTAAAAATTTCTAGATTAGTGTCTGTTAATGGTACTTTGCAAGAATTTTAATCAATAAGGTTTGGATATTTTTATTAATTGTTATTGTAAGTATCAATTTATTTTGATTATTATTATAGATTCAACGTAAATTTAACATAATTCACCTTAAAATATTGACTGCGTTTCTTTCTAATTGATTTTTTGAAGCTTACTTTCATTAATTAAAAAAAAGGGAAACAAATATTTTTTTCAGCATGCACCAAAAAATTATTTCGCACATCAGTAAGACAAACTTTAGACTCCAGACAGAGTGGTCCTTGAAACGCAAATTTATTCCCCCCACATTCAAATGTGCTCATTAGTATGCAAGTGCCAAAATGCAACTGGGCGAGACTTCAAATACGCAGTTACCGCCGCTGGCAGTAAAAAATTTCAAAGCCCATTGTTTGCATTTAATTGCTGAATTATTTTATCATAGACCAAAGTTTATTAATAAAATTCTTGCAATATGTTTCAGGCGGAATCTTTGATCACCCATTCTTCCGAATGCCTGTGATTCCCGCCGGCTACAGTGACGAGGTTGATTCCGAAGAGGCAGTTTCTGCCCCCGACTACGAAGAGGTTCCTCACCCCGCAGGAACCATTTCTCTGGGGTCGCTTATGGACGGTACGTGATTTATTCCAAGTATTTTTCTGTTAAAACCTGAGAATTTGAGTTATTTTCAGGAGTATTTAGCACGATGGATTTCGTTGGCAGTAATCAATTTTGACGACTTTAAATAAATTGATGTTTACTTACAATAAAATAAAATGTTTCAGGCATCTTCAACAGAATGAGGCAGCAGTTTGAACGTCTGCCGGCCCTTCACACTCCTAACTTCGAGTCGTTTGGATTCCCTTCATTCAAGCCTAACGATCCTAACACAAAGTCCACATCTACTTCCACAGTAAGTTATTTTTTGATTAATTTAATCCCTCCTGTTTTTTAGGACTGGGAAAAACTTTCGACTTAGTACATGATAATCAATTGTTTTTAGAAATTTTACAAAAAAATTGAATTTAGTTGAAATTATATAAAATTTTAATGATTTAAACAAAACCCATAGAAACAGAATATTTAAATAATTTTAATACAATATTAAATTTAAATTTTTAATTTTTACACTTGCTGTTATTTACTACTACGTAACAATTTTAATTTTTACATACATTTTTTATAATAATATTTTTAATTTTTTATTAAATACTAGGTTTACACCACGAAATATAATTTAACTCTTCCATCATCTTTAATTTGAGTCACGTCAAACAATTAAAAAGAAAAAAAATTGTGTTCAATTCAATCTCTTGTCAATAATGCATTTTATATTGCAAGTTTTCTCTCTTATTTCTTCATATCAACTATGACAAAAATTTCTAAGCTATATTTCTTTTGGAGTTCAAGAAATTTTAATTTATAAATCAAATCAAATAAATTTAAGTACATTTCACAAGAAATTTGTCCACTTTAATATTAATTGAAATTTTTAATTTTTCAGTTGAAATTTAAACTTTACATAAAATCAACTTTTTCTTTAGTTCTTGTGTTTCTTTTGAGATTTCAAACAATTAATATGAACTTTTTACAATATTGATTTACATAATATTTTTTTCGATTCAGATTGTTGGTGATCAAGTTGTCACTGTGAATGAGACTGTTTACCACAAGGAGGATGGCGGCACCAAGTCCGTCTTCCGCATCAAGGTGATCGATTTTGGGCCTAAACCTGCCATCAAGGACCAGAAAGCAAAACCCGCCGCCACTCCCGAGTCGACTGAAAGTTCCGTCGAAGAAGTGGTCGAGATCGACCTGCCCGCCGAAAAGACGCCCGAACAGGTGCAAGAATCGACCGAGAAGGAGTTCCCTGAGCCCACCGTAGAGGCCAACCCTGAGTCCACCACGTCCGAAGAGGAGCAGGTCAGCAACGAGATGGACAACGAGATCAAGGTCAGCCCCTGAGTTGTGTGTGACAGCAGCTTTTTTCTGGCACCCCCACTCACAAATTTTTAATAAGCATTTTGTGCCTGCGCTGAGATTTTATTGTAATTAATTTTCTCTTACACACACAAGCTAACCTGAACAAAACCTGCACTCAAATACGCAATGCTATAATTTTAGTTAAATTTCGCTAGTTTGACTTTTTTTTATTTAAAACAACAGTCAGTTAAAAACTGCTGAAATAAAGGGGCAATTAAATATATACGCATTGCAGAATCTCGAGATTCTGCCCTGGGAGTATAAAATATTTTTCAAGGGCTTCATATATATTATATAATTTATAAATAAGGGAAGACAGTAAGCATTTTTTTATTATTCACAAAATGTGACCCAACTGATTAAGAAAGTAAGTCTTTAGGGAAAATGGTGTAAATGATTTAGATTAGGACGATCTTTGGTAATCAAAAGTGCATGCTAAAATATTTTAATCATTTTATCGCATATAAAAGAATAAATGGACGAAGAATAATAAAACTGAAATGGCATGACTTTTAATTCATTACCCGCGCATGCTTTTATATCTGTAATTTTTTATTGCTACAGATTTGACTTATTTGACAAAGTTACAGAACTTAAAATTAATATTTAGACTGCACCGACTCTAGGTTCATTATTATTACAAATCATTTTTTTTTTTGTATATATTTTGTTATCACTGGCCTCTCTATTATAAATTTTTTAGGAAAATAAATTTACTCTCTACTAATTAAATCGCAACCATTCACATGTTTATACTGCACAAAAGTAATTTGATTTGACTAATCTGATTAGTGCACAATTTGTGAATTTTATCCACTTTCTTGCTTAAGCTTAATTCAAATAATATGCAATTTATTCTTTAATAACAAAAGATGCGTTACAAAGAAGGCGTGAAGCTCTAAATGAACCTTTTAGGGACAAGAATCGCTGATGGACACGCTCAAGAGATGGAACAAAAAAGAGAATGACCTTCGAAGCGCACCCGACGATGAAGTGGAGGTCATCGTGCCCGCTGCCGATACACCCATCGACCTTGCCGGCGACCTGAGGGTCAACCAAATTTTGCAGGATCAAGCAATGAAGGGAGGGCTTTTCATGCCAGACCCTGACGTAGAATTCATCGAGGTTGACGATGAGGGCAAATTGGTTCCTGATAATTTGCAAGAAATTTAAACGAGATTTGCACTTTTTGGCTCTCTTGCTCAATAAGTACAAAGGTATATATTTTAATTTATGAAGAAGATTCCGTTTTTAAAGTAATTCTTTGTACCCGCTAAACAGAGCTGCAGTGACAAAGTATTAAAATGTAAAATGTGCAATAATGGAGGGCGAGCAATTTCTAATAATAATGAGCTATATAAAGTGTATTTGTAAAACCAAAGTCAACTCGAATAAAATAGCTGTGTGATATTTTGTAAGTTACAAATTTTATCGTGAATATCTTTTCAATAAACCTACTCGAGTTTCATTATTTTATTAAAAATTTAAGGCCAGTGGAAATGAAAGAGATTTATTTATGATGACATGGAAAAATAAACCAAATTGATATAAAAAATATATGTATTTATATTAAAAAAAGTAATATGAATGTATAACATAGCAAAGTAAACATAGTGTGATACCCACATTCGTGGAGGTAGATTGACTGCTCAACACTGATGTAGCGCAGGTTGCATAACCTAGCTAAGAGTTTGCCTATTGAAGCAAGACTTGTTTTGGGATTTACTTTCATAAACTGGAAAATGAGAACAATTTTTGAAGGTAAATAAATGTTTTATCTCCTCAGCTTATTTTTCCTGAAATTTTCATACCCTTGTAAGCGAACAGTCTACCACGGCGCTATGCCCTGCTTCAAATTCCAGTTTTCTTAGGCATGTATCTATGCTTCCTTCTGGGTCACAAGGCATTCAAAGCAAATTTTTATTTTACAAATTTCTGATACCAATGTTCTCCCCTTTCTCATTTTTCTTGAAATTTTCAAAACCTATTAGCATTTGGAGTAGAAAATTAATACCATAGCATTGTAATTGGAGTTATGGTTCAATAATAATGTGTGGTTGAAAATATTATTTTTTTTTTCCATAGAAGTACGTATAATTTTTAATTTCAATCTTTGGCTACACCAGCAAGTTTTGACACAGAGATATTGGTAAATTCGGTAAATTGACCAACTAGATTAATAAATACATATATTCAAAGAAGAGAATCAAGTTGATTTCAATGGCCCCCTGAAAGGTGTTAAGGTATTGAACTTAGAAGCTGGTTAGCTGAAGGAGGGAACTCCATTGAGGTCGACGTTTCACTTTTGATTATTCAAATTTTTTGGGTGGAATCAAAGGCACCTTCCTTTCAAGAAATTTTTTTTTCGTCACCAAACTAAGCTATTATACATAGCAAAATCATCAGATATATGCAATTATATGCAAATATTGAGTGATGGTACTGACCTTAGAATCCGGTAGCCTGAAGAAGGGAACTCCACCGAGGTGGGATATAAGAGTCATGGTAATTCATAGCTTATTGGTGGAAGTGATACGTGGAAATTTTAGTTTATATTCAACCAGAAGCTTCCTAATATACGCGCTGAGTAGATTCACATGTGCTATTTTGATGGAGGGATTAATATAATGGGTGCATTTTTCATATAACATAATTTATATTTACAAGCAAATCATTATATTAAATTCAACGGCTTCACTCAACGGAAGCAAAGTAGCTAACTTTGGCCGATGATAGTAATTTTGTAGGCTCGAAAACAGTATGTTTATGGTTAATTTTTATAAATATTGAAACCTAAACTCAAATTTTCAATGAACGAGAAATTCCACGCAAATATTTTTTTGTCCCACTCAGGGTCACTTCAATCTGGAGCATAATGCGGCTCATATAATTTCCTTGCTTATTATTCAAGGAGTAGCGGGAAAAGTCTAGGAAAAAAGCTGCTTTTTTAGCTGCAGCGCGTTTGTGTTTGAGTGGTTATTGTGCCCAGGGCGAGGGCAATAAATATTTCACCCGCGCCGTGCTGCACAGACACACAATGGAAAATAGAGAGAGCCAGAAAATAAAGCCAGCCAAAATTGGCTCATGCAGCCGCGCGTGGAGGGTTGTTTTGTAATTATGTGGAGGATTTTGGGCTCTCTCCGCTCGGCCTTTTCGAGGTCAGCAGAGCGAGAGGCAAAAGATTCAAAAGACAAACGGTTCGTTTCCCCGAATCGAGAAAAAGCAGCCTGCCCACATTTCTCGTCACTGCTGGGTTTAAGCGATATTCAGGAAGTATTTTTACTTCATTTCATTTTTTAAAACCTTTTTTAAGTCAGGGACCTGATTTATTTAAAAATTCCAAAACAAAATAGTACGATAATAAAAGATAATTATTCATTCACTTTTTATTTATCCAAAATCAAATCAAAATGGAATTTAAAACTGATGTTTTTTTTCAAAAACAAGCCGCATGCATTGAATTTAAAATGAAATATCTAAAAATTAAACTCCTATATGATCAAGAAGTCACACCATTCTCTGACTAGCTGACTCATGCCATGCCAATTCTAATCTCTTTGTGAATTTTTTTGACCTGTTGTGAAATAAATGGAATTCTTCAAAATTTGAACTTTAAATCTAACCCCGAAAATTGATACTATTACACTGAAAATACTTAGATATTTTGTTGTTATAATTTCCCTTAAGAACGCAAAAAGGCTTCAAAAGATAAAAAAATGTCACTTGGCAATTTTTTAAATGAATTCTATATTTTTTATTTTGTGTTGCAAATTAAGTTTATTGGTGTAAAAATTATAAATGAAAACTACAAACATTTTTAAGAATGCAGTTTGATTTTTATTCAGAATTTCTCAACGATTTGCCAAGATTAGGTATTCAGAATCCAGATTTAATATTAAAATGACAGTTATGACACTGTTAGTAATATCTAAATATTAAATAAGATTCAACAGCTCAAAATATTGTTAAGAAAGGAATAAATAATAAATTGAATCGGCCGGTTCACTCTCTTTTGAAGGAGAGTGTGCAAGTTGTTTGCTCGCAAAAATCCATTTCTCCTTTTTTTCCCATCATTAATTTTTTCTTATATCTATTAATCACTTATTTCTAATGTATTTTCAGCATTAAACATAAATTATCGATTCCAGTATTTTCCGGCATTTTTTAAAATTTCATACTTTTTTCTGTCGATGTATAGTTCCACTTTTTCGTACAGTGTACTTTTTTGCGATGTAATGTTAACAATGAATAGAATAAATCAATAAATGAAAAATGCTGCACCAACATCTGCGTAAAGGCGAAAATTTGAGAATGTAAAATATTAAAATTTGTGAATCTAACACTGAAATAAGAGAATTTTTTAACTTATGTCTTCAAATTTAACGATACTTTATCTTGACCCTTGGATACTTAAAGCAATGATTCGCTCACAATTTTTTTTTTTTAATTTTCATTTTTAAATTTCAAAACACAATAGGTGTTTACCTGCTCGATTTCATTAGTGTTTTTTTTTTTTTTTTTTTTTTTTTTATATAAAACCTTACTTAAATATTCTTCCTTCGCTTGTTTTTAATCATTATGAATAAAAAAACTCTGAATGAGTCCTTAAAATAATGTTTCTGAAATTTTCTTATATATAACAACCAGCTTGAATAGCAACTGCTCCACTTTCATATGATTTTTGTCTTTATTTTTTCCATGTAGTGGAAAAAACCCCACCATGGCTCTTGCGTTGGCCGGGGCTTTTAGTGTCGCTTGTCGAAATTGCTGGTCGTGTTTGTTGCTTTTTCGCTGCTCTCTTGGCTGTTGCTCAATTCGATTCAATTGCATGGGGCCCCCTCCCCCGTGCCGCGCCACGAGTAATTCATACCCGAGATATGCATTTAGTTTGCTGAGCCTCCGCGCCACATCACACTCCCGACAACCACCACCGGCCTCTTCTTATTCCTCCAGCGACTCCCGATCCCTTCGCAGCTCCACCCGCGAGCTCCGCGGACGCGGCCTGGCCCAACGCCTCTCATTTTCAGGTAGGTCAAATCTCCTTCGATTTTGCTCTTCCTTTATTAAACACATTTTGTTATGGAAAAATTTGAATTTATTTTTGATTTTAGACTCAATTTTGAAATGTATTCTTATTATTTTAACCAGAAATAGAATAACAAAATTCAGATTTATTTGAAGTGTACTTTTAAACATTGTATTTTGCTTTTACTATTTTTTTCATTGGGAGATTGCAATATTTACAATCTTTGTGGTTACCATTTATAAATAAGAAAAAGATGAAAATATTAATTTGTTTTTTAAATAAATATTCTTTTAATTTTTATCTTTGAAAACTTTCCTTTGCAATTTCAAACATAAATTTTTTACTTAATTTTCTTTGCATCAAAACAAAACTACAATTGGTTTAAATTAATTTAACTTATACCAGTTTCTGCATAAAATTCCATTCATTCCAAAATGCTTGAAAGTTTTGAAAATATTATTTTTCAGTTTTAAATTTTCTAAAATACCAAGACAAACAGAAAATAAATTGTGAGAAAATTGGGTTTATTCTAAATAATTTGGATTTTAAATTAATTATTTCCACCGTTGCGTTTTTGTGAAGAGTTTGTGAATGGCGAATTAGCTCATTGATGTGTCAAAAAGCTGGAAATTCGCGATGCGTAAATTGGGCAGCCGGCGGCGAGACGAGGGTGCGCCGAGTATTGATTTGACAGCGACCCCGCCCCCAGACCAACCCCACCCAGTCCAATTTCCAACCCCATTTTGCCGTCTGAATAAAAATACGTGCACGCGAGTCCCTCGAAGCAAAAAAGAGTCACTCGCCGTTAGACTGACCTCTCGAAAGTTGGCACGCCGCTCACGATGGCTTGATGCAGACGCACTTTTCATTTCTGACCGCGCGTATAAAACTACCCTCTCTGGTGAAGACGTCGGCGTGGGTAAGAAAAACGTTAATTTTGTGGGTTTTTCACCCTCTCACTCTCCTGCGATATTTATTTAAAAAGGGAAATCCATTTTTACAAACTTCTACTTAGAAACGAATTTTCTTCAATTTGACTTTTTTTTTAGATTGTATTCATATTTTTAAAATGAATCAGTTTTATCATTTTTTCAAGAAAAAAACGTATAAGCTTGAATCTGAAAATTAGCTTATTTTTCTGTCCTTTTTAAATTAAATTGTAAATTTGAAAATAAAGCCGTTTGAAATATCTTTCATTTAGGGCGCGGCAACAATAGCCTATTTTCCCAATAAGCTTGAAGTTGAATTTTATACACTTTGATTTACCTAATCTCACCTAATTAATCTCAATCATTGTTTAAAGTATATAAAAAATTAAACATAAAAACCTTACAGAGAAAAAGAAAGAAACAAGTTTTAGCAAATCATAAACAAATTTTTGAATTTATTTTTTTGACAATTTT